CTTAGGCTTTCAAGCTTTTGGCGTTGCTGCTCAATAACCTTGCCGCGGACAGGTGACCAGCCATACTTTTCGACCAGGGACGCCACGTCCTGGAGAATGCGCTGTCGGACACCAGGGATATTAGAGCCTCCGCCAATGAAAACAATGCGTGACATGCACGTGCCGCGGACATCGGGAGGCAGGCTAAGAAGGGCATTATACACCAACAACGGCAACGGTTTTTCCTCGTCGTCCAACTCGCAGTCGGCTAAGCCCTCCGCAAAAAGAACCTTTTCCACCGGTTCCGCAAGCTTGGAGAAAGGAAGGTCGATGTAGGTTGATCCTGAACCTGATGGGGAGGGAAGCGACACCGTTGCATCTGATTGCGAAGTAGTGTGTCGGTCAGCCGCTCCAGCATCCTCCCCTTGTCCCTCGACTGGCTGTTGCTGCTGTGTCGCCGCGGAGCCTTGGGAAGCCGCCTTAGGTTTACACCACAGGAATCGACTAGCAATTTCTTCGCATAGCTCATAATGAACGGAGATTTCGTCCGCCGATTGTGCGGCCCTACTGTCATCGGAGAGTCGTGTAAGGAACCGGCCAGTCTCCTGCAGTAGGGACTTCATAGCCCTCGTGCTGCGCTTAATCTCCATCTCTCTGTATTCGTAGATACCGGTTACAATGGTTTCTGCCCATCCGATGTCCACTACCAGACCTGAACGCAGCCCAGCTGCGACCACGGCCATAGTAGCACTAGTCAAGAGTGTGATGCTTGGAAACCGCCAACGGCTAAACAGTGTTGACAAAAGTGATGATAGGAGAGGATGCGGCATGATAGATGGAAGAACCAGAACCAGTCGTGATGTTCCCGCATCCGTCAATAGGTATTTATTGTATGTCTCGCGAAACATGCGCTCAATCTTGTCGTCAATGAGCGCCATATTCATATCGCGTACATCCATCTTCCAGAGTTCGTATGCACCAGCCCATTCGTCTGCTTTGACTGGTCGCGAGCGTGATGTGTCCGTCTCATTGTTGCTTCTCAGCCACCCTCTGTAATCGCCAACCCTCCTTGACTCCTCTGGGCCGCATCCAACCACGCACATTGGCGTGCTTTCGCCCTCGAATCCAGCCCGAAGCCATCTTGATCCAAATTCAAATATGATAGCATCTTCTTCTCCGCGAAACGATGTGCTTGCGGACGAGGTGCTCGCAAAGGAAGAATTGTTGGATCGGAGGTGATGTTGGGGCGTATGGGGTGAATCAGGTCTCCCGGATTGACTGTGACGGAAGCTCATGGATATGGGTCGCTTGTCATCGAAAGCAGAGGCGGAAGATGTACTTGTCATGTCGTCGTCCGAATGAGCTGTTGAGACAGTCGCAAGGGTCGCTGCTCTATGGAAATCGCGGGGAAGGATCGGAGATAGAAGTCAACTTGCTTCAGGGACCCCGCGCGGATCATACTTCCTCTCAACCGATGCGCTTGATATGAGGAGGCTTAGATCATGCCTTCTGTGTGCACCTCTTTTCACTGTAAGAAAGACTCCCGAACTGGGGCAATTGACAATTGGCGATTGACGAGCGCGAAAAGGAAGCCGCGACAATCTGCGGAGGCTCTGGGCGGGCGGATCTACATCGGGCCGCGTCGCCCAGTTGCCGACATCAACAAACAACTCATCGCTGCAATAGTATTCGCCATCGGAGGGAGCCTGGGCTGCAGTACAATTTTGATTTCTGTTGGCATTTTGGGTTTTGACATTTGGGAATAAGGAAGGCTGTCTGAATGGGGATTCCGGGGTAAGTCAGCCAGTTTTGTAGGTGCTGTTTGTGGAACTTTGTCTTGAGGGAGAAATATATTATCCCCTTCCAGTGCGCAAACAGCACTTGTTCAATTAGTAGTTCAACAGCTAACCCACTAACCACAAAGGCTTATTCATGCCATTGGCGCTGGTGAACGTATCTCCTTGTCTAGATTGGCCATAACTCATTTGGAGCGCACAGCAAGGCCTATTCGTATTGCTGTGGACATCTCGATATGGTTGTTCCAAGTGCAAGCTGGCCGGGGTGGTCGAAATCCGGAGCTACGGACACTATTCTACAGGCTATTGAAGATTCTGGCGCTTCCAATCCATCCTCTTTTTGTATATGATGGCAAGAACAAGCCGCCTTTCAAGAGAGGCAAAGCCGTGTCAAGTCGCAGTTACGGGAATGCACCAATCATTCGGCTCTCCAAGATCCTAGTTGATCTGTTCAAATTTCCGCGCCATGAGGCGCCAGGAGAAGCAGAAGCAGAGTGTGCAAGGCTGCAAAGAGCAGGAGTTGTTGATGCAGTTATGACCAATGACGTTGACGCTCTAATGTTTGGCTCAACATTCACCGTCATGGGGTTTTCGAAGGAAAGCGGTAGTAGTACTGGGGCTGCAACACATGTTACCTGCTACCGCATGAACACCGCTGGTGATCCTTCAAGTGTGAAGCTTAATCGTGCAGGCATGATCTTGTTTGCCATGTTAAGTGGCGGTGATTACTTACCGTCGGGAGTCCCTAAATGCGGTAGCAAGCTCGCTGGCGAGATTGCCAAAGCTGGCTTTGGCGCAGATCTTCTGGAAATCCTGGAGTCAGACGGTGCCGAGCTCGATACGAGACTAAGTGATTGGAGAGAACGACTCCAGTATGAGTTGGAAGAAAACGAAAGTGGTTACTTCCAGACCAAGCACAAGGTTGTCCGAATTCCGGATACTTTTCCCGACCGGACAATTTTGTCATATTATGCAAATCCTGTGGTTTCATCGACCGGCGATATCAAAGCCCTTCAACAATACCTGTCAAATGCCTGGGACAAGGACATAGACGTTGTCGAGCTGAGGAGATTTGCTGCCGACGCCTTTGAGTGGAATTACCGCTCTGGGGCTAGGAAAGTGACCAGATTACTTTCTGAGCCGCTTCTGTCTTACCGACTACGCCTTGGAAGACAAGCATCGGCCTTTCCCGCGAACTGCCCTAGGTTATCAAACAGCGATGTGCCAATGCTGCAGAAAATCTATAAGAGCAGGTCCAGCTATAGCACCGATGGCTTAACGGAGTATCAACTGGATATGGTTCCCGTCGACGTTGTTGGCTTGGATATTCTTGCTGATGAGCCAAACCCTCCAATCCCCTCTCAAGAGTCGACAGTCTCAGGTGACGAGGAAGAGGAATTGGAGGATAACGTGGTATCGGTGCCTCAATCTCCGGTCAAAAAACGTGTCATAAAGCGCTATGACCCTTATGTCTCAGAGAAGGTGTGGGTATTCGAAGCCCTGGCCACTATAGGACTCCCGGAAGTCGTGGAGAATTGGAAACGAGAGCAAGCTGAGAAGTCGGCACCGAAGAAGACAACGACACGAAAGACAGGACCTCGGAAAAAGGGGCCTATAGACCCGAATATGAAGCGAGGCAGCATTTTGAAATATGGAACCCTCACGAAGGAGCGAACTGAAATATCCCGCCACAAAAGCGCGCAGCTCTTAGAGGCCGCAGTCTCTGCTAAAGCAACTGCTGTACCCAGTCTGTCGAGTTCCCGTCAGTCTCTAGATTCTCCTAATCCTTCAAGGAAGCCACCAGCGTCTGACATATCTGTACAGCAGCAGCCATTGACTGACCTAAGTGACGATTCGCCGAGCCTTCATGACCTAATCGACCAATTTACCTCATTGAGTCACGGTTCACTCAACGCAGATGCCAAACAGCAGCAGCCCAGAACCACCCGAGCACGCGGCACAAGTGGACGAAAGGTTGCTTCTGCAGATGTCACTGCATCGGAGACAAAGAAAGTTTCTGATGCAGAGAGTCTCCCCACTCATTCATCGAGTAAAGGGAATGCTCGAACAAGCTCGAAGCGCCGTACGCAGAAGCAAGATGTGACAGACGACAAGAAACATGCACTTCGTTCGACAACGCCTAACCGCGCAGACCGCCAGGATGCATCAAAACTCCAGCGCAACAGGGACAAACTCAAGTCTTCTTGCGAGGTTGAGGAACTAGAAGAAGCCGTATCTTCCATAACATTGGATGACGCGCAAATTCGCAAAACGGGCACAGAACCCATATGTCTAAACGATGCTGGGCCCGTGCCTCGAAGAAGCTCGCGCCAGAAAAAGACGTGTAACAGCGAGTCTGGCCTTTCTAGGGCTGCTGAACGTACGGCCGGTTCTTCGCCTCCTGTCAAGAAGAACGAGCCAGTTTCAGACATAGAAGAAGACAATGTTACACATACAAGAACGCCTCAAGACGGAGAGAAACCCTCGGGTCGAACACAACCATCGTCCTCAGTGAGCGAGCCCAAAGAGCTGAAGCCTCGGAATGGCAAAAATTCTGAGGAATCGAACGACTGTTCATCGACAGTCTCCCACATTGAATCTGTCATTGTACACGATGGGTTCTGGACGACGGATACTAGCTCGAAATCCAAATCGACAGAGGCTACAAATGTGACTGACACTGGGGGCAGTCGCAGTAAGAAAAAGCGAATCGCCCGTGTGAGCATCTTGGACTTGACCTAAACAGCTTTGAAAGAATTATGCATTGGTCCTTTCCACAAGTGAATTCAGCTCTTGCACGATCCTACCCTCTTGGACATGCATTACAGGTGTAATACTACTGGGTCTCGATTGAGAGTCAAACATTATTTCCTTTTACGCCGGCATACAAGTCATGATATACATCAAAGTCTGAACATATCAGATTTCATCAGGAGCGTTGTCACTGCACGTCATTACAACATCTATAGAGAAAACAAAGGGATTAGTAGCCCGTGTGTTTGTGTAGATTTGCAAGCGCCAAAGCCACGCCGATCCAGGATATCTATCTAAGTAATCTGTAATCAAAAGTCCTTCTGCGGGCCGAATTAATTATTTCCAAGGTCTTTCCCTTGACAGTGGTGCGAATCAGGGAGGTATTCGTGCGAGAGCTCAAAGAGAAGAAGAGTGGTGATGTGATTGGTCATGGGGTAATCGGGCGTATGTATAGGAGATAGACAGGATAAGTAGGTGATTGAACAGAGAAAAGGAAAAGGGGGGTTTGAAATGAATGACACGTCGATACTGCGGCTCGCGGTTTGTCGCGCGCTTTAGTGACCATCCAAGCTATAACAGTGCTGTGACAATGAACAAGAACGGAGAGGTATAACGAAGTATAACGGCATGAGCTGCAGGAAATCTCTCAACCAAAGACCTTCAGGAAACCCCACAATCCGATACCGCTCAAAATCGGTATAGTAAGGTTATCATCCCAACCGAATATGTCCACGAACTCACTTCCAGCGGCGACTAAGCCGGAGACGACGCTCATGACGCCGAGGGCCAACGGGCCCGAAATAACAGCGTTGGGGGTGTCCGCATTCCAGCCGATGAGGTTCTTGATCGAGCTAGGAAGAAGGTTAAGCTGACCGGTGAACATGAATGACCCCTCGGGATCATTGGGGAAGGTTCCAATGTAAGGTACGAAGTATCCCCAAAATGCTGCGGCGGTCAGAACGCCAACAAACCAGGCTCCTAGTGTTCCGGCAAAACTCTTGCCCTTGCGCAGCTGAAATGTGTAACGGCCGTAGAGACGACCAAATGTGGAGGCTGCAGTATCACACCAACTGAGGAGCAGCACGCTCATAACTCCGACATCTTTGGGGAGGAAGCGCAGTACCGCATATGTACCCACAAGGTACCAGATCACGCCGTTGTAGCCGGAAACCTCTGTCTCGCGCATCAAAGCCCCAACGCAGCGAATATATAAGTTGTTGACCTTGCTGGAATGGTGACGGATGATATCTACTGTGGCGATCGGCACGAGAGCTCCGAAGAGCCATGGTGTAATTTGGAGAGTCTGAATGCCGCGGCTGTACAGGTTGAGGGTTAGGAAGCCGATCGATACATGGAGGAGCTTGCGCGGAATCTCATGACGGTGGATAAAGGAGCGATAGCGGCTGTGGAGGGGGATGAGACCGAGAGGAGAAGGAGATCGAGAGATGTCGTGCCAGCTGCCGCCGGGTTTCGCGACAGGTGATAGATACCCGTTGGACTCCGCATGACCATTCGTCTGTTTCTTGGGCTTTCCAGCGGGCAACTTGGGGTTGGATTTTCGGTTACGGCGCCTTGTAGACTCTGGAGAACTTGGGCTACGAGACCGCGCGCGTGAGCGCTTCGAATCCGAATTTGAGTTATCAGGTGTTTCTTCCGTTACCTCCCCCAGTCGCTGTCGTCGTGCCGCGGAGCGGGTTGTAGGTCCAAAATAATCGCCCGAGCTTGACCGCCGCTCAGATAGCGCGGGGGAAGGAGGAATGACTCGAGGAGTCTCCGGTATGGCATCGGATTCAGAAGGCATATCGGCTGAAGGTAAAGAGAAAGGTGGGAGGACTGGGCCGTGGATCAGCCCGGATAGCGGTCGCGGAGAGATAAGGGTGGGGTTGGAGGCACAGGCGCCGAGTATGGGCAGACTGAACACTGTTGACGACGAAATCTTGGGCGATTATTGCGACAGAGGATGTTCCTGACAATATAAGGTAGATTATGAGTGTAAGGCTCTATGATGATGATAGCACCAGGCAGAAACACCGCCTCGCAAGACGCGCCACGCTTAGCAGAGGATCGGCATAACCACCAAAAAAAGCGCAAGTTATAGAGTCAAGATAATGGATCCGTAATCGCCGATCCTATCTTTAGGTGCACCGGCGACCGATGCTTGCAGATTGAATGTTGATGCTTGTTGACGCTGAGCTGAACTTTCAGCTGACTGGATTTCCTTCCGCCGAATCCGCGGTCCATCACGTGTGCACCTGCAGAATGCTCTCACCGCCTCCGGTATCTAATCGCCGCGTTTCTGATAAGGAAAAATTATCAGCAAAAAAGATCGAGATTCCACGGCGGGTCGGCGCAACATTTTTCGACCAATTCCGCATTGATTTGGGACGAGGCTGTGACTTGGAAGGACTACAGAATACAGCTATACTTAAAATGGCCCCCAAACCACCCCCGGGCACCTCTGCCAGAGCATGGGACGGAGTGACGCCCGCCCTGTCGGAATGGGTGCTGGATGCCGTTGCTTCTATGGGCTTCACCCGCATGACCCCCGTTCAGGCTTCTGCGATTCCCTTGTTCATGGCGCATAAAGATGTCGTTGTTGAAGCAGTCACAGGAAGTGGAAAGACCTTGTCTTTCTTGATTCCAGTTGTCGAGAAGCTTTTGCGCCTGGAAGAACCACTCAAGAAACACCATGTCGGAGCCATCATCATCTCTCCAACCAGGTTGGTCATACCGTTGAAAAGGTCGCGGTCACAGTACTGACAGTTGCGCTTAAGAGAACTCGCATCGCAGATTTACAACGTTCTGACATCGTTGCTCGCCTTCCATCCTCCATCCGCCTCCACTCTCAAACCCTCCGATGAAGACGATGATGCGCCTCGTCAGAAATTCCCCTCCTCGACCCTCAAAGTTGTCCCGCAGCTCCTTCTCGGCGGTTCGACCACTCCGGCTGAGGATTTGAGTACCTTCTTGAAGCGGTCTCCCAATCTGTTGGTATCTACACCAGGACGACTGTTGGAGTTGCTCTCTTCACCCCATGTCCACTGCCCCCAGTCGTCTTTCGAAATGCTTGTCATGGATGAAGCGGACAGGCTTCTGGATCTTGGATTCAAGGATACACTACAGAACATCTTGCGCCGTCTACCCAAGCAACGGCGCACGGGGTTGTTCAGTGCCAGTGTCAGTGAGGCTGTTGATCAGATTGTTCGGGTTGGTCTGCGCAACCCCGTCAAAGTCATGGTCAAGGTAAAGGGCACTTCAGGTGTTCAGGATAAACGCACACCCGCTAGGTCCGTACCCTTGTTCCTCCATCATTGAAGCATCCTGTAACTGACAGCCATACTAGCTTGCAAATGACGTACCTCACAGCTCCCCCAACTCACAAATTCCCTGCCATCAAACACATTCTCTACTCACTCGAGCCCGCTCCTCAAAAGACCATCATGTTCGTCTCAACATGCTCGGGTGTCGACTACCTCTCCGCAATCCTTCCTTCAATCATCGGCGATGACTTCCAACTGATCCCGCTGCATGGCAAACACCAAGCAAACGTCCGCGAAAAGAACTTCAACCGCTTCGTCAACTCCCACACCCCCGCCATTCTCCTCACCACCGACGTTGCTTCCCGTGGACTAGACATCCCCTCAGTCGACGTCGTAATACAGATTGACCCCCCTTCAGACCCAAAGACCTTCATCCACAGATGTGGCCGTGCCGGACGTGCAGGCCGCAAAGGTCTGAGTGTGGTCCTTCTCCACCCCGGCCGAGAGGAAGACTACGTCTCGTTCCTCGAAGTCCGCAAGACCCCCGTCGCACCGTATCCTCACACTCTTACCATAACCGACGCAGACGCCGCCGCAGCTACCGAAACGGCACGTAAAGCCGTCCTTGCAGACCGCGCACTACACGACAGGGGCCAGAAGGCCTTCGTCAGCTGGTTCCGAAGCTACAGCAAGCACCAGGCTAGCAGCATATTTCGCGTCGCAGACCTCGATTGGGAAGGACTAGGCAATGCATGGGGTCTCCTGAAGCTTCCCAAGATGCCCGAGTTGAGAAACTTCCAAGGTGACCGGACGCTCGGCGTGAACTTAGACTGGGAGAACTACGCATACAAGGACAAACAGCGCGAGAAGCGCCGGAAGGAACAAGTGCAGGAGAATGCCGAGAACGGTGTCGCGGACGATCAAGCTGCTGGCAAGAAGCGCTCCAGCGAGAGCGTCGCGTGGAGCAGGAATCTCGACAACCGGAATAAAAAGCTGAAGCGTCGGGAGGCCAAGCAAGCACGTCAGCAGAAGGACAAATGGGAGAAGATGACGGAGGAAGAGCGACAAAAGGTGCTCGAGACGGAGAAGATGCTTGAGCAGATCCGGGTGAAGAACGAAGAGGAACGACTGCTTAGGCGTGCAGCCAAAGATAAGGAATCTAAGGCTGCTGGTGGGGATGATGATGATGAGTTCAAGGGGTTTGACTGATTGATATGTCTGATTGGATTGGCATGTAGTATATATATTATATCTTATCTAGTTGTCTCTGATACCACGTCCGTATCTTTAGATTCTTTCAAATGCAAAGTGTCATTAGAGCATCATTCTTCTCATGACCCGTTTTCATTTATGATAATTTACTGCTACTTGAATGGGGATTCAGTTGAGCTGATACATTGAAAAAATAGACAATGTAACTAAGAACATAAATGCAACCTTGTTGCTTTCAGCCGCTAAGATGCTAATGATACAAAAAGTAATGCAAAATTCAAATACACAAGTGCCTATGCATTGTAAGACCACCAGAAAACGTGGCAGAATAAAAACTCCTTCGTACACTTAATTTTGAGACCGCTCATTGAACAATGCCCATGACAAGACATTCAAGTTGAAGAAGAGTAGTAAATGACACTACTTTGGAAGAAAAAGACCGCGGCTGCTCGAGTTGCAGTTGGCCAGTAATACGCACATCCCGTGACAACTGTCTCTGGGATGGCTCGTGGTCGGTAACAATCGTTTATCAAAGTCAAGTTTTGGACAGCTTATGCCGAAGACAAAGCGTACTCATCATGTAAGGCTGAGAGCAGATTATTGCTTCAGCCTGCGTCCACAGAATGCGATTTATGCTTGTGCAGCTTCGGACGCGCCAGTTTCTAATTCGCGCTTGAAAGCGTCGAGACCAGGTGTCCAGATGTTGGTATAGGCATAGTCGACTGTTGAGGGGTCCCAGATCTCATTCACAAGATCAATCACCTCGGGACTGAAACCTTGCTCTTCATATGTTATCGGCTGAGGCCACACAAGGTCGTTGAGATCTCCAGATGGGCAATTCTCATAGAGCCACTGAGCCTCACGAGCAAATTCATCGTCCCCGAAATCTTCGGTAGTCTGCTGCTCGGGCTCAGGCGCGGATGCGGGTGCCGTTTGAGAAGTGGATGGTGTCGGTGTAATTGCCGGTGCTATGACAGGCGCAGAGACTGTGTCAGGCGTAGCAGTCATAGGACTCGAATATCTGCTTGCAGTACGAAGCCCACTAGGAGTTTTGGGCTTGTATTTCTCAGCTTGTGAGCGAGCTCTGGCGAGGGCCTCTTCGTCAATTTTCGCAGGAGTTGACGGGGCAGGAGCCGCTTGACGTGGGGTCTGGCGGGACTCTGTAGATGGCACACTGAAGAGAAATGCTGGTTAGCCGATCTTTGCTCTGGAGAACAAGGAACAAATGTGTAGTACCTTTCGGAGATACTAGCCTGAGTGACAGTCGCTGAGCTAGGTGCAGGAATAGGTGCGGAGGCAGAGACATTCGCTGAGGCAGAGGCCCCGCTGGAATCGGAATCGTCTGAAAAGGCGTCGTAATCTAATTGGAAAGTCCCTTGAACATTTGGGACGAAGCCAGGACGGCGGCTTGAAGACTCGTCAGCGGCATGGGGAGCGGGGGTTGGGGAGTCCGGGGTAGCAATTTCAGAATCATTACCCATTCCGATGAAGTGTCTTCCACGGTATGGGTCGGTTGCACGAGCACGCAGTCGGAGTTTGGATGGTGTATCTTCTGGGCTCGCATCGAAGCGGACTTTCTTCGATGAATGCCGCTCTGAGCGCAAGGCGCCGCGGACAGCTGTTCTGGTTAAACGGCCGAATTTGTTTGGCTCGGTTCGTGGCAGCGGGGGTTCTTGCTCGTCTTCGCTTTCAGAACTATAGCAGAAATAATCTAAATCCAGCCCATAACTGCACCCCGGAGGATTGGGAATCACGTCAGGCGACGGAGAGCGCTTCCGCTTCTTTTGCTTCTGTTCTTCTGTCTCGCGCCCCCGAGAATCTTCGCCTTCCGCGGCTACATCCTTCTTGGCGTCCGACGTGGCTGATTCTTGCGGTGTTGTTGCTTCTGCTGATAGCTTGGCAACGGGGCGAGACTCTAACGGAGCAGAAGAGGAAGTCGCTGAATCCTTCTTAGGGATGTCCCCAAGGTAGAGGGATCTATCAAAGGGTTGCGCAAAGAGAGACCAAGACTTGCGGCGGCGCTTTTGAGGTGGCTCCTCGCTGGATCGGCGGCTGTTCTGGGCTTGGCTCTGAGAAATACTTGAGGACTGAGTGGGTTGCGTCCGACTAATACGCTCGGAAGATGGTTCGGGGGGCGCTAAAGTCTCATCAATCATATGACTGAACCTGGATCGAAAGATAACATACCTTGCACTTGAGTAGGTTCAGGGGTCCTCCTGAAAGAGGGAAGGATCCTTGTGAAAGTGCGAGGTACTGAGTTGAGCAGACCACGGATGTTCCAACCACTCTGGCGCTCCGGGGTGGCCGGCGGCTGGGGCGTAGAAGACTGTTCCTGTAAGCTTTGCGACTGCTCTTGACCTTGACTGGTTTCGTGAGCGTCATCTAGCGAGAAATCAAAAGTGGTACGTGGCAGCTCAGAGCACGGGGGCGCAGAAGACTCTGCTGCCTGACGGCGTCGATCAGCTTCTTGCTGAGCCAGCAATTGAGAAACGCGAAGCGAGGTGGAGTGGATACGGCCATCTTTTTCGGCTGCCCGTCTCCGCAGTCTCTCAGAATACGGAGTAATGTTCGCCGTCAACGAGCGCGGCCTGGTTGCGGGTCGATACGGCGTGCTGCCGGGGGGACCAAGGTTCCGCCGCTTGTTTGCGGCAGGCGTTTGTGGGCCTGGAGCTTCTTCGTCGCTCGATTCTGTCCGGGCACGCTTCCGAGTCACTGGCGGTTTTGTTAGCCTCTTCGTATTTTGTGCCCGTTGTGCCCGGATTCCCCGGGGAGGCACCGCGTTGAGAGCAACAGCCCTTGAGCCGGGGCCGGGACTACTCTGTGGTTCTTCCTGCAGCGGCGACATCACTTGAACCTCACGGCGTCGCCTTCGCAGGATGTAGTCCCGAACCCCAATCCGACGGGTCGGGGGCCCACGGTTGGACGCGGGATCCCCCACCAACTCAACCGACGCCGCCGGCCCTTCCACGAGCTGCCCTGTGATGGGATGGAAGTAGCCTGTGGAAGGGACCTGTTGGGCCCAGCCCAGAATCCACTCTTGTCGAGAAGCCCGAAGGCTTCGGCGAGTGACGTGGGCGGGCTCAACAGGCTCTCCGAACGACGCGGTCGTCGACTCCATCAGAGTGGCAGCCGCTTCATTGGACGAGCAAGGCGCGAGATCATCCAAGGACAACCTAGCAAAGGACGCAATCAGTGCGCCCACCCGCTCGTCCTCGACGACTACCACTCCTCCGGAGCCCGCAGCGGAAGCCGATGAGACAGTGTTGAACTGCTCAGAGGATGTCACGATGGCGACTCCCCTTGGCTCCGCCACGGTTGGTTCCGCAGGTGGCTCAACGGTGCGCTCTTCCGCGGCAGGAGTCGGGAGTGAGACTCTCTCTGTGGTTGTCGATGTCTCAACGTTGGTGGCGCCCGACTCCTGCGCGGGACGCGGTGCCAGGGCTGCCTCGGTCCCATCCTCCGACGTCCAGGAAGGCGTCTTCGACCTCTCAGAGAGAGGCGAGCCGACACTACTTAGCTCGTCGATGAAGGATTTGAGACACGAGGCAGCCCCGATACCCCGGGGATCCGGACCATCAAAACAATCGATTTCCTGGGATTCCTTGGGGGGTTGGGAGACCATAAAAGGGTGAGAAACGTGGGGTAGGGACTCACGATCAGGGTTTTCGTTTTCAGATGATGCGGGTGTTGGGTCGACAGTTTCTGGGACCTCCCTGGGGGTATTCTTTTCTGCTGTCGTATTATCCGTGGCGAAATCCTCCTCTGTGTGGGTGATTTGCGCATCTTCGTCGGAAACGGGTTGGTCGGTTTTGCGTGTCGACTGGCGCGTCGTGCGCTTGGTTGTAGTAGCTTTTCGTGTCTGAGCCTTGGCCGTGGATTTCTTGGTAGCGGTAGTGGTAGTAGTCTTTTTAGGTGCGCGCTGAGACTTTGAACGGGTTGGGGGTTGCTCTGACGTTGCAGATTCCTGCTGCGCAGCGTTCTTTGCAGACCTGGTTCGGCGGGGGGCATTTTCGTCGAGTGACACGAAGCCACCGGGCGAAGCTTGCTGTGAACGAGTGCGCATATTGACTGTGATGAAAGTAAAAGCAGGAGATGTTCAATGCAGGCTGGTATCAAAAAAATCCGGCACCCTATAACAAAGCCACCAACAAACTGAGTGACTTAGAAGGGCGAGATATGAGGAGAGGACAGCAGGAACGTAATGTAGGAAACCTTTACAAAGAGGTGAGGACAAATTGACACAAGGAGGCTCGGCTAGCCTATAGGTTGCCGTAATCTTAAGGCAAGCTCGGCACCTTGATCAGAAGGTATGAGAAGAGAGATCGTCACGCTTAAACGCGACTTGAGATCTTGAAGAAGCGCGGAACAAAGGGACGTTGAAGAGGATAGTTAAATCTAACTTGTAAGGCAAGTTAGTACCTGCGAGATAAGATGATCCGGTGGAATGAAGAATCGTGTAAATGAAGGATCAAAGCAACGTAAATCGGCAGCGCAAGTGCGATATCGACGACGTTACGGAAGGATGGGGATTGTGAAGGGGAAGAAAATGAGAGGGGGAAGAGGCAGGTTAATAAACACAGTACTCACTCGTTGACAAACACAACACTGGCTTACAGTGAATGTTACCTTGTGTTTATGGGTAGTGTTGGTTCCGACGCGTCAAGCCAGCGCCGGGGGGCAGTCGACGACATTCACTTTACCTCGCCGAGCAAGGTTGTGGTATCGGTAGATGAAGTTTGGGGGAACTTTTGCGCGGGAATTTTGCGACTCGGGGGGTGACGTCTCGGCAGAACTCCAGGCGGTGGGACTTTTGCCCAATGGCTGTCGTTGCCGCCCTTGGCCAACTTCAAGGCTTGTACTTAGTACTTTGTAGGAACACCCTGCTACTCTAAGACTACTAGTACAATATGAAAGAAGTAAGACAGATGATAGACGAGTAAAGTACATCTGATGAGGCACATCGTGTTACGGCACGAAAGGTTACAAACTATATACAGGAGACATTTTCACAGCAGATCACGCAGATAGAAGTAGAATACCCACGGGTTCTTTGTCATACAGACTATGAAATAGGAAGAACCCTTGATCGAGACATAAGGTTACACGCTGAGATTGAGCTTAGGCAGAGAAAATACAAAGAAAAGAAAATATGTAGAATACAAGCGCCAAAATAGCTAATTTACATGGAGATCTCACCCTTCCAAGCAGCTTCCGAGAGACCCAGCTTCTCCATCAGATTCTGCCACCGGGGACCACCTCTTTCCTTCCTCCGCAAGTAACGAAGCAACTTCTGTCTCTTGTGAACAAGTAGACGCAAGTTGCGCTTGTTGTGTCGGTCCTTTTTCGTCGTCTGGAGATGTCTAGACAAGTTCATGATCTTTGCAGTGAGAATGGCAACCTGTACTTCCGGAGATCCAGTATCCGGACCAACGCGGGGAGTTTTCTCAAGATGAACAGTCGCAGAGTCATGCGATACGCCAGATGGCTTGGGCGGCAATACGCTGTCGGTCTTATGCCGGCCAAAGGTCTCAATGCATTTCTGGATGTGAAGCCGCATGTGGTCCTTTGTGTTTCCGTTGGCGACACTGACAATACGACGGATGGCTTCCTGTGCATTCCGATGTTCTTGAAGATGCTTCTCAGCCGCTTCTTTCTCGAGCTGAGGATCAGCAGTGTCGCGGTCCGGGTTCCGAATCGGTGATGTCAGGTTCTTCGAGTACTCCATCGCCTCATTGAGACCATCCGGTGTGACGAAGTAATTGAGGTCTGTGTCCTGCAAAGTCGCTTGGGTCTTTCTGAGTTCCTGGATAAAGGGTGTAGGTTCGCTTTGGACGGGGTCTCCGACAGACCCTTCGCGCTCTTTGGTGAGGGCTTTCTGGCGAGAGATGTTGGCGGCCTTGCGTTGGCGAGATTGCGCCATAAGGAAAGGGTCATGGCGTCTGCGCTCTCGAGACTCTGTAGACCCAGCTCTTACGGAGGTTTTCGCCGGGTTGAGCGACAATGCTGCAAAGGGGAGCTGCACGGAGGAAGGGCCTGGGATAACGACAACCCGGTGAGTTACTCGGCGCGAATCAGGAGGGGGGAGCAACAAGATAGTATTCACCTGTGAGGGCCCTTAATGAAGGCTGGAGTAGAATGCGGGGAGGCATTCTCACGAATTGAAGAGGGAGTGACCGCAATGATTGACAAATGACACTTCCGAGCGCCTTCGTATCAAAGGCCGCGGACTCAGATTGGAAGTCTCCAAAATCTCGAGGCCCCCGAATTGCGCTAGTCCGCATCGGGAGCTTGGGCTGCACGTGACTATCCGGGCGGATCGGAGGCTCTTCCAAGGTAACCCTAGCCCTAAAATTCACAAAGGGCAAGCGAAATTCATCGACCATCTCAAGCGCGGAGCCAAAAGTTCAGCTTCGCGTTCGTCTCCCCGTCACCACCACCACGACAAGTGCCAGACGATTGATATACTCAAATCGATCTTTGCAATATCAATCGCCCACCATGGCCCCCTCTCAGCTCCCCCCGATCTTCAACCCCACCTCCCAGGACATTGAGATGCTCCTCGCAGCTCAGTGCCACCTCGGGTCCAAGAACCTCCAGTCTCACATGGAGCCTTACCTCTGGAAGACTCGCCCCGACGGTGTCAATGTCATCAACATTGGCAAGACCTGGTATGTTGATCAGGCGATATATTGCGCGCAACTCATTTAGGATCGCTGCCTAACACCGCGCGAAATTATAGGGAGAAGATCCTCCTCGCTGCCCGTATCATCGCCGCCATCGACAACCCGGCCGACATCTGTGTCATCTCCGCTCGTCCCTACGGCCAGCGTGCTGTCCTGAAGTTCGCCTCCCACACCGGTGCTACCGCCATTGCTGGTCGTTTCACCCCCGGTAACTTCACCAACTACATCACCCGCTCTTTCAAGGAGCCCCGCCTGATCATCGTCACCGACCCTCGCACCGACGCCCAGGCCATCAAGGAGGCCAGCTACGTCAACATCCCCGTCATTGCCCTTTGCGACACTGACTCCCCCACCGACTTCGTTGACGTTGCTATCCCCACCAACAACAAGGGTCGCCACGCCATCGGTCTCGTCTGGTGGCTCCTTGCCCGTGAGGTCCTCCGCCTCCGTGGTACCCTCGCTTCCCGTGAGGTTGACTGGGACGTCGTTGTCGACCTGTACTTCTACCGTGACCCCGAGGCTGAGGAGAACAAGGAGGTCGTCGAGGAGAAGGTTGCCAGCGCTGAGGAGGTCGGTGCTGGTGCCATCGAGTCCGGCTTCGCTGGTGAGAACTGGGATGTTGCCGGTGCCGGTGCCGGTGTTCCTGGCACTGCTTTCGCTGCTGCTAGCGCTGCTGCTGGTGCTGCCAGCTGGGAGGCCGAGGGTGGCGACTGGGCTGCCAGCTCTGCCGCTCCTGCTGGTGAGAGCTGGGCTGAGGCCCAGCCCACCGAGGCTAAGTGGTAAACATCTGGACTTGGCAACAAGGATTGACGAAACAATGGCGATTGATTGAGGGTGACGAGGACCCCTTGATCATCAAGGAACGACTTTTACGCGATTCCTTGCAATGAAAGAAAACAAAATCCCTTGTCGTGTCTATCCTAGTCTCAGTTCAGGTATTCCAAAAAGACAAAGAAGAAAAAACGAGGAAAAGAATCAACGGGAGCTTCACTACTTCAAAACATCATTTTCCTACTTCTTCTTTCGTGGTATGCTACAGCGAAGTCTCCTTCTGCAGTCCGTTTTCACGTTCCGCTTATGGTGCATCGGGGAGGAATTGCATTGTCAATGATTGACTGGCGCTTATGAGGGAAAGATATCCAGTTGTTCTCTTGCCTCAGTGAGCTTCTGGGGGAAAGCCCTGTGCTGTCAATTTCACAAGGTGGACTTAATCGTTACCTTGGTTTCTCCCTGTATGTTTATCATAGCCGTAATCGAAAAGTGATGCTAGCTACCATTATTCTCCATATATAAGTGTGGTCTCTAGTAGTAGTCGACAGTAGACGTAGGTCATAAAGAACAAAGTAGACGCCCATGATCATATTAGTGGTGCTAGTGCCGTTACGTATCACTCGGAAGTTTTTGGCAGCCATCATCAGGCATGATGCACCATTAATATATAGCCAACAAATTATAATGAACATATCGCATATCTAAATGACTTCCATTGTTAGCTGGAATGAGGGTATCACATTTACTAAAGAATAACACAAGCTCCAGCAGTCTGGCCCCCAGCCGCCGTGGTCGTCATTCCAGCAAGCCGAGCAATATCTTCAAACGTCTCTGGTAAGAGTTCCTCAGTGACAGCAGAGCACTCCGCATACCGATCACATCGAAGTTCCTGCGCAATCCGATACGACTTTATATAATATCAGTTAGCTCTAAGCCTGCGTGTGCCACAGATAGACTTTCCATGGTCATAGAAATGGTCTACTCACCTCTTGAGGATATATGATACCATCACCTTCCACCCTCAGGTCTCTCTTGAACCCAATCAACATAATGGGAATGCGTTCGCCATATCCATTCTGGAAGTATCTGGTGATATCATTTCGCCACTATGGCATGGAAGTCAGTATTCACAGCCGCCACAACGGAGGAACATGTCCTACATTTCGAAGATTGTTCAAGGTATCTCTGTTCGAAATATCAAATGCCAGAAGTATAACGTCGGGTTGCAAGGTAGACCAATGTTGGTTGGGACTCGCGGTGTCATATACTTCAAGCGTGAATGACCTTTTGGAGAAACGGATATCGTAGATAAATGGCTGGTCACTGTCTCGTAGGAGGGTTTCTCGATCAAGATTCCCTTGACTGTGTCCCTGACCTTGGTATCTACGAAGATTGGATATCAAGCTCCTAGTTGGTTGTTAATGAATAACACTAGTTATGTGATACGGAATATGTCATATAAGGCAATACGTGCTTAAGAGCTGTTGCACTTACGATAGGAATGTCGTTTTTCCACATCCTGGGTCTCCGAGGAGCAGAATGGTCACTATCTGTTCATCTTGCGCAAGGTGGTTTCCCGCCATTGGACGCGGATTTCTGGTACTGTCTGGCCTTTATATCTGACCAAGTGATATATATTGGCGTTTTTCTAGACACATTTAAAGTATGTCATGGGCTTAATGGCATAAAAGCAGGGTTCGATGTTCGATGCACTACTGCACCGACTAGCTGCTGCAATGTTCACGATAACGTGCGGATATAAAGCGGAACCAGACCGCAACCTGGAGCTCCAGCCTTTCCAATTGGGATCCCCCTGACCTTCTCCTGAAAGAGGATGTCTTAAATGAAATGTGAAATTATTAATATTCTTATACAACTGACGGATACTTCAAATATTAACTGGTGACAACTGCCATGTTACCACGTAATACAAATTATACCTGATGAATTTTGCCACGACCACCCAGGTCACAATACCATACGCTTCCATTACCCAATCACCACCAATAGTACTATCAGAAGTCTAAATTTTTGCCGCAAAAATCTCCCCTCCGCGGCAACCCAGCAGCGTGGGAGACACACAACGTGCTCATAGGGATGCGAAGGTTCCAAGGAAGCCTTTGTTCTTTCTTGAGTCGTACATCTGCACAGCGCACACCCTCAACAAGACGAACCTTCCAGTCCCTGTCCCGCTCGCACGCCCAAGTTGATTCCCAACCTACAAGTACCATGTCCGGGAACACAGCGGAGGGCCAACAAGTCCCTACCCACGAAACCGACTATTCAACATGGACTACGTCGAGACTTGTTGCCCGAATCACTGAACTAGAACGCCAGTTACATTCCCGCACAGCAGAGTACGCTACATCCCCTGCGAAGCAGCCCGAGGACGCGGCCAAAGACGCTGCCAAGAGTGCACCGAGTGATGGGAAAGTGAACCAGAAGGAGCCTTCATCTCCTGCGGTGGGAGCGGAGAAGAAGAAGCAGGTGAAGCCGCCAAAGCCGCCGAAACCGCGCCGGGAAATTGATCCGTCGAGATACAATACACGGTTCATCGCGTTGAAGTTCGCCTACCTTGGACAGCGGTACAATGGGCTTGAGCATGCAAACGGGAATGCCACGCCGCTACCTACGATCGAGGAGGAGATGTACAAGGCTCTACGGAAGACGCGGTTGATTTTCCCGACGGATACAACCGGTGATGAATTCGTGGAGAGCTATGCGCCGAGAGAGACGAAGCCGTATTATATCAATTGGGATGGATGTGAATATTCCAAGGCTGGGCGTACGGACCGAGGAGTCAGTGCCTTCGGGCAAGTGATTGGCATTAGAGTGCGGAGTGCACGGCCGAAGCGCGACGAGGTTGTGCAGTCGGATGAAAACGCCGATACCACCATGCAGAATACGGACGAGGCTAATGCTTCGGTCGACGATGGCTGGGACGACATCAAAGATGAGCTACCCTACGTGAGCATGTTGAACAAGGTGCTTCCTGAGGATATTCGTGTATTGGCATGGTGCCCGCGTCCTCCTGAGGGGTTCGATGCCCGCTTTTCTTGCGGGGAACGCCATTACAAGTATTTCTTCACGCAGCCAGCCTTTTCTCCTACGCCGGGCGCTTCGGGCTTTGTGCCGCGAGATGGAACAGGCAAGCCTCCGAAGCTGAGAGAGGGTTGGTTAGACATTGAAGCGATGCGCAAAGCTGCGAAGTATTTCGAAGGGACACACGACTTCCGGAACTTCTGTAAATTGGACGTGACGAAACAAATCGAGTCTTTCTACCGAGACATCTTCCGTGCCGACATTGAGCTTCTCGATGCTCGCACCAATCCACTGGGCTATGTGACTCAGCCGGAATTCCAGGCTAGACCGGCCTCAGGTGCGGATGAAAGCGCAGAGTCTTCAGCGGCACCTCTGCCAACAGCAGCGCAGGTATATGTCTTCCATCTGGAGGGTTCTGCTTTCCTGTGGCATCAGGTCCGACATATGGTCAATGTCCTTTTCCTCGTCGGTCAGGGGCTCGAGGAACCATCCATTGTACAGGATCTCCTTGACGTGACCAAGAACCCGCGAAAACCAACCTACGAGATGGCTTCTGATGCCCCCCTGGTGCTTTGGGACTGCATCTACCCCGATAAGAAGAGCGGCAGCCGTGCTGATAGCTTGGATTGGGTTTATGCGGGCGACGTTCGGCAGATCAAGTCTCACCTCGGTAAGGGAGGTGGAAAGTTTGGTCTTGGAGGGATTGTAGAGGAGCTCTGGTCCGTTTGGAGGCAGCGCAAGATGGAGGAAATCCTTGCTGGCGCATTACTGGACTTGGCCGTTAGTCAGGGCGACAAGAGGCTCACTATTGGTGATGGAGTCGAGCCAATCTGGGAGAGAAAGAACCGGGGTAAGAAAATCTTCGTTGGGTCGAATGAAGCCAGAACCGGCGGGTACTATGTCCCAGTCATGCAGAAGAGAAAGACAGAGCTCGTGGAAGTCCAGAACGCGAGGTGGCTGGCGGCAAAGCAGCGCAAGATGGAGAATGGCGCAAAGGCCACCAAGATGGAATAGTAGACAGAAGACCGTATATACTTCTTGAATATATGTGCATGATGGTCCCCATTGAGCACGAAGTTATTGATTCCTCTCAGACGTGAAGCTGGGCTCCATCACGACTTTGAATCATACAAACAGCTCCGTGAACCCCTCCAAACCTCCTCTAGGATTTGCCGATTTGGTAACAGTTTCTGGCTCATATTAGAAACCCGAGACGACAGGTCCGATGGGTAAGTGCTTAGTTAGGTAGGTACTCACAGGAAACACCACAACCACTTCGCTTTCACCTTCAACAATTACTGCAAGATAGAATCGAACCTCGAAGCCCTTGAAAGCTTCGTGTATCACGATATCCTGAATCTGCGTAGTGGGTATGAACCTCGTCGAAGCCTTTGACAGGTAGGTCTGAGAGGAGGTAGACGTCTGAATACCGAGACCGCGTATAACCAGGAGCGACTCTTCTGTGTTGGGGCGAAGTGCAGTCAGTATCAAGCCAGACCCTTTGCTGGAGGCAGCTCAGACGAACCTGTGTAACCCTTCCTGAAAACACCGTAGAAAACCACTGCGCTGGCCAACACTACCACGACAGAGCTGTACGCATCCGCGATGCGACAGACGGATATCCCCAGTGAACTCGACCAAATTGTTGTCCAACGTATCCATGAACCATCTTCCATAAAAACCGCACGGCGGAATTTCGCAGCATCAAGGAGGAGCACACAAAGAAAGGTCACTGCGCGCAACAGAACTTGGAGGTAGAAAAGGGCCTTTGCGGGCGTGCTTGTGCGCCTGGAGGCATTGGAAACTGTGAATGATACGGTCGTCGGGGACGGACGCCGTAATATAAGGCGACTCGGCATTTAGGGCGATATTGAGGTTCAGTTCTCGAGAGACGGTCACATTTATATGCGCTAATTGAGAGACACGCTGAAGTTCTTAACCCGTGAGGCCATAATGTCTGTCATGTAGCTTCGGCACTCTCTCCGCGGAATATCGGCGTTCTTCAGTCTAGTCCCCTTACGGCTTAGGTGTCTCACCCCCATCGTCGGGCCTCTGCGATACGGCGTCACGTGTTTATTGTTGCATCTCCTAAGCTTAGACGCTTGTCCTACGCATTGCCCAACTTCGTTGCCTTATCAGTGGCCGTTGTTACGTTCCGGGACCAGGCTCCCAGAGGTGAGCTTTGGTGACAAAAGCCGAAGTCCCACGGTCGGCCCTCGAGAGAAGTGAAACATGAGAATCTTGGTATAGATGAGCAGGGGTTACAGTCCATGGGTCAAAAACAGGTTAGTCTCTCTCTGCTTCAGAGATGTCTTTGATGAGGAAGAGTGGGGTTTTAAGGGGTAGCAACAACAATAAACTGTGCTCAGCAGAACAGTGACAGCTGGCTCACAAAAAGACTACAAGACTCTTGCTCTTGGTTTTCATCTGCTCCTTAACAAGTTACAGACTACGGCTGACATGAACATACAACCTAGTTAACTGACTTCCAGTTATTACAGTCAGCTTGATAGTCTTGCGGCTATTCATCCGGTGACCATGTGAGTATGGCCATTCCGAAGAAGTAGATCTGTGAGCAAATTCCTCCCCACCCTTTGAATGAAGCTCATCCACATACCGAGCTCGAAGCACCTCATAAGGAGACGTGTTGCTGACCAGACATTGAACAGGTAGTTCCAACAAGCCAATAGATGGCTTCTGTTGTAATGTGACACTCCAGGGCTACTAGTTAACTACAACTGGGTATCTCGGCCTGGGCGATGGGAATACGGAGGACTGAATGGAAATCCAGCCTTTTCTGTTTCCTTGTTGCTTCTGGGATTTTTTCCTATTACATTTAGTTTCCATGTACCTACCGGCAAATGGAGACTACTACCCTTGGTGTAATGCGCCAGCTGCCATCTGTAATGGACGAGGCGAAAGCTGAATACTTTTTTCTTTTTTCTTTATCATTTTATTTTCTCGCAGACAGGATATTGACGACTGGGTGTTTCTTTGGCTGCCGAATGTTGATTGCCTGAATTGATGGTTTCCATCACCCTTCATTCCCTCAATCGACAGTTCACTTGAGGATCCCCAGGTTCCAGGATGGACAAGGCTGGAGAACAAGTCCGGGTCATTTTTAGTGTGGCTGCGGGGCCGTTGAATGCGTCGATGGCGACCAGGCATTCTTAGCCCGATGTGGCAATTTGCAGCCTGAGGCTCCTAACGGCAGACACCCGAGACTGCAGCAACGCCGGTTCCACTCGCGGGAGAGGCATTTTTTTTTCGGTCGTCTCTATGGCGGACTCACACGACTTCGATCTCTCCGTCTCAATGTCTTCCCCATACATTCGCTTGGACCCCGTTCCTGAACCCCCGCCATGAGGTAGTTGCCTGTCTGTCCTCGCCACGAGATTACTTATTCTTCTTTTGCCTATCTAAAGCTCGTCTTTTATCGTGCTAATCTCACCATTCCTCCCGCCCCTCCAGATCCGCCGTTTTACCAGATTTTCCTCCTTTGTCCCCGCTTCCGAATCGGTCATCCTCTCCTGTGACTCTCTATCCTCCCGGCTTCCCACAGCCTTCCGAGTCTGAAGAACAGTCCAATATGGTCCGGAATATCGTTGTTATCGGGGGCACTTCCCACCCGCAATTGACTCAGACCATCTGCAACGTGCTGGGCATCCCACCGGCAGATGTTCTGCTGTCGAAATTCTCCGTGGGCGAGACCCGAGTGGAAATCAAAGAATCAGTCCGTGGAAAAGATGTCTATATCATTCAGTCCGGTGGTGGAAAGGTGAACGATCTCCTCATGGAGCTTCTGATTACCATCTCGGCTTGCAAGACCGCCTCCGCCAAGAGAGTCACTGCGGTCCTCCCGCTTTTCCCGTACTCGCGTCAGAGTGACATCCCCTACAACAAGACCGGAGCTCCTTTAGTCAAGTCATCCCTTGCGGGGAGGCAAGGCAACAACTACACCTTTGAGAGTACCCCGCCTACCCCACACCCGGGGAAGCCTGATGGTGGAAGCCTTCTGAACGGTCTGAACGGCGTCGACAACTTGCAGAAGAGCCTGGCCAAGGCTCAATTGGACGACATCAGCAATGGCAGCCCTGTGAAGAAGCAGCGCCCGGTCAATGGTCTTCCCCGCAGCGATACCATGGAGTCCCTGCAGTCTGAAGGTAACCGGTTCGCACTCAACGGCGCCGATGAGAAGATCAACAACTTCCAGCCCCGCCCCGGCTACAAGCAGTGGGTGGCTCAGGCCGGTACCTTGGTCGCGGACCTGCTCACCTGCGCTGGTGCAGACCACATCATCACCATGGACCTCCATGACCCTCAGTACCAGGGATTCTTCGACATTCCGGTTGACAACTTGTACGGCCGCCCACTCCTCAAGAGTTACATCCAGCGGAACATCCCCAACTACAAGCAGGCTGTTATCGTCAGTCCTGATGCTGGTGGTGCGAAGCGTGCCACGGCGATTGCCGACAGCATGGGCGTCGAGTTCGCCCTTATTCACAAGGTTGGTATTCGGCCTAATGACTTCTTTACATGGTAGCACTGACCCCTTTCAGGAACGTCGTCCTACTCGTATAACGGATCGACAGAACGCTACCATGATGCTGGTGGGAGATGTCAAGGATCGGACGGCGATCCTGATCGACGACCTGGCGGACACGTCAAACACCATCACTAGAGCGGCGAAGCTCCTCAAGAAGGAAGGGGCTGCCCAGGTCTATGCTCTGGTCACCCACGGAATCTTGAGCGGAGATGCTATTGATCGGATCAATGCAAGCGCTCTCGACAAGGTGGTGGTTACCAACAGCGTTGACCAGGCAGATCATTTGCGCAGATGCCCTAAGTTGGAGGTTTTGGAAGTCGGTCACGTCTTCGCCGAGGTAAGTTTCATTGGTAAGCCCTGCTTATGAGGCTTGACTAACGACCTGTAGGCTATTCGCCGTGTCCACCACGGTGAGAGTATCAGTACTCTGTTCCAATACGACTAACCATTTCACTGATTCTATTGCATGCGACCTTTCTTTCCCATGGCAGGGATAGATACACCTTTTGAAAAAGGAGTGACGAAATCGAGGTTATATTTTGATGAATTTTTTTATATTGTCTTTGACATTTGCTATACTACTTTGGTTTCCATAAGCATACCATCGCATACCATTTATCACTGTTCTCGAAATCTACTGAACGGAGCCTGAGAGGAGCAGAAAAAGATACGCCCAAGGTGTTCCCAATGCACAGTTACGCCCCCCTGGATCCATCTCTTCATGACTTCGCTCATGTTTACACATTCAACGCTGTATGAGAATCTCGGGGCTTTCTTATTCTGACACCCTACGTGTCGCCCTTAATTTTGGGCTTTCCACTTTGGATCTCGACTGTCTGGACGTTTTCTGTAGACAGATTGGCTGAAAGCTTAGCACGTGTCCATGATTATGAACAAATACATCTAAAAAATGCTGGCTACTATAGCATCAATGCCGTCTGTTCTTCTATTACTCCTAATATCACAACAATAACAACCAGTCACAGGGTAGATAATTCCGGCGTTATCTATATACTATATCACAAGAAGCGAAGTCCCAAAACGCCGTGGGGTCGGAGATAGGAAAGGTCGAAGAGCCAAAACAACTAGCATGGATATGCTGGGCCGATTTATGCGCTCATTACAGGGACTGGGTACTAACTAGACACGGCGAAAATGAGAGGAAACAAAAGCGCCCTAGAGTCACACGTGCAACAGGTGCGGGGAAAGAGTACATGTTTTGGCGGATAGTTCAAGAAAGAACGGGCGAAGACAGGGTAACAACAAGAGATGGTATCTAGAAAACGGAAATGAAGTTTCCAATTCTCTCCTTCTGATTTTGGGCAATGCACTCAGCAATCCATGTAACGTTGCGGATTTCCTGGGATCCATTGTTAGTAGATGTTAAACTGTTCTCGTGAGAACCGGTAACTCACCTGCTCCTTCAGTCTCATCCACGCGTACACCACGGCCGGGGTGAATTGCCGTGTGAAGACAACCTTGCTCAGCTCCATCTCCTTTTGGTAGAACAGGTCCTCCAGACTCTTTCCATCCGAACCACCCATGCCACCTAGGCCACCACCGCCCTGAGTAAGGCCAACAGCATCAAAGAATGCCTTGTAGTCCGCAGAGATGCTTACAGCCAGAGCCACGGATTCAATATCATCAGCGCGCGAAAGCATCAGCGATCCCTCTGGATACAGCTTGCCAAACTCCGGGTACAGCTTCTTCCGCTCCTGCTTCGACAGCTCCGTTCCAAACGAGTTCAGCGTGATGTTAATTGCACGGCGGTCTGCCTCAAACTGCAGGATCTCGGACATGACCTCTTGCGTGGGAGTGCCCTTGAAATCAGGGTGTGTGGTGACAAACTGGTGAAAGTCCTCCAAGTAATTCTTGTAAAGCGTGTTGCGCACGATCTCAATGTTCAGTTCATCCAGATCCTGATGGCTCAGGCTGCTCTTGAAGTAACCGGCCAGCGGCGTCTCAACCAGCACAGAGTTGTAGAGTTCTTCGATGTTCGTGGCGACGCAAAGTACAGGCAGCGTCTCGAACCAGCCTAGGGGGTGGCATCGCTCGAGGAGCTCGCGAGTGTCACGCTCGTGCAGAGTACCGGTGATGAGTAGTGCGATGTTATCGATCATGTACCCGTACGTAAGGTATTGCAGGAATTTGGCGGTGGACCCCGTGGCCTGCGCGAGGAGGTAGCGGAACTCAGCGACCAGCTTGTCCGTCATCTTGCCCGCCAGGGCAGAGGTAGAAGGGTTAGGAGGGAGGGAGGCGAGGAAGTCGCCATAGGCGGGGGCGAGCTGAAGTTTGACATCTGGGAGAAGCAAGGCAGTGTTAGAAATATCCAGGGAGCAAAAGAGTAGCTGTAAATTGACGGACCATCAATCGTCTCGCATTGGGTCAGGTTGGAGTAGTGTTGGCCGGTTAGGAGGCTGTTCCGATAACCACGGACGATACCCTCGATATAACTATGAACGCTTGATCAGTGACCTGGAGAAATGAATTCACAGAAGGCGACACCAAAGCAGACATACCCGCTGTTGACGTTGAAAAAAAGACCCTCCATGGTGGGCTAGCAGATGGGCAGAAGTCCAGATGTCCACGTACAAGCTCTCCGCAGTTGATAGACTGACGACCACTCGTCGACGCATCGGCATCCCGTGGGCCTTACATAATCTGGGCGTGGCACCAGCCACGGCGGCGGCACCAGCCACACTCGGATGGCGCTTTTCGCTTTTTTCACTTTTTAGTTTCTTGAGGTTAAAAAATATTCCCAGCGGATTTCAGTCCATCCCGTCCAGCACGCCAATTCCCTCCCACCCCCCGGCCTTTTCTTTTCCCTTCTCACCTCTAGCTGTTCCTCTATCTTTTTTATTGCAGCTAGAAGTCGAGGCCGTGCACCATGACGCTCTTTATCCTTACGGAAACCAGCGCGGGCTATGCCCTGCTCAAGGCCAAGGACAAGAAGCTGTTGAAGAGAGATGATCTGGCTACTGAGGCTTCCACCGCAGAGGGTGTTTCTAACCTGTAAGTGCATTCTCATGCATTGTTTACTCTATTCACCCCCGATTGTCCGTCATCTGCGCGTGGTGTCTCAAAAGCAAAAATTTTCCCCCACCGCGTCTGTACTTCGGCTAACCGCCGCAATTGTAGTCTGAAGTTGAAGAGCTTCCAGAAGTTCGACAGCGCTGCTACCGCCCTGGAGGAGGTCGCTTCCCTCGTCGAAGGAAAGGTTACTCCTCGCCTGGCCAGCCTTTTGGACGAAGTCAAGGATGAGAAGAAGGTCTCTCTGGCTGTCGCCGACCCCAAGCTCGGTATGTGGCGCAAAGTTGTGTGGAAACTGAGGGTAAATTTTTCGTATGACTGACTGGAATTGGTGTAGGCAATGCTATTGGCAAGCTCCCTGGCCTCTCCATCGAGCTGGTGGCCGACTCTTCCACGACCGACGTCTTCCGTGCCATTCGTGAACACCTGCCCACTCTTATTCCCGGTCTTCTTCCTCAGGACATGTCCACCATGTCCCTTGGTCTGTCGCACTCTCTCGCTAGACACAAGCTCAAGTTCTCCCCCGACAAGATCGACACTATGATTGTGCAGGCCATTGGTCTGCTTGACGACTTGGACAAGGAGCTCAACAACTACGCCATGCGTGTGAAGGAATGGTATGGCTGGCACTTCCCTGAGCTGGCGAAGATCTTGAACGACAACATCGCCTACGCCAGACTCGTCCTCAAGATGGGCATGCGCACCAACTGGGAGTCTTCGGACCTCGCTGAGATTCTCCCCGAGGAGATTGAGGGTGCCGTCAAGGCTGCTGCGGACCGCTCCATGGGTACCGAGATCAGCCAGGAGGATCTGGAACACATTCAAGCTTTGGCCGAGCAGGTTGTTGGCTTCGCTGAATACCGTCAACAACTGGCTGGCTACCTTACCGCCCGTATGAACGCCATCGCCCCCAACCTGACTGCCCTTGTCGGTGATCTGGTCGGTGCTCGTCTTATCGCCCACGCTGGTAGCTTGACCAACCTGTCCAAGAGCCCCGCCAGTACTCTCCAGATCCTGGGTGCCGAGAAGGCCCTGTTCCGTGCTCTCAAGACCAAGCACGATACCCCCAAGTACGGTCTGATCTACCACGCTTCCCTGATCGGCCAGGCCACCGGCAAGAACAAGGGTAAGATGGCCAGAGTTCTCGCTGCCAAGGCTTCCCTTGGTCTGCGTGTGGATGCCCTCGCTGAGTGGGACGATGATGCCACCGAGGAGGACAAGGCTGCTCTCGGTACGGAAGCTCGCTACAACCTCGAGCGCAAGCTGGCCGCCATGGAGGGCAAGCCCCTCAAGCCTCGTGGTGTTGCCATTGCCCCCAACGGCGCTCCTCAGGCCCAGAAGTTCGAAATCAACGAAGCCCGCAAATACAACGCCGATGCTGATGCTGTTACGGGTGACGAGCCCGCTTCCGCTAAGAAGAGCAAGAGCAAGAAGCTCGTAGAGGAGGTTCAGGACGAGGAGATGGCCGATGCCGCCGACTCCGACGAGGAGTCTGACTCGTCCGACGAGGAGACCGACAAGAAGTCCAAGAAGAGCAAGGACTCTGAGCTCGAGAAGTTGGCCGAGAAGGCCGGTCTGAGCCTCAAGCGGTACAAGCGCAAGCTTGAGCGTGGAGAAATCCAGTTCGACGCTGAGGGCAACCCCAGCGCAGTCAGCAAGAAGGACATCAAGAAGGCCAAGAAGGAGGCTAAGAAGTCGGCCAAGGGTGAGGAGAAGAAGCGCAAGCGGACAGACGACGGCGAAGTCGACAACTCCGAGAAGAAAAAGAAGAAGAAGAAGAAGGGCGAGGAGTAAATTCGAATGAAGTCCTCAAACAAAAAGTTTCACAATCACACCTGATGGGAATGCTTCAAATTTCTGTATGATATCACACCATGTGGGCCGAATTTCTTCTTTTTCCTTTTCTCTCTCTGTTGCTATTTACTTGAAGATTATATGTTTGGGTGGCATTTGATGGATGGATCTTACTATCATCCCCTGGCGCAGAGGTGCTTGTTGGTATAAGGCAGTTCAGTTCCAGAAATAATGTTCTTTCTGAGTTGGATTTTCCAATGGTAGTAATGTTTCCTTAGCTGTTTGGCTGTAGTTGTAATGGTTGATAGATGCTATCTAGACCGGTCTTTATGCAGCTGGACTTGTACTGATAAATAACCATGGCTACTGGTCAATAAAAGTTACAGTAGATCACACAGGAGGTTTATTTCGATTACACGGATCAAAAGGCTCATTGTGGCTTGAGCAGTGGGAGGCCTGTAGTCAGGTCCCTTTCCCTCTGATTTAGACTACAATGATTCAAGTGAATTCAATGAGGATAATTCAATATTTCTCTACATAGCAAGCGGACTAGGTGACGCTACAAACACTGCCTCCTATCTGTCATCCTCATTTTGGAAGTATTCGCCACATCTCGCTGCTTAGTTTCGCCCTTTTCCAGAGCCAATCCAAGTGCTAAGAGGCTACTGTCTACCTGTCCTACTCCAACGGCCATTTTAGTTGTGAAAAAGGAAGATAGTATACAAGAATGACAATGCTTCATTGATTGATCATCATCATTATTGATCACATTAGATTAGTCTATCCCATGAACGTAGAAATACAATGAAAAGGTTATTCCATAGCTCCTAGTAGAACTACAAGGAGCTAGGCTATAGGAAACATGATGACGATTGCAAGATCAGTGCAGAGCAAGGATCCTAGCAACAGCAGCCTCGGCAACAACCATGATAGTAGCCTGGATGTTACCGGTAGGCAGGTCAGGGTGGATACTGCCATCGACGATGAACTGTACAGGATACAAGTTAGCAAAATGATCTCAATAATGAGGAGCACAGCAGCAGCGGAGATGTACATACCAGGTTGTCCGTGCCATAGACCTTGGTGTTGAGGTCAACGACCGAGGTGCCGTTGCCATAGCGGCCATCGTCCGTACCGATCTTGGCCGTGGTAGTGTAGTGCATACCAGGGCTAAGGCTGCCAAGGATGGAGGAGACGTTGGTGTAAGTCTCCAGCTTGAATCCGGTAGAGGGGGCGGTCAATTCTCCGACCATCTGCTGGAGGAAAGCCGTAGCGGCAGCGCGATCACCGGCAGTCTGGAGGTAGGGAGACTTGTCCCAGACGGTGGTGCCATCAGTGTCCAAGCCGAGCACACCGGAAGAGGTGAGGCCGTGGGTCATGTAAGCGGTGATGGTGACGACGTTGGTGTCGGAGGGGGCACAAGAGCCCTGGTAGTAGCGCTTCTGGCCGTCAACGACGTTGGAGGTGAAGAAGATCATTCGGTGCTTTCCTTCGGTAAGGAGACCGTTGCCCTGGGCGTAGAGGCTGATGTCGGAGACATCGGAGCCGTTCACGATGGCGTCGTAGTCGGGAAGGCCGTAGCTGGTACCGTTGGTCTTGACGATAATCGAGAAGATAGGGTGGTCCTTAGCGCCGATACCAACGGGAAGGTTGATCCAGTCCTTCTTGGGAGGGACGATCACGCCGCTCTTCTGGGCGATCTCAATCTGGGAGCTGGGTCCGATGCCGGAGTTGAAGAGGATACGAGGAGTGGAGAGAGCACCGGCAGAGAGGACGACTCTTCCATTGGATGCCAGGGTGATGTTCTCCCGACGGCCAAAAGAGTTCTCGACCTCCACACCAGTCACCTGGCTGCCGGCGCGCAGGAGGCGGAGCACCTTGGTGCCGAGACGGAGGTTGAAGTTCTTGCTCTTCTCAGCCAAGGGCAAGTACGTGCGGACAGGACCAGCACGCATCTGATCCTTGATGTTCCAGGCGGGGTAGCTGTAGACCTCGTGCTTCTCGTTGGGTTCGGCAATCATGTCAACGGACTTCCAGCCGATCTTGTTGAAGAAGTTGGACAGGACGCTGTAGAGACCCTGGTCGTAGCGCTTGCCATCAGCGGAGGGCAAGATGGTTCCGGGGTTGCGCTCATAGAGCCTGTCTGCAGCAGGCTTCACGTCGTCCCATTTCCATCCTTTGGGCCACTTATCGTTGAAGTCACGGTCCGGCGGGTGAACAAAGACCATGTAGTTCAAGGTCACACCACCTCCCAGCACGCAACCGGCACATCCAGCGACATCAGAGCAAAGGTATTCCTCCCATTGAGGCAGGCTACCAATATCGGCAGACAGTCCAGGCAGGTCAACCGCAGTCAATGTCTTGTTCCAGACGAGGGTTTCGTTGGATCCAGTAGCCACAGTAGGTCCATAGCCTCTCTCCAACAACAACACAGTCTTGTTGGCCTCAATCAAGCGTTCGGCAGTGATGATACCAGACGGTCCTCCACCCACGATGATGTAGTCATACGAACTACCCTTTGGCGATGCGTGGACACGGGGAGAGGCCACGGCCCCAATAGCGGAGCCGGTGGCGATGAGGCCTGCAAGCAGGAAGGATTTCATGATGAAATTTTTGGGTGAGGATAAACACTCATCAAGGCATGGTGAAACCGTCAGGTCTCTTTATATCTCCATAGGGGCCCCGAAGGGTCCGGAAAAGCTCTTTCTTCGGCACGCGCCATTTTGCCTTCTTCGTTTCCACTTAGTCAATGACTTGCTAGCTCCTCAAGGAAATGAACCCGGCCGTGTCAAAAGAGAATCGTTTTTCCGTTAAATCCGTACCAAATCCGTCCGATGTTGCTCGCAAGTCCCACTATCCAGTTCCCTCATTCACACTCTGCATGTCGAAGAATATTCTCGTTTCAGTGGGACCCCCCGATGACGATCGTTTCCTCATTCGCTGTTATCTGATCGTTGCAGATGCCATTATTGCATAGGCGACCCGATGAGGTGGGTAGCCGAAGACAGACCATCTGCAACATTGCCTTATCATTGGCAATCGAACTTTGGGTTCAGTGGATCCCGTAAAAGCGCCAGCCGCTTTTAGTGCGAAGAAGACGGATTTCAAAAACCTGACAAAGCCAGGTTTCTAAGGGAGAGTGGATATGAAAGCTTTTGGTGCACAATTTGGAAGTGGATATCTTAATCAATTTCGGTCAAAAACTTGGCGGTTGAACAGGCGAAAAACACAGATGAGTGAGGGTTGACAAATGATTATTCACCGTCCAGGCCGGGTCTCGCCGTCCCACTCACCAACTTGGTAGACATGTCTGTTCTGGAGGTGGTTCAGGGTTCAAGGTCTCGCTTGCACCGGGCCGGATGGAGTCGATTCATAGCAGCGGTTGTCGAGCATGCGAAAGATGCCGGAAGACACGGGTGGTGGACAGGTACAGGACTCATGATTCAGTTTATCACAAGTCTAGCATTTGACTTTTCCTGTCTAGCTTATTTGGACGTCTGCAGTCAGCTCCGTTGTGTCGACGCGATCAGCCCTAGCATTAGTGCCGGCGACTTTATGTATGCTGAACAGGCTAGTTGGTAGGCCAGATCCTGCAAGCCTGCAAGCCTGCAAGAGCAAATGCTGGCTGGCTAAGCTTTGCCCCCTTATCTCATGCATCCCTCAACTAGCCTAGTTTCACCTTAATCTAATGTGATGGTCTAACCGCCAACTCTCAGAAACTATAGTTGAGGACGCAAGCAACTAAACCATGGCGAATTTGAGACTGTAATTCCAAGATGGTGGTGGTGCCATTCGAGCGCGTTAATGAATCCAGATAAGAGGTAAAATGATTGCTTTACGTTCACTGCTTGCAGGTTGCTGCACCTGCCTGCAGCAGGCCAGCCGCTGACCCCCTGCATATGGTATATCTGCTATAGCATCATGGATCTGGTAAGATCTTTCCTAACCGTATCAGGTTTAATTTCCGCAGTGCTCTCTATGTGGGTTTTGGATCTCAAAATGGATCCCAACGCGCTCTACATTGCGCTCTTCATTCGTGATGATCCTCCTAAACCCAACGATTATCACTGGGCGCCCTACCACCACCGCATCGACAGCAGCACCAAGTACCACATCACCAACGAAGGGAACGGCTGGATGGCCGGACATGGCCCCGAGTCAGGCACTGGTATCCTCAAAGCCTTCCTCCTCGTGGGTCTGATACAAATTGCAACCATAAAATCCACTACCTCGGCGCAGGAGACTTTAGAACGTGTCTTCCGAAGCTACGACGGATACCTGAACGACAACGAGTACAGAACATGCAGGACCTGGCTATTAGATGTGTTGAGAGATCTACAGGAGGATACGGGCATGCTAAATGGAGTCGACATTGAATCACTGGAGAAAGAGGCAATGGACTGGAGCAATCAGTATGCGTTTGAGGCCAGCCGGAATGTCCAGCCAAGACCAGTGGGGAAGAGCATGTACATGGCGTGAGAGGATATGTTTACATAGTTCTAATCCTTATCTTTGTTCGAGAATTACTGGATTGAAAGCCTCCCGCCTGCACCAATATCAATACTCCAAAGCTCCTCTCACCGCTTTTCCATCTTTGCCGGGCAGAATCAGTCCATTTCCTTCTCCGCCCCGCATTCCAGCACTTTTTTTCCGCATCGCATTATCCACCTATCAATCAGCCAATATCCCTCAATCTGCACAATTAGACCGTCACAATGAGGGTAAACTTGATTCAATTGCTCTTGCTGTAGTATGCCATACTAAGTAGCGAAAACAGATTGTCGACCCCCAATCCGCCACCCTCACCAACATAGAGGTCCTAGCCTACTTAACGGCCAACCCACCACGGCGACCACCGAACCCGCCGCCGAACTCAAGAAACTGGGTTCCCAGCCCGGATCTACGAGACCACAATACCGTTGTTAAGGAGGTGTGCATCCCCTTGTTGCAAAGTCACACACTATGCTTTCTCCGTCGAACAGCTATGCGTGGCTGGATACAATGCCTAGCTGGCTGGCTGGCTCGTGCCTAGCCGCGGAGTACACCCTCTTTCTCTCTCCCCAACTACATCTGCAGCAAGCATACATGCACAAACCAGAAATTCTGACTCTTGATCAAAACTCTAGATCCACAACTACGTCACACGACTCTCTCCCCATCTCCTCAAGTACCCCAAGTACACCCACCTCTCCCCCGCCCAAATACAAGCCCAGTCACAGTCGACGACAGCCACAGCAATCCCCCCATCCCAGATCAACGCCCCCACACCCCTCGACCATGCGCTCCGGGAGCTCGTCACCAGATTACAGCCCTACGGGCTAACCAAGGGTGAGGTGCTGATGATCGTGAACCTAGGGGTGGGGTTACATGCGCCCGCGACGGAAGGTGAAGAAGGTGAAGAAATGGGTGAGGGAGGGGAAGAAGATGAGAGTGCAGAACATCATGGTAATGGTGGGGAGGAGACGAACGGGATGATGGAGGTGGATGGGGCTGAGGAAGGACAAGGAGGGGACGGTGAAATACCAGAAGAGGATTACGGGGCGTTGGCGCTGTTGGATACAGTTATTGAGGAGCGCGAGGAGAGACTGAGTAATGAGGATGTGACGAATGTTTTGGCGATTATTCGGGAGACGTTGGGGTCGAGGAAGGGAGAGGGGGTGGATGAGGAGGGATAGAAATTCTATGCGGTATATATACCACTGTTCTATGACTGACTACCAGGCTTAACTTGTTGGTGCTTTATATGAATGATGGGGGTCATTGTAGCAGCTACTTGGTGACTCGTATGGTGATGATTTTGTTGATTGTATTGGAACGAACGAGGAGGGCCCGTCTACTAAATAGTACTAGATACTACTTATACTTGCTGGTAAAACCATACTAACTAGGAAGGTGCAAGTCATTATATAATATTCTACGGTAAAAGAAGAAAGCAATATTCTTGTTTTATGAGAATAAAGCAGATTTTTATTATTGAAAATGATACTAATTAGCTATACTAGTGAGATCCAGATACTTGAAGGCTCTTCTGAGACGTTAAGGTTCAAGAAAAGAAAATAGCCTTCTTCAGCTACAAGCTCCGGTTCAGGCCATTTACGTTGCATGTAATAGAAGCTAATTGTAGCATATTCTATCTATTCTATACAGACCCTGGTATATAATGAGTATCCCGTAGATACCCCTGCATCCCGACTCAAGAAGGAATATCATACAATAGAACAGATAGCCTTTACGCCTGACTGCGATGAAACCAGCAAAGCACGGAGGGCAAGGCTAAACACATATGGAAAGGCATCCCATCAGATCCACTTCGCTCAAAATCGATAACAAATGAACCCCAAACACCATGTAGATATGCACGGCCATAAGTGATGGCAGATTCTTGCTGCTGTTTGCAGCTTCACACTATAATGGAATATGCAGAATGAACAATGGGCTTTATGTTTGGATAAACAGTAAGCCCACGCCAGCCATGTCGCCAAAGGCAAATCGGCACGCGGCAATTCTCTCTCAAGAGCCAGTCTCGGAGATAGATCACCATATGTCAGGCTTTTCCTTGCCCTTGATAACGTTTCCGAAGCGGTTGTAAACCGGCTCGTCAGCGTCTTCGCCACTTTCTTTGCCAAAGGGACCGAAATCATCATCGAACAGCTCTTTATCATAGCTTCCACAAACCTCAGTGTAGGCCAGCCATTCCCCCTTATCGGTCCAAAGACCTCCTCTGCCACCGCGCATGTCCCACCATTCTTGTCCTCCCAGAAGGGAAGATTGGGCGGCGTCGAACCCATTCGGCGTGCGCATATACTTGCGGAGAAGGGCACGGGCCCATGGCTGATACCACATCTCTGACCACCACTTATCAAGGACAGAGTGATCCCCATCCACATGTAACAGGGCCGGTACAGATGCCGAGTGAATGTTGGTCATCAAGGGGAGGTTATGCCAGGTATGGTTGCGCGGATTCGGAAGTTTGTCCAGTGTTTCATTAAAAGGTGGGTTCAGCCAATCATCCTTACCAAATTTGGGCTGGATAAATGGGTTACCGATGTTTTCAGGCGTAATATCAGAGGGAATCAAGAGCCGTTTCTCTCTAGGGACACCATGCTGCATCTGCACTGCCGAAGTCTTGGTGACGTTGTTGTAGTGGAGCCATTCGACATCCATCTTGGCATTGCGCATGTTGAAAAACAGACGGGATTCATAGTCGACGCCAATGCCATATTCGTATCGGGTGCCGGACTCGAGATGCGGTTGGGTAGCCCCAGTGATATTGGAAGCATCGGAGATGCCTACAAGTGTGTAGAGCCATTCCATGAACCCATTCGCAGAATCCCGCCTTTCCAGCTCCCGCACATATTCCTGTCGACCAAACATTTGCGTCATAGCTAGATAATCGCCCCGTGCATTGCGGTGTTGATGCACGAACCGCAGAACCTCGGCGTATATCATTTTGAGGTCAGCTGCCTGGCCCACAACTGCGCCAGGTTTAAGCCAGCGCGGCCGATTCAGATGCCCTTGTGGGTGGATATCCGTCTTCCACCCATAAGCGTCCGGTGGGAGGCTAGATTCCGGGACTGTCACACACCCTGCATCTAGGGTGAGCCCGGGGAAACATTCTTTGCTCGCGGCAAACAGAACTCTTTGAGAATATTTCTGTATCGTTTCCTGCGAGCCTGTACGGTACGGCCTGTCGACAGTCACGGTACCATATTTTTTGAGCAATTTCTCATTGTTCTCCTTGAGGAGTTTTTGGAACCTCTGGATCAAAACCTCGGGGGGTAATTGGAAAAACACGTCCTGAGAATCAACAATAAGGACGAGATCCTCATCTTTTATCTGTGGATTATACGCCAGATAATTGTATATGCCGGCTATACGGTCCACCATGGCAGCATAGTCTGTGTAACCCTTCGGAGGCGACTTGCCATAACTAATCAACGTGGGCGGTGGGTAGTTCAGTATCATTGACGACGTCAACGTGCGACAGAGTGAGGCGGACTTTTGCGAAGCGGGTATAAGTAGGTGGAAAGACGGTGTTGACTTTTGCAAATTATTCGAAAGACTATCATTTCGATGCAACGTATGACCCTCGGAAGTGAAGACCATTGGCAAGTCTTCCGGGCGCTCACGCGAGGGGGGATATGATGGGTATCTCAACCAGTAGCTAACATGTGGCTAGTAACAGAAGCGCTCCGTCAGTACCACTTCCTCAAGACAGTAAAATTGCGCAGTAGACATACTTGGCTAGATCGCGACAGCAACAGGAGGGTAAAGAAGCATGTGGCGGCCAGAATCACCAAAGTTCTAACCGGGCGAGCTCTTAGACGGCGAGGATGAAATTGTTGCTGCCATAGCATCGTCATTGACGACCGCGCCGTGTGATAATGATCGGCCCATGGGCCGTCTAGGATGCCCTGGAAGGACATCCTTGAAAGCAGTGGAAGTGGGAACTTTGCTTGGACACTAGATTAGAGTACCGCTGCTCAGCAGCGGTGGACGGACGATCCGACTCAACGTCAGATCGTGCTCACTAGACAAGAACCGCTGGGATTTAGCCAATGTAGAAGAGTGTCTTCCTAACGATAAGCATTCCTGCAAGCGGGACATGCGATCAGGAAGAGCAGCAAAGCTGACGGGGGAATATCGGATTAAGAGAAGTCAATGGGGTTACTAGGCGCCATGCTGAAGCAGAAAGGACAACAGTCAATGGTGACGACAGCAACGAGATGAAGAAGAAAGAGCCAGTGTCGGGGAAGAGATCCATGCCACGCGGACACAAAACGCGAAGAAGAGGAGCGAGAGTAGTCAAGGTCGACCCGGGCGGGAGACCACTTCAGCAACAGGAAAGTGACCGGTTTGGGCGAGGATTTACGTCGGCGTGTGGGACCAGCCAGGGACTGGGGGAGAGCAGCTGTCCGGCCATTGGTCTGCCCTCCTCTTCTCTTTCTGCGGATTTCAATCGACTGGATGGATCATGGATAGTCTGTGCCGGACTCCTCGCTTTTCCCCTTTGGTTCCCGGCCCTGACCTCCGTCGGTATTGCGATGTGCGAGTATCGCTCCCTGCACCCGTTTGTGTCCCACCGTGGTCTTTGTTTTCTTTTTCCTCCTGCCCTGCAGCACTTCGCTGGTCTCTTGCCGGGCCATCAAAGCTTATCCTCATGTTGAGATCAGTACATCGGTTCTCAGGTATATGCCCTCCATCTCGAATTGCTCGCCTCAGCCCACGCAGTTGGTTACTCAGCGGAAAACGCCATCGTTGGATCTGCCGCGTCATCGAGACTGCACATCCATACTGCCCGTGCCCTCCACGTCTTGGCACGAATCAAATGGTGGTTTCAGATTGCTTGCTCATTAGTCCATCGCCGACCCTATCTTCCGCCTACGTCGAGAACTGACGTCTCCCTATGCATGACTCCACATTGCCCAATCTACTTTGGACCTAGATCCCCCCGTCCATAACAAACCATGCAGCCCGGACGATTGCCATCTCGCATCGTGTTCCATCTACGGCTTCGGATTGCATGAATAGAACAAACGATTACGAAGCAGGTGCTTCTACTAGACACCTTGTAGTTCCAAGAGCGCCTGATAGGCGAGTATGGACTGCATGAACCCCAGGCCCGTTGAGCCGGTTAGCTACTACCGAATCTTTTTTTTAAAGGGATAAGCCGCCTATCAAATAATTTTCCGGGGCTGAAGAAAAGCACACGGTACTACTATTAGACACATTAGACACACAGAAGCACACTAACAACCCTTATGTACAATGCCAACGCCGCCAAAATGCATTCAATGGCAGGAAATATGTCGTCAAGACAATAGTATATACACCTCGAAAAGCTTTGCTTATTCCAGGTATATCTCTTCACGTAGCCGTTGCAGATTGCGGAAGATGCCACCCCCCGGTCCTTCGCTTTCTTGCCGCCGATGGCCCGTTGTTGGTCCCTTCGTAGACGATCCGGACGGCTGCTGGAACTGATCGGTTCGGCCCTGATTGTCTAGGGCCTTGCGACGGTCCTCCACGATTTTAGCCAGGCTGTCTACGAACCGAGTTCGGGCCTTCTCCTCCGCCGTGCCCTTCCAGACAAGTGCCAATGTACGTAGCGACTCAACACGTTGTGAGGCAGCGTCAATCCCCTCCTGCCCGCCACCATTGCTATCTAGAAGCTCGGTCACTTCCTTTCGCAGCTTCTTAGCCACCTCTTGGCCCTTCTCCTCACGACTGTGGCTTTCAGGCCCCGGTTCTGGGGCCGACACCGAAATAAAAGATGATGTTATAGACGTCTCCGATGGCGGGAGGGGCCATTCCATGGCATCTCCGAAAGTCTGCACCACTTCTTCCAGCCGTGCCCGGACTTGGTTCAGCGTTCGTAGTTTGGTGATATAATCAGGGTCCTGCACAGTGACTGTCTCCTCTCGCTCTCCCTGTTCTCCAGTATCTCCCGATCCCTCAACACCAGAATTCTTGTCAATGTCGACAGCGCCCGGGACAAACCTCTCAATATCACCCCGTAGTGCGTCCGTCAAGGTGTCCGAAAGTCCAATAGTTTCTCCACGCAGCAATTCAACTTCGTAAGCTAATCGACCCCCGCTTCGTAAAATCTCATCGGTCAATTGTGTGAGGGCTGTGGAATGTCGAGCATTCTGCGCATTTATCTGTGAAAGGACGGACTGGACTTGTGTGGACAGTTCGGGCAGGGGGACGGCCCCCGCAGGACCCCGCGAGAGGTTCGTTTGAGATGACGCCAGCGTCAGCGCAGGAAGAGCATTGTTGAGGTACTCGGCGGGATCAAAAGACTGGTCAGTGAAGTCGGCTGTCATCTCGAGTGACGGGCGTGAGCTTGGTACTTTCGCAGCTGTAGGAGCCGGGCTGGGACTCGGCGACGGAGCCATCGTATCGACAAGAGTGTGCTTGGTGGGGAAGATGCAGGGCAATAACGCCCTATTTCAGCGCTGTTTCATAAATCGATAGCCCACCGGTCAAGGTCAGGGTACAATGTAGTAAATCGTCAGATAGCTAGCAACAAGGTCATGCTTGTCTACGACTTTCGGCCACTGCTGCTGACATGAAACCATTCACACCGCCCTCGGCAGTATCTATTGCTTATCTGCCGCGATAAATACACATGTTGTCCAATGCGAATGAGCAGAAACAGCTGTCAATGGCCAGAAAATCCGATCGCTTCGCATTGGTCTCATTGGTTTACGAACAAAAAAAGTGAAAGAGGATAATATTATTGAATTAGAGGCGCAATCGTCCCGTTTATGTAACAAAAGAATGTGGGTATCGTCAAAGCCAGATAGGGACCCCTAGCAACAATTGGGGACCAAGCGAGAGGAAAGGCACGAGGCTATCGCGCCTTGTGATATCTCCAAATATAAAAAGTGTTCAGCATCATTAGCATGTTCTCATCACGGGTAATTGTTCTGCCCAGCGGTATCGAGCCATCAAATCAGATGGTACATTGCGCCTATATGTCTTCGACGACGCGCGCATTCATTGCGCGTTGGAATCCATCATCAGGCTGTTGGTATCGACTAGGGCCTTCGCCAGCATTTTCTGCCGCAGCCATTTGCTGCTGCACGGTCTGGTTCATTGCTGGCAAAAAGATGACTTTGCTGTTGGCTGTCTTGGCCATGGATTGCATCGCCTCGAGATAGCGGATTTGCATAGCAGGGGCAGAAGACAAGATGTCAGCGGCCTAAAATTGATTAGCTCATGTCGACTAGATTCATAAGATGGGATATGTACCTGACGCATCAACTTGGCCGACTCGACTTCAGCACGAGCTGCTATGACCTTACTTTCACCGATACGCTTAGACTGCGCAGCCATAGAAAGAGAGTCCTGCAGATCATTGCTAAATATGATGTCCTTGATGAGCATGGACTCTACCTGGACACCCCATCCACCAGCAACGTCCTCGATTATTTCTGAAGTCGACTGAGCGATCTCTTCACGGCGTTCAATAACGTCCTGCAAAACTCTTGCGCCGATAACATGACGCAATGTAGTCTGAGTACGCTCCACAAGCGCCTGGCGGATATTGGAAATACCAAATGCGGCTTTGTGGGGAGAAACGATCTGGTAATAAATCACGGAACTGAGGTTTAGGTTGACATTGTCCTTGGTCATGCAGCTCTGGCGGGGCACTTCAACGATCTGGATCTTAACATCCACCGCTGTGAGATGCTCGCCCAACGGGTTCACTTTGACCAGACCGGGATCGACGGAGCGTTCGAATCTGGGAAGAAAATCAATTAGAACATATATTCTAGAGTTATCGTCGTGGGGCTTGCGAACCTTCCAAATCTTGTGATTAAGCCGACTTCACCCTGCGCGACTGGTTTGAAAGGGTTGGGGCAGCAGAAACAGCATGGAATGGCACCCAAGCAACCAATACATTCACCAAGTCCGTGAACTAATAGCATCACGAGTCCGTTAGACCAATAAAGCTTGGATGGTGTGATATAGGTCAAGGGTGAAACTTACTGAACGAAGCGTACCATCCGTGCGCATCGGGGTTATCTTCACCGTGTTGAATTTGCTGCGCATACTTCGGTTGCAGGTCGTCCAAGCGCGCTGGTTGCACATTAACCAAGCCTGCACCTTGTGTCGCGCGGGCAGAGTTAGTAGGTTGCTGAACTGGCGCCTTGCCGTTGATATCTGCGCTTCTTTCGGCCGACATTTTCAATTACTGATGGGAGGAATCGCAGGTCGTAGAGCAGTGTACAGTGTGTAGCGGTAATTGAACCAAATCAGAGGCGAAGGGCTTGAGTAAAACTAGGACGGTAACCTCAGATCGTAGGTGATGGTGTAGTGGATATATAAAGTCAACTAGAGAGACAAACAAATCGTCAAAAACTAAAAGTCGGAATGATGAACTGATGGAGAGGGATTTAGAAATATGACATCGGAAGAGGGGGTGAGGGGAATTAAATACCGTTGAGCAGCTACAACCTTAGTTTCCCAAGTCTACCACTCGACAGCAGGCTTCCCGTAGGGTGGTAGCTAGCACAATGAACTACTCACATCAACTCAGATGTTCTCCGCATCGGTGGCTGTGGGTCGCTAGTTTGGGTCCGATGGCCCTTGGCTGCTTGGTTCCTAAGTTGGCCCTCTTAGCCCATTCCTTCTGGACGCCTCGTGTCCTTGATCCCTGAGGCTTTCCGCCCGCCAGCTTGTTACTACCACTAGTAGTTGCTGGAACCATTCAGGAGCTCTTACTCCGCCCCCCAAGGCTGAGCAACTTAGGAGGCCCCAATTCGTCCATATAGTACAGTTTTGTTGATGAGAAGGTTCCTAAGTTTCCTCACTTTTCCAGACCCTGCCACGCTTACGATCCAACGACGGACCAATCTGCGCCAATGTCTTAGACTGTGCCCGAGGCCGAAAGGCGCGTGCCAGAGGGTACTAAATCCGCTAAGAATTGAGTCTCACCTCTGATATTGCGATGCTACGCTGCTACCCATGCAAATTACATCATTCTAGAAGACGAAGACGGCTATGCGGCAAGCAGGCGAACCACACGGATTCCTTCCACCAACCATACTGAGACTTGGAGATTACTAGCACGATAGGGCAGCATATGGATGGGACCACTTAATCAACTACAATGTGCTTTGATCACCCGGCAGGCATGCTTTTCTCTCCCTGCCGTTGCCCCGGCATCACAATACCGTCCTGTCAATAGCCACGTGAGCTCTCCGGGTCTTTCTATATGTTTTCTAGCGACCAACATCCCCCCGGGTTGACCCATGGCACCAGAGCTCACAGCCCTCCCCGACACTTCGGTCGGCGATCTCGTGTTGAGATCAGCGGGCGAAGGATTAGGTTTGTGCTGTGCAATCACCCCAAATACAACGACGATGATTACCGTTACACAGGGGATGGTTACTCTTGAACCATAGAACATGCATCCTACTTTGGCTATAATTGTACTCGGCATAATTGATCCGATAGACATGAGCTTGTGACAATATTGCTCTTAATTGACACCTCCGTGGATCTACAATGAGGCTCTTATGGACAGGATAAGGGTTCAGGTCCCACCACGTATTTGGCGCCAAGTAATCGGGCGCACTGAGGCAGTGCTTCCTTTGCAGGTTGTGGGCCAAGGCTCAACTGACCCGACACTGGGCGATAGGGAGACCAATCACCATGTTACCATTCTTCCGATGTTCGTCTCTTACACCTGATTCGAAGCATAAGTAGCTCATGGCCCCGAATGAGAGTATTTCATTCACACGTTGTTGTCATCATGTAATGGAAACAAAAACTTGAAGCGCTGAGTGACTATCTACGCAACAAGGACATGGATGGGCAAGAGCGTCAGTCAAATCACAACCAGAGGAATCAGGCAATCCCGCCAGGAACTTTCAATTTAGCCGGTGGGTCATTCGCATACCTCCGCCGGCGCGCATACTTCCGCTGAAGTAGTGAAGTGTTATCATTACTATAACAGGAAATTGCCATAGACACGCTGAGCCCGAATCTCGGCTCAACTTCCAGTATGCGGCCTCATCCTTTTCTCCTACTGGTTTTATCAAATTTCGTCAGTGATGCTCTCGCCCAAATTACTATGTAGTATCTCATTGGTATGAGCGGGTCCTTGAATATAGTCGCTATTTCGGAAGATAGGAAGCCCCGATCGTTTGCACCAGATCATGCATAATGCATGATCTTGTCTACTCCGCGTAGCTTATGAAAATGTAGAAATCCATTGTTAGCACCAAGGCGAACTGTTCAACCTTTTACCATGGCATACTGTACTAAACCTTTACCTATTCCTCTGTTTCGGCGCGCTTCCGATCATGCCAGAGTCCATACTACTACCTATTTCTGACTTCCTCAGCCAGATTAGCAGCTCCGTATATTTAGCTGTCTATTCTCCAAATACAGGCGGTACGTTACTACACGGATAATTGAAGAGATTTATAATTCTATCTTCAAAGCTTAAGCCAGAATTGCTTTGCCCACTTGTGTATAAGCTGTAGGATTTACTAGAGAAAATAGGCAGAATAGAGGAGATATTATAGAAACTCTCTTATGTGCTTGGTATAGAAACAACAAAAGTGAGGATCATGAATAAGAATTATACTTTAGAGGCTCTCTATATATATTTTTCCTGGGACTGGATGTGTTTAGAGAGAGCCTAACCTTCAACATGGTCTTCTGTAGAGTTGGCTGCAGAATTCAAGGCCACTACCCTTTGCACGTAGACATGGGTGGGAAAGCACTATCAGATGTCTCTTCAGTATCGACTTTCCGGCCACCTATCCTAGTATACTACAGGGTCGACTATACTTCATTCTCAGAGTCGTGAAGTCGAAAGCAGAATTAACATGAAGTTGTCATACTTATTGATAGGTCAAAAATGCTGCAAACATTTTCATACAATAGCATCATTGGTCTAGTGGTAGAATTCATCGTTGCCATCGATGAGGCCCGTGTTCGATTCACGGATGATGCACATCTTTTTTGATTATTATTTTTTTTGGCTGCTTCTCACCTATCCTGTTAGCCCTTGATCAGTTCCATCTTTCTGATTTGAACTATCAACGTTGTCTCTAGAATTAAGTCCTCCTCAAAGGCATGGCAGGAGATGTCTCCGTAAGGGTTGAAGAAGCATAGACGTCATATCTTGAAAATACCATAAGATACAATGGGAGCTTCACGATAATAGTAGATAACAGAATAACGTGCAAGCGTCTCCCTCTGCGTTTTCGAGTCTTTGCTCTGGCCAGTCCTTTGGCATCAATATTCAAAGCCCTTTGGGGCGTTGTGACTTGTCGCAGAATGTCGCGAACCCAGGCCTAAGGCCACCATGGCCTGGGCCCGGGCTACGCACTTCAACCAAATCCAGCAGTTACAGAATGGAGTACCCCTGTTGCAAGATGACGTAAGGTCGAGTTCTGCAGTCCCCATTGAAACGATTGTATCAACACCGGCGTGACACGCCCTCTTACCAGATATTCCACTTAATATAATTGCACTTCGCAATAAACTGGGGAGTCATTGACACATAGTAGAGTTTCCAGGGAGTTTCGTAGCCAATGTAAGATACTAAAAGCTCAATGTCTTAAAGCACAGCCGCAAATTAGCAGACTGATAGCCCCGATTCAGTTTCAGATGAGCGCACTCCTCCTTCCTCCCACTATTGCTCCATTTTTGACGCCCGCCCCTTTGTCGTTGCCATTCCAAACGACCAATTATTCTGGGCATTTCAGGAACCCCGCATATGACCTTTCAATGCTTGGAGTTTCTTCTAAAATAGCAACAATTGCTCAGCCCTGCTTAGTCATCTACCCTGAACCCGAAAAGGCGCAAGCGGAGAATCCCTTAAAATCGATCGACGAGAAGACTGACCAGGGGATTTGCATGGTGACAAGCATTTCTATCCTGTTCCTGAAGCCGGAGCTGGTCTCCTTATGCCTTTTGGAGATTGACGATGAGTTCGTTCCACAACTTGGTGCTACAGGCAAAGAAGGCGCGCTCTGTCATCAATTACAGAGGGAGGAAATCAGATGCCAAGAAGAATAATCTGTCCAAGCACGCTGCAGGTTCATCATCAGTGTCCTCGTCAGTGTATGTTGAATGCCCCTCGTTGGATTCCGAGTTCTATGCTTAAGGTTTATGGCGTGTTCATCACTAACATACCCTCGTTGTACTATTACAGTGTGGAGCTAGTTCCGACTTCTTCCCCCTGGGATCTCCTCCCAGTCGAGATTCAGATCAAGATATTCGCCCACTGCGGTGTCACGGATTTCCTACCATTAAAGCTTGTCTGCAAATCGTTCTATCTGCTGCTTAACTCGCAGGAACAATGGATTACCCGGCAATACCTCCGTCAACGTCGCCATGGAACACTTCCATCCCCAATAGATAGCGAAAGAACATATACTCGGAACCCGGAGGATGATGCAGTGTTGTTATCGGATTTGTTTCCACCAGCCAAAAGCGCTAAGGGTGGTCACATATACACTTTCAAGTATATTTCCGGCCTGCGTCGCCGGCAGACGCTTTGTTCAAGGCTTTGCTGCTACCTTGCAGACCGTGTTATGGATCGGTTTGTGCACAGCGAACCGGCGTTTATGAAATCCATGTTCACCTCCAAAGCTGAGCGCTGTGTCTTCGTGCAAAGGACTACTGCGCGCTTATGGTTTCATCTCGCTCCGCTCATGTAAGTAGTGGCCTCCCAACCTCCCGTTTTAGTGCTCTTCTAACGCATTCCTCTTCATGCAGGTATTATACACTATACTTCCTTGAAACCTATGCTCTTGCCAGGCGAGAGCAGACTAACGTTCTTCTGCGTGACTGGGAAGCCGGACGCTTGCCAGTTCCTGTACCCCCACACATCCGTAAAGCCATGTACCGGGACTTGCAAGTAAAGATAATCAGATCACCCCCTTTTACTGACACCCCTACCCTCATAGCCACACATCACTGCATGCAACTTCTAGTCTCATACTTGCGGTACACTGTACCACCGGATGAGCCTACGGTTTCGGATGACAGTTGGATTGGATCGTTGCTTACAGTATCGCCGTTCCTCCGAATAGTGGAGTACTTCTCCGCTGAGATCGGGGATGGTGGCAATCAGCGGATGCAGCGAAAGGACTTCATGCACAATTTTCATAATGATATTACATTAAATGAAAAGGACGACATCAACATGTTGGTCTTCCAGAATGCCCCGAATGTGCATCTGCATGGTTCCGTGGAAGATGTCTGGTTCGATGTTGTGAAGGAGGAATTGGCTTTACGAAAGGCGGCGCCGCATCATGCAGAGCGCGTCATGGTTTGGACAGGATTGCCTGTCCTATTCAGCTGCCAAGACTGTCGCATTCCAGATGGATGGCGTGCATAATGCATTCTGTCGGTTTAGCAAGCATTGCATTCTTTGCATTCACAAGGCGAGGCGTTTCATCGGGGTTTTGGTGTACTCCATGGTGGAGAATATGTCCATCTTCATGACATGAGCTCTTTGCTCATCTGGGTGTTACTCGTTTGGCATAACGATTTTAGCAGCGGCTATTACATATAAATGGAGATTTTTTTGCCTTGAGATCGGTCCCTTAATCTGTAACGAGAATGCTTCCTTCACTACATTGTAAGCAAGCCCTATGCCCTATGTTGTTTTCCGGGAAAATATGTTTGCAATGTTTGCGTGATAAGGAGCATCGATTAGACAGATAGTCGCGCCGAGGGCATTCCGCTCTCCCAACTAAATAAACAGCTGCCGCATCATTTTACTGATCGACAAGAGAGCACCTCTTCCAATTGTGCTATTCTAACACGATATGTGATACACCACTCCTTCACATGCATTGTACACTCTCAACCAGCCTCAAGGTACCACAATGGCACAAACAAGCCTACTAAACACCTCGTGGATACTCCACCGTCTCTCCCCTCTTCACCACGGAAGAGACTTCGACAGCCTTGTCAACAACCCCGCGGCTCTGAAATTCTACGCGACCAGACTGCGCGATCAGTTGACCGCATCCTCCTTCCCGCTTGCCCTCCAATCCAGCGGTCCATTGCCCACGACAGACGACGATTCCCTCTCCCGAACCGGCGCGCTGCAATCCTGCACCTGGGAATCCATATCCAGTCTCTCATTCTCAGATACTGGACATGAACGTGACCCTGAAAATGGGTCTCAGGCGCCAGACGGACCTCAATCTCGAGCGCGGACTCAACGCTCAGCACCTTCACATACGCCTTCCCCACAAGGAGGAGGAATCCTCGTGAAGCTGGAGTACGAAAACGCAACATACAAAGCAGCTCTTCTTACCTTGTCCTCTCTTCCTGCATTCCAAACCGAAGCCACTTCAAAACCTCGCACTCGAACGCGCTCTCAGACTCAAACACATGCTACGCACCTACCGCTCCTTCTGACCCGCTTTCCTGCCCCTCTCCGACAGACCTTCGTCTCTTTTCTGTCTTCGACCTTCGACACGTACTGTTCTCCGCTTCGTCTTCCCTCGCGATTTATAGGCACAGCCTTGAACACATACATAAACACATTGAACTCCGAAGATGGATCCGGGTCTATGGACGTAGTCGAGATCGTCAAAGAGCTTCACCTCACTCTATCGTTTCCTGCCTCTGTTTCGCCAGATTTGCGTACATTGAACGTTACGATACCACGGGATTCACTGGGCGGGTTCCTTGATGTTGGAAATAACGGAACTGGAAGTGAGTTGAACGTTCTGGCTGTTCTCAGTTCATACTTGGAAGAGCATTTGGCAATGAAGTTTGATTTGAGCGGTGGCAATGCTGAGCCCACCCCCAAGGAGCAAGATTATGTGCGGCTTTCACGGATCGCCTGCGGGGGGTTCGTGCTCGGTGGAGACGGGAAGCTCAAGCTGGTTGCTGCACCTCCAGTAGGCGACAACGATGGCTCGAATACCGCTGCTGATCGGAAAAATCTTCTTGCATTACGGGCTTGTGAGGTGTTGCTTTCCGATACCTTGCGTAGGGCTGAGATGAGCGAGGACGAGAACCAGAAATCCTGATAGATCAGGGTCACAGACTACGAAAATTTGCACGAACAAGCCAATCACGAAGGAAGAAAACCGCTGGTGATTCTTGTTTTGACTGCTATCAACAACATATCTAACGGATGCTGGGACTATACATTCTAAACGTCTGTCTTGTATCGTGCAATGTCGTGAATCGTTTACAGGTTCGGGTCATGACCAGGTAGCACATCTATACGAGAGAAGCGCCGGGCTTCACATAAAATTGAACCTTCAAGGTTCCGATGCATGGCCTTCCGACTCAGCGAGCCGAAGCGCCTCATCAACACCGGTGACAAAATGAGACATGCCTCCACACCGGTCGACTATGCCGCTTCTTTCGAACATGCGGAAGACGCTGCGGTTCGAAAGCCGACAGAAATACACGCTTACTCCGAGATTGATGTAATCATTAACGATCTCGGAGAGGACCTGCGTACCGGAGCCATCAATGCTCGTAACACCGTGAACGTCGAAGATAACATTCTTATTTGATTCCGGGGGGCGCAACCGTGGAAGGGACGGATGTGCGCGATTTGAGCCGTAGAACTCTAGGCGGCGCAAGCGATTCTTGAGATCGCCAGTGTTGGCGAAGGTGAGCGGCTCGGGGATCTTAACAACAAGGGCACCGTCAATGAGCTCCACATTTTCCGCATGCATTTCGGCGTTATCGTATTGGTCGGGTGTTCCAGCTATTTTCCCGAGAATCTGTATGCGAGGCTGGGTGGAGTGGCGAATAAGGATCAGGATTGAGAGCCCAATGCCAAGCGCGATACCCAGCTCCAGCGAGTAGAATATAGTGGAGACGAAGATGAGAAGCATCAATGCAAGCTCTGTCCAACCACGCAGCCGGATGAAGAAGGCAACGTCGTGAGGACATTCCTCTATAAGACTGTATGCGACGACCGATATCGTAGAGCATAGTACAGCTTTCTATGGTGGTTATTAATATATGGGTTTTGTCAAGTATTCACAGGTGTTGGGGAAGAACTCACAGGAAGATAGTATAGGTACGGCAAGAGCACCATAATAACAATGAAGGTGATAATACTGAGGAAGATACTGCTCATAGGAGAGCGAGCGCCCGTAGAGGCGTTGACTTTGCTCCGTCCGTATCCACCAAAGGCAGGGAGAGCCATAAAGCAGCCCCCAACCACATTAGCAACGCCCAGAGCAACCATCTCCCTATTCGCACTGACAGACATGCCTTGGACCCCGTCTCGTCTCTCCCCGAGCCCCTTGGCAGCAACTGAGGACTCGAAGAAGCCAAGGATAGCAATGATGAAGGAGGTGCTCATGGCGGTGCGCACATGCTTCAGATGTTTGATTTGGAAGGGCCACCTGAAGGCGAAGAGCCCAGTGGCAGTGTTCTGAACCGACCCCAGAACTTCCAGCCCCTGCTCGTACCAACCAAGACGCCAGGTCAGAATGGCCGAGAGGATCACGACAAGGATACGGTCGGGGAAGTATACGACCTGAGGGTATCGTGGTTCTAGTGCTTTTTTGATTGTTCTGAGGCAGGTAGCACAGGGTCAGCAATCAGGTATCTCCCCTACACGCTAGGTGGGGACATGGTACATACCGAAAGAGCATAATGATTGCAAAACTTCCGAAGGATACAGCAGCTGTAAGACCATGACAGCTTTTGATATTCCCAGCAAGAAAGACAAGCTTCTGCACTGTGCTGCCATGACTGACACCGGCCTCTTTGGCCAAGTCTGCCAGTCCAACCTCCGGGATGAGCTGGTCAACAAAGATGACAAAGCCAATGGCAGTAATGAAGCCTCTCAAAAAAGGCCGACTGAGTACATTGTCCAGGAAACCCAGCCTAGTCAGTCCAGCGACTAGTATCATTGCTCCTGCCATGGCAGTGGCTATGCCTACAACCATTGCGCTTGCGGCCTCATCATCCTCCTGCGAGTGGCCTTGTTTGACGCTAGTTTTAACGATTGTTCCCGTCAATAGCGACCCAGCTGCTTCCGGACCAACAACGAGCAGAGGACTGCTTCCTAGAATTGCATAAAGCAGTGGCATGAAAACGAATGAGTAAAGGCCGTTAATGGCTGGTGCATGGGCGAGGTTCGAAGCCAAAGATAGGGCCATGGGAATGTAGATTGACGCGATTGTCAAGGCTGCAATTAAGTCGCCTCGGAGGAAAGACCAGCGATATTGTGTGATCCAGTTGAAGAACGGGATGTAGTATGAGAGGTACCTGTGTCTCAATCAGTCGTTACGTCCTGAATCCAAAGCCAAGAGGCCGTATAGTCCAAGCCTACATAGTCTTATGGTTCTTCACAGGCCATGCCAGGCCTGACCCAGTCCTGGGAGGCAGGTTCTCCGGCCCTTGTACGAACGTCGGGCTTCCATTCCCGTTCCGAATATGTCCTTCAGGCCCACCGTCAACCTGCGGCGTCGATAAACCATCTCTTGTACCGTATGCGGGACCTTGACCATCGTCCAATTTCAACAAGCGGGTTCTATCATTCGGTTCTAAGGTCTCGGGAATCCGTTCAGGCGGAGAATCTGCAGAACTGTTTGACAAAGGTGCTCGGAAGAAGTTGGCAAGCCAATCCCGCAAAGAGCGGTGTTCGAGGTGTCCGCCCTGCGGATTGGGATCCGTCATGTTGATTCGGAGAAACCCGGGGTGAAAAGCACGATCGAATCAAACAGACAATGCACGCTGTAATGTCGCAGAAAACGCCATAAGGAATGGCGACTTCGGCGACGAGGGAAGATAGGGAAGAAAGGAAGCACAGTTGTGGTTGAGCGATTTGCGAGACACGATTGCTAGCGCAAGGAGCGGTGGCTGTTGGCTAAGATAAGTCCATCGTTAGCGGAATCGTAAGTTTTCGGACGAAACAAGCAGGCCCTGATTGGCGGTGGAACTGAAAGTTCAGCATACCAAGATATTTTATTTCGCAAGGCTGATGCACGGGCAAAGTTTTGCCCTGCAAGCTCTCTCACACACTCTCCGATCTAGCTTAAAAATTGAGACAGGCGTCGATGACGTTCGAACCCTGGAGATAAACATACTTAAAACTGGAGAACCCACTCCTAGCTTACATAACTTTCTTTGTTCTCCCTTCAAGTCAGCACATTCCGCCCTGTCTGTGACTGATCTGGATAATATACAGCAGACTAGTCTACAACAGACTCAGAAGGTATTGCCGAACGTTGGGGTAATTGGGCATCCAACTGAAGATGTTACACACAGCGGTTGCCCTCTGATTCAAGCAATCTGCATGTAATGCTTACCCAATGGGTTGCCTTATGCCCAGAGGGCCATTGTTCTACACTCCTTAACAACAGGCTCTTCAATGACGACCACCACCATCTAAATAATTGACCACTAGTGTAGGTTCAGACCACGCCACGTAAGTACCTACCTACAATATATTCGATCCTTCAAAGATGAGTTGTTCTGCAATGATGATGGGGTTAGCCAATCTTCGGTTTTCGCTTAGTAACTGTTGGTGGGCCTCTAGCACGGGCCAAGCCAGCCCGATGATCCCAGTGGACTACAATAGCGGCCTCGGGCAAATGAGATAGAACTATGACCTATATGAGGCTGTATACCAGATTCTACATTTGATCGTTTATTATATCGTTTATTTCGGTCCCCAGCTTCCTGAGGCTGGATTTCCTTTTAGTTTGTATTATGGTTTCCTAGAGCGTGGGTTTCTGAATTCTTATTTTGCCGATACTATTAGGTTCAAGCGAAATGGGGAAAGAAATGACACCATTGCTCTGTCTTGTAAACAGCGGCCAGCATCGAAGAGAAACAAGAAAGTACCAGAAAAATCAAATTTCATCACCTTTAGAGTCGCTCTATAGCTCACCCTAAACCCGTCGCACAGTAAACCAGCAAGACCCCTGGAATAGTACTTATCAGGGCCAAAGATGCGCCAGAGCATGCGGTAGTGTCTGACAAGAATTCCCAGTTCCAGGCAACAAGATGGACACCAGAGAATGCCAAAGATGTGACGTTGCAGGTCATGGATCTTGGCTCATCATACTCATTTTCTTCCCAGTTGAAAGCACCAAACAAGAAGAAACGAGGCAAATCCAGCCAGGTCTCAACCGCATTACCCTTTCCATGATTTCTTCTCTCCGCATCTGGTGGGCCCAGTCTATCATACAATTTCTTGCTTTCTCCTGGTGAGGAGGAAGTTGAGGGTGGCACGTTGGACTCCGGGGTTTCGTGAGTTGGTGGCCAGAGGCTTCCAGTAGCCTAGTATGCTTGTTCTATTCGCCCCCTAGCCATATAGCAGGAATGTTGATACCTTAGCTAATTAGCGCTAGTAATTCACCAGTATTCTTATGAATAAGGTCAATATTATCAGCATTATGCCTGTCCACACCATCTGTATACGATGATAAAAGAGCCGGATGGCTTTAAATTGTCTAGCAAAATTCCAGCTGCAAAGCAGGCCACACCTTATAATATTGACTCAGAATCATTACTTCCACTTCTCCTGCAGCTACTATATATTTGAATTTTCGCAGCCACCAGTGCCATTCCACTTAATCTTATAAAAGACACAACCTAGGTTACATAGTTGTCCCAGTATTAATGGTCCTGCAGCGGCTACCCCGCTGAGAATTTCTTCAGAAAGAGCCTTGCATTATTAACCTGCTGGGTGCATCAAGGTCATATAATTTTGTATTGATGTTCCATCTCGGATTATCCTCCATCTGCCAGTGGTCTCACTGGCCGTGATATACTCGGCCGACTCTAATGTCACCAATCATGTCTATCCGGTAAGAGATTATCGTGTAGAGAAGATACCTCGCCCTGCCTCGTATAGCTGGTCAAGTGCGGTCTGCCACCATTTTTTTGTTCAAGATCTGTGTCGGCCTGGTTGGCAAGGTCAGATGAACTATTCTCTTTGGCTTGGGAAGAATTGTAATGGTAGGTAAGGCTACTAGCGGTTCATACTTCTCGAAGTTTACTATCTCGATGCTTAAATCTGGCAGTAGAGCTGAATGTCCGGCTCGTAATATATCGTTCGAGATTCAAGGACTGTCTGTCGCGTGTATTGTTCTACTGATCGAGGCTTTTACTGTAAATGTTTCGGTGCTTCCTTTCTAGGAGTAAACCCCCGCACCTGAAAGGCATAGGCATAATTACTTGATTCCCTTTTTTCTCTTTTCTTTTTTTTCCCAGCTAGAAAACTCATGAATCCTTGAGATATAAGAAACTTCAGAATGGTCACATTTCCGAAACATAGTGGTAGCATTGGAAACAAAAATCTTGATTATTTGAGTCAAAGTATAAAATGCGTACAGGAGGACTTCATACTATTTCTACTATTACTTTTAGGCGTGGGTAGGCCTTCAATCATGCCATTCACAAGCCTCATGTTGGAATGGACATACCAGTCAACCACAAGCGTCATGCTAAGCATTCTGATATCTCTTCACTAATCATATCCATCGAATATTCCAACGGTGTCTCACAGTGCAACATAATTTAGTATGCTGACTTATACTATTTTTACTTTCCTTTTCAGGTTGGGGGGTGCAAGCAGGGATTACCTCCACACTAGTTTGCTCCAGCTAACGCTGTCTTGCCTTCAAGGCTAGTATTGCCTTCGTCATAAGCAGCCTTCGGTGCCGAGTCTGCATAGCCAATGTTCGGAGAGTCCACTATTCTTGAGCAACAATCCGAACATTCTTTACTTTTACGTACTATGTATTACTTTCCGTATCCAAGCATAGTATACCTGGTCGACGATAAGGAATATAGTTTAGGCTCGGGCCAATTTCTGGGGTGCCGAAGAGGATCTTAGTTTGGAGCTCTTGAAAGCAATGAATTCAAGAGCGCCGCACTTCAAACTTGTCAAGTGGCCGTCTTGGGTATAAGCAGAAAGCAATGATCTCGTAGCGCTGGTCTTCGAAGAATGTCGTACTACTAGACGATTACTACTAATTAGAGGATCTCCCAGAAATTCAAAAGCCATTCTCTGAATGGGCGTATAGGCTAAAGACTCAGGGTAGTTGCTTGATACTGCTGTGTCAGACCCATAATCTGCTGATAGATTCCATCAGATTATCAAAGAAGGCTGTTGAATACCTCGGTGGCAGAAGTACTTTTAGTCTTGTCAGGACAATAGAGCCTGTCTGCGGGCACGGATAGGCCTATCAATGCATCATCGCATTTTGCCGGGCGGTGAGACTTTTGAGCCCTGCACGTGATGACTCAACCGCGAGGCCGAAAGTGGGTTTTTCGAATTGTGCTTTGTGATCCCCAATAGTGGCAGTCTTCAATCCAACCTCACAACTCCCTCACATCCTTTCGGATTCTTCTACGCAGGTATTCTCTCGAGGCCATTTTGTCTCGGATACCTTGTCGATTTCCAGCCTTTCATCAGCCCTTGAACAGTCCCGAAGCTTTGCCTAGCAGAAGGCGCAACCCCGCCGAAAATGTCGTTGACAAATTGCCGTTTCTACGAGGAGAAGTATCCGGAGGTTGACAGCTATGTCATGGTCAATGTGAAGCAGGTATGCATTGCTACAGGTCATGTGGTTCTTTCAGGGTTCGAAAACATCCTCTAATACTTGTCTTTTCACCCCTCACAGATCGCCGAAATGGGCGCATACGTTAAGCTCCTCGAGTATGACAACATCGACGGCATGATTCTGCTCTCCGAATTGTCGCGCAGACGTATCCGTAGTATCCAGAAGCTTATTCGTATCGGCCGTAACGAGGTCGTCATCGTGCTTCGTGTGGACAAGGAGAAGGGCAAGTCGGAGTCCTCTGGATGACAATATCAGCGTCAATTTACTGACTCTTTTTTCTCCACGTCTTTAGGTTACATTGATCTTTCCAAGCGTCGAGTTTCTCCCGAAGATGTTGTCAAGTGCGAGGAAAGATACAACAAGAGCAAGGCAGTCCACTCCATCATGCGCCACGTTGCCGAGGCCACTCAGACTCCTCTTGAGACCCTATACCAGCAGATCGGATGGCCTTTGAACCGCAAATACGGACACTCCCACGATGCGTTCAAGATCTCCATCACGTAAGGAAACCTCTCGACTCAAGGCTATCGCGGACCGAGTACTCATAACATCACAGGAACCCCGACGTGTGGAACGAGGTTGAATTCCCTAGCGAGTCCGTGAAGAAGGAGTTGACGCACTACATCAGCAAGAGACTTACTCCTCACCCGACCAAGGTCCGTGCCGATATTGAGGTTACCTGCTTCGGTTACGACGGTATCGATGCCGTCAAGGATGCCCTGCGCACCGCCGAGGCCAACAACACCCCTGAAACCCAGATCAAGGTTAAGCTGGTTGCCCCGCCACTCTACGTCTTGACCAGCCAGTGCTTGGACAAGGCTATTGGTATTCAGATGCTCGAGGAGGCCATTCAAAGGATCGAGGCCAGGATCAAGGAGTCTGGCGGTGGCTGCATCGTTAAGATGGCTCCCAAGGCTGTTACTGAGCACGATGATGCTGCTCTTCAGGAGCTCATGGAGAAGCGTGAGCGTGAGAACATGGAAGTCAGCGGCGACGAGAGCATGTCCGAGAGCGATGAGGGCGTTCCCGAGTAAATTGCCTGCGGCAAGCTTAGCGACAGCGTGTGAAGCTTGAGGGTTCGCTTCGACGGCGACATGAGAAACAAGCAGGACGCTTCACGAACTGGTGTTGGAGGGTATCGCAGACTGGAGATTGAAGGCGATCATATACGTGTGTCGGGTAGGGCGTGGAAAAAAAGTTCAATAGAGTTTCTGGACATGACACGATTTATGAGACGCAAGTACGGTTTAATGTGCGATGTGCGACGGGTGAAATCGAGATCATCGGCGGGGTATGAAGACGATCGGAAGGGCCTCATCCCATCCAAAGGCCTTTCTTTCCCATAAGGTGATAATGACATGCACATTGTCCCTTGTATTGTTGATCAGTGGATGTTGCTTGACTCTCTGTTGGTGAGTGGCTTTAGCCCAACAGGAGCCCTCCCACGTTTTGATGTACATAAGCTTCTTTGATCAACGAACGGTTCAACCCCAGTGGCCGTTTCAGATACTGATTTATAAGTCCTTCTCTTCCGGATGACGTTTAAGGAGCAGGTCGATCATTTCGCTCTGCTGCTCAGTAACAGTAGTAGTATCCTGACCGCCTGTATGGTTTGCACCTTGGGGATGGCACCTTCATTGGTGGTTTGGGTGAGCGGCTAAGAGGTGGGGCGCACGGCCTGGCCGAGTTAGTCTTGAAAGACTTACAACTAAATAGACCGTAGCTCTGAGTCTCCCTCCTGAGTCCCCCTCTCGGCGCCTGTGAAAATCTAACCAGTGCTGCTATTCTATTAATCGATCTATTCCTCTAGGCCATAAGAAATGGGCCACTGGCGAGATATCTTCAACACCGACACGGGGCGGACCCGCCACCGCCTGCATATGGAACAACACCGATGTACGTCATCTGATTGCGGAGCCGCTCTACAACGTGCTCTCGGCTAACAGGGTTCATAGTGCTTCCTGCCTTTACAGATGACCAAGTCTCTTCTACTCTTCCCTCTAAGGAGGTGACAAAAGTCGCTCTTCGTCTGAAATATCAGCTGGAGCAAGTCATCCCTTGCGAGCTAGATGAGAGTGATATTGTCAGTCCGAATAGTCGGGTCATCACCAAGAATGTAATTCAGACAGCCCGTCTAGCAGGAGGTGAGGACCTGCAGGCCTGTGTTCCATTTTGTCTACTCGTTTGTTTGCGTTGGTTCAAGCTTCAGGCCGAGGAAGAGCTCTGGGATTCCGATTTACATGAGCGCCGAGCCCTTGCTTGTGAGGTCATAGCGAAGAGGATGTAGTACACCCTTTCCTAACATTATCATGGAGCCTTTGCTGACTAAATTGATATAGCATTGAAACCGAGGAAGATCAGGACAATTTACTCATCAATGTTCTCCTTAAGCGGTATTCGATCTTCATCGATGGTGGGGAGACTATGCCAGTAAATGTCATCGAGCGCGCTGTTGATCTGCATGCTTTGAGGGTCATTGGCTCCTCGGGTTATCAAAAGTGTATCAGATACCTGTGGAATGGATGGTTCTGCCAGCAAGAGGGCAATCCAACCAATTTTGTCCCTTACCTGGAGAGGGACAACACGAGTTTTTCGGTTCACTTCCACCCAGATCGGATGAGGACGCCTCTATATCAGAACATCTGCCAGATCTTCTTCTCCCTCGTCTATCTCGGACTCTATACTCAGGTTATCAACACAGTAAATCCCACCGGTGACCTAGATGCCGTCGAGGGGATCCTCTATGTGATGACCCTTGCCTTCATCTGCGACGAAGTAGCCAAACTCTGGAAGGTCGGCTGGCACTACTTAGACTTCTGGAACGCCTTCAACTCTACGCTCTACGCAATTCTCGCCGTGTCTTTCTTCCTGCGTGTTGCTGCCTTGGCGCATTCTCAATCTGTTCACGATGCGGAAAGACAAAGTCTGAATGAATTGAGCTACAACTTTCTGGCATTTGCGGGGCCCATGTTCTGGATGCGCATGATGCTCTATCTCGATTCCTTCCGCTTTTTCGGTGCTATGTTCGTGGTTTTGAGGGTTATGATGAAGGAGAGCTTGATTTTCTTTGCCCTTCTCTTTGTCGTTCTTGCGGGCTTTTTCCAGGCATTCATCGGCATGGCTCAAGTAGATGACGATACTCCCATCGTAAGAGGTATTGTGCAAGGAATGGCGAACAGTGTCATGCAGAGCCCAGAATTCAGCACGTTTGAAGACTTCGCCTTTCCGTTCGGAATCATCCTCTACTACGTTTTCAACTTCGTTGTAATGACCAGTGGGTATCCCCTTGGGTATAATATTTGGTTGCCAGGCTGATTCGGTCCGCTCTAGTTCTGCTGAATATCCTGATCGCGCTCTACAACAGTGCTTACGAGGATATCTCGGGAAATGCTATTGATGAGTACATGGCCATCTTCGCTCAGAAAACCATGCAGTTCGTCCGCGCGCCGGATGAGAATGTCTTTATACCTCGTATGTTTAGCTTACTATTTCTGATAGCCATGACTAACGCCTAAACTAGCCTTCAATCTGTTGGAGATCATCTTCTTAGTGCTCCCGTTTGAATGGTGGCTACCAAGGCAATACTACGCCAAGCTCAACGATGTCATCATGGGCATTATATACTCACCCATCCTCGTTATCACGGCGTTCTTCGAGGTGCGCGACGCAAGACGCATCAGGTGGAACCGTCGGCGCGGTGAAGAGGACGATGATAACGTGCAGGAATGGGAACACGCCGCCGAGGAAGTCGACTTTGATCTCGACGATAGCTGGACGCAGACTGTGCGGGAAACCACCCCGAATGTTCAAATTGACGGCACCACGTTGGAGATCATACAACTGAAGGAACAGGTCATGTCACTTACCGAGACAGTCAGGGTATTGGCTGAAGAGAGGGCTGGGAAGAGTATGATGCTTGGGGAGTCAAGCTCAACCATCGTGGATCCGGAATGAGCGTCATTCTGGGGAGGGTCAGTTGTCTTTTGGTTCTTGGTGTTTATGATCTATACGCTTCACCACATTTTGTGACAGTCGACAGTCGTCTTCCGGTTGATATTCTGCTTCGCTTCATACTTAGGTATATATATCAATGCATACAGATACGTATCTACGAGCATCAGGTTTTACTACTGTCGTATGTTGAGGACGATGTAGGGTGTGTTCCAAAGCAAAATAAATTAAGAAAAAAAAGAAGTGTCTTTGTCGTGTTAACAAGCCTATGTCTACTTAACACATCTTGGTCCCGTTTTTGTGTTGTAACAAGGGGTAAAAAAAAAAAAAATATTATGATGATGAAAGGAGAGAGCACCCAAGAGAATCCTGAAGCGAACGTGAAAAAAGCAAAAAAGAAAGCCCAACGCGGGGCTCGAACCCGCAGCCTTGAGATTAAGAGTCTCACGCTCTACCGATTGAGCTAGCCAGGCTAGTTCGGTGGAAGAGGTTGGTTTAGTATGCTACATATTCCTTACGTCAATAATCTGGTAGGTCAAGTATTCGATGACTGGATCTCCTCTTCTGCGGAAAGCTTGGGCCTGCCACCTATCTTTGACGACTGCTGGTGGATTTTTTTACCAATTATTTCAATCTAGAACAAGGTTTCTCACTGGTACTGGTATGGGCTCATGAGGTTATGACTGTAGGCAATATGATTGAACAACTGGCTTGCAACCCAGTGGTAATATATATTGAACGCCTGGAACTGCTGCATCCGCACCTGCAAACTGGTACTAGGGTTCAATACGTGGGGTTATCTTACAGCTGACGTGCAAGGGAAAGCGAACTACAGACAACTTTACCACGACACGATGCACAAAGTAGCAAGCAAAACAGTAGCAGAAGCAAAGGTAGAAAACGAAGCCGGTTGGCGAGTCGTAAATACTCCTCTGCCGCATGCTGGCGGTGGATGGCCCGTCCATAGGCAGCACACCCCATATCCCTAATTTCAACGTGCATCGTCAGCTAGAACATACTGAGTGGACGATTATACGTGGAAAACATGACGAGAACGGCCTGCAATAAATCTGGGATACCGAGAAGTGCTTGCAACAGGATGAACCCAGACTGAAAGGGTATTTATGTGTCTGCTTCGACTTGAGCATATCTCCCGGGGCGGTGGGAAGGCTGCATTAGCGTGGGTACCTGGAATATATAGCTTAATTAAACACTGTCTTTCACCGAACTAGCCCGGCTAGCTCAATCGGTAGAGCGTGAGACTCTTAATCTCAAGGCTGCGGGTTCGAGCCCCGCGTTGGGCTTTCTTTTTTGCTGTTTTTGTTATTTAGATAACGCTTGTTTACGTATCCCAGTGCTAAATATCAGATGGACGGACATGTATCTAGCTTTTTTGACATGATGTCGAGACGGTCAGCGGACATACCTTCTCGAATCAGTGGCCTTGCATTTTACACGCCCACAATATCCAGCTTACATGTGTATAATAGGCCTTAACTCGGAGGCACAACAATGGATTCAATCGTCCTCACGCATACTCCCTCAAAACCTTGATCTGAACCCGATTCATTCCACGCTCCGTCTGCCCGAGGAATTTATCTCGGACCATCTCGACATTCCGCTCTGTGGTGTCATGAAGTTTCATCTCAAATTTCCGCAGGAGTGTCCCGAGAACCAAATATAGCCATGCCCAAGCCATACTGCTCTGAATTAGCTTCTGTCTGCACGGGTAGACTTTCTTTGTGTGACAACTTACTTTGGACCCAGGCATCCCATGGTCCCTTTGGAGAATGGAACAAGGTAACGCTCCAGCTTTCGTAAGTCTTCTGGCTCTAGGAGCCAGCGCTCAGGGATGAATCGCGACGGCTCGGGAAAGATCTCTGGATCACGGAGGATGAAATAGGTGGTCATGCTCACAGGAGTCTGGCATATTCATTAGCCCTTGCTTGAGCGCAGAAGAGGAGAGGAAAGTTGCCTTACCCCGCGTGGAATTTCCCATCCGTGAAATTGCAAGATCTCATCCGGCGCGGCACGTGGGAGGCGTGTGGTGACGAGAGCGGACAATCGCAGTCCCTCCTTTAACACGGCGGTCTGATGCACAATTAGACATTCGTCATGAGCGTTCATTCTGAAGAAGGGGAACATACGAAATAAGGCAACTGCTTTAACGTTGTAAGTCGCGGCTCCGTCGAGGCATCTGTCCAAGAAGCACACAATTCAGCGCGGACTCTTTCGTACACCTCTGGGTGTTGTAGAATGTAATATAAATTCATGACCAAGGCTCTTCCTGGCGCATCGGTACCGGCAAGCAGCAGAAAGATCGCATCATCAGTCAGGCGTGAGAACTTTTTCTCGTCCTCAGGTACCTTCTCATCGTCTAGAATCGCAGGATAAATTGCCCTATGCTCCTCGCTGCTCCCTGTATCACGTTCCGTTATGGTCTTGCGAACCATGTCTTGGACTTCCTGGATTCCAATTAGCTTAATTAAGATTCCAAATGCAGATGTAACTCTCACCTTTTCCTGTAAATAGGCCCCGACGAAATCCGCATTCAGAAGTTTTGCTGGCCAAGGAAAGACGTGTGCCAGCTTGCAGAGCCAGGGGAAATGTCTTGTTGTTTGAACAAGCTCAAATGTAGAGTTCAACTTCGTCTTGCTAGCCGTACTCAGTTCCGGTTGGTCCAGAGAGTGAAAGCCGATCCGTTTCCCGAATGCATATTGTGATATAGTGTCACTTGTAAAACATAAAAACGCGGTATGGAGCTCCAAGCTATAGTGTCTGCTTTGTGCACTGCGAAAATGACGACACAAAGCCTGGATATTCGCCCGGATCAGGGGCTCTGAAGACAGAATGGCTTGATCACTGAAAAATTGTCTCAACACGCTTCGTCGGGTGCGATGCAATGCGTGTTGTTCTGTTGAGACTATCGCCTGGGGCCATCCAACGAACGAGAACCAAGCATCTTTGTTTCGCTTCCGCGTCGGTCCTGAGTACAGCGTGTTGTACTTGTCCGCGTCTTTCACGTGGACTTCCCATGGATTGATGCGCACTACGGGACCATACTTCTGATGCAAACGCTCGATGTGCCAGGTAAACTGACCGTCGCGAATCACATCATAGTAAGTTTCATAGAGCCCTGTCGCGGCGGCCAACCGGGGACCAGGGAACTTAGCTAGGGGGCTGAGGCAGAGTCGATAGAAGACAAGTCCGACGACGTAGGCGACGACAAAAATGGCAAATAAGCATACAAATGCCCCTCTTGTAAGGCCTATGCTCACAATGCCGCTCCACTTCAGCGTCGGCAACCCTTGTGGGATATTCATCGTGTCAGCGGGCTTTCAAATTTATTGCTGTATTCGTACCGCGCAGTTGGAGTAAGGGATATAAGAATAAGGACACTGCCGTGGAATGCTCCTTATCCTTCAGAATAGCGGGTAGTCTAGACTATCTTTTCCAGATACCGAAGGGGTTCGGATTGACATTCGCAAGTAAGTCATCATTCTGCAACAGAGTCAATCTAATATGGGCGCAGCTGAATCCTTCTGCATTATGTGAGGGGCCCCTTGATGCGGGGGCTGTCGTCGATGACCAGTCACCATTACGCATAACTCTTGGGCTTTTTCTCGAGTTTCATAGCTGAGGTTGAATGTGGAAATGCTTGGATAGATTAACACAAACGGCTTTATGACGGTAAATGACAAGGTGAGTCAAAGTCCTTCCCAATTCCACCGAAGAAAAGACCATTAGTACCTACACCCCACTCCACAAATCCACTGACGCTATAGATTGATCGACATGTAATATGTCATATGTCAGGGGGCGAATCAGAGTTCGCGCGGTACCCAGTCTCATTCAAATGCATGAGACGTCTGACACAGTCTCGTGTAGAAGAAGCGGTGACTTGTAGTTGCAGACCTACACCCAATTCTCATACCTGCAAGAACAGCAAGGGCGCACGTAGACCGTTCACGATATTACACCGGCAAATATTCCGTAGATATAAGGTAAAGAGATTATTATAATCCTCTTCCGAATTTGACCGAAGAGTAGTATAAAGAGACAAAAACTCAGTGCCTTCAAGACATAACTTCGTTTTCATTCCAAGACATGTCTGCCAGCGAGACTGCTAGCAGTTCCCCCGGATGGACAACCGTCGATCCAGATGAGCTCCAAAAAGATTCAGAAGATCAATGGACGCACGATGCTCCTCCTCTAATTGCCATTGTCGGAATGGCTGCACGACTGCCCGGTGGCATTTCATCCCCTAAAGACTTCTGGCAATTCATGATTGACAAGAGATGCGCATCCGCTCCAGTTCCTGCTGGGAGATACAACGTGGACGCCTTTCACGGAACTCCCGGCGTGGATACGCAATCGGTAATTGCAAAGAAGGGCTTTTTCCTTGAGGGTGAATATCTGGGGAAAGTTGATACTTCCTTTTTCCATAACAATCGGTACGAGCATGGGTTTGTAGACCCCCAACAGACGATTCTATCGGAAGTGGTTTGGGAGTGCATGGAGAGTGGCGGACAAGTCAATTGGCAAGGAAAGGAAATTGGATGTTTTGTAGGCACCTTCGGGGAAGACTGGCTAGATCTCACAGCGAAGGACACCCAAAACATGAACCCGCTCCACGTCGTGGGAACTGGTGACTATGCGGCATCCAACAGAGTATCATTTGAATATGACCTCAAGGGCCCGTGTATGACTTGTCGAACGGCTTGTTCATCCTCGCTTGTGGCCCTCCACGAGGCATGTCAGGCAATTGCCCTCGGCGACTGCCCATCGGCGATTGTTGGAGGTTCCAGCCTGATTTTCACACCCACAATGACAACCAATATGTCCCAGGCCGGGGCACTGTCCCCTGATGGGATCTGCAAAACATTCGATGCGGAGGCCAACGGTTATGCCAGAGCGGAGGGAGTGTGCGCCCTATACATAAAGAAGTTAGATGATGCCATCCGTGACAAAGACCCAGTCCGTGGCGTCATTCGAGCGGTTGCGACAAATTTCGATGGCCGAACAAACCACATCACGGTCCCATCATCGGCCGGACAAGAGGCGCTGATACGGAAGGCCTACCGAAAGGCCCATCTCGAAAACCCTGCAGAGACCGCATTTGTCGAATGTCACGGCACGGCCACCCGGGTGGGGGATGTCGTTGAAACCACCGCCGTGGCCGATGCCTTCGGGCGCCATCCCATGATTATTGGAGGAGTAAGCCTGTAACCAACCTGCGAATGACCAGTTGTTGACATTTAGGGTGCAGGTAAAATCGAACATTGGTCACACCGAGGGCGCAGCGGGTCTCGCAGGCTTGATTAAAGCAGTGCTTGCCCTGGAGCACAGACAGATTCCTCCCAACGTCAACTTTTTGACACCCAATCCAAACAGTACGCTTTCCTCAGTTCAATCGACATTATATAATTGCTTATTCCCCTTAGTTCTGTTCGAGGAAGCAGGTTTGACTGTACCTGTTGATGTTCTCCCCTGGCCAGCCGACCGCAAAGAACGAGTCAGTGTCAACTGCTTCGGGGTCGGTGGTACAAATGCCCATGTAGGTGGTCTTACGCACCTGAAAGGATACGCAAGCTCACGAGATAGGTCATTGTGGATTCAGCTGCATCGGTGATGCCCCAAAAGGCAATACCGGCATTGGAAACAAACAACAACAGTCCACGGCTATTGCCGTTGTCAGCTAGTGGACCCAAATCCCTCGATCAGCGGGCGATGGACATAAAGGAATATATTTCCCATCATCACGAGGCAGTGCCCGACTTAGCTTATACCCTCTGTGCAAAGCGAGAGCACCTTCGTCACAGGGCATTCGCAGTCATCGGCGGAGGAGTACCTTTCGAATCCATTGAATTTACTAAAGCCGACAACACAAAGAGTGGGCCAAAGATCGTGACATTCGCATTTCCTGGCCAGGGAGCCCAGTGGGCAGGTATGGGAACTGAATTAATGGAAGCCTTCACGTCCTTTAAGAAGGACATAGAGTACATGGATCAGGTACTGGAAAGTCTGTCCAATGCACCCACGTGGAGGATGTGCGGTATGTTCCCCCATGCTTCTAAAATTGCGTTGTGTTTTAACTGACCATTGCGGATGCCATCTTGAAGAGGAGCTGGTCAAAACAGGCCCCGACAGTGACATTGACCGCCCCGATATAGCACAGCCTCTGTGCACCGCTGTCCAGATTAGCTTAGTGAATCTTCTCAGGACATGGGGAATCACCCCCGACAATGTCATAGGCCATTCCAGTGGAGAATTTGCGGCAGCTTACGCAGCCAATGCCATGTCCATGGATACAGCAATTATACTGGCATATACTCGGGGAAAAGTTGCCCAAATGGCCCCAGAGGGAGGTATGCTCGCAGTAGGAGTTGGCCGAGATGAAGTTGGTCAATATCTGGCCAGCGAAGTGGAATTGGCATGCGAGAATAGTCCGAACAGCGTTACCCTCGCTGGGAGCCGTGATCAACTGGAACATGTAGCAACTCGGATCCAAAATGAACAGCCGGACACTCTTTTAAAGATGCTACCGGTTGAGCGGGCGTACCATTCTGGTGAGTCATTTGTGACACACACAGACAGATTCAATGCTAACTGGTTTTCAGGATTCATGGCTTCGGTGGGTGCCGAATACGAAGAGCTCACAAGGCTTCACCTAGTCAACCATCACGAGAACATGGCTCCAATGTACTCAACGGTAACCGGAACAGTAATCACTAATCCTAGTGAGCTTGATCCGGCCTATTGGCGCCGAAGCTTGGAATCACCTGTATTCTTCTCAACCGCTTTCCAGAACTTGGCCTCATCCACACAGAACAAACACCAGGTTGTGATAGAGATCGGGCCTAACTCAGCACTTCGGGGGCCAATACAACAAATACTCCGTTCGATCAGCATGAGCTTTACTTACTGTGCGACGATGAGAAGCAACGAAAGTAACCTGTCACGTGTCCTCTCTGTCGCTGGGACAGCTTATGTTAACCATCTACCTGTTGATCTTCTCGCTGTCAATGGTGGGTATCAGGGCGAAATACTCACCGACCTTCCTCCCTACCCATGGCAGCGCGAAGACATTGTCTGGGCAGAAACTCGCATCAGTAAGCAGTGGCGCCTGCGCCAATTCCCCCGTCATGAGCTCCTCGGGGCGCGGTGCTTGGAATCCAATGACTTCGAGCCTGCATGGCGAAATATCCTGAAGGGCGAGGAGGTTCCGTGGATAAACCACCATCGAATGATGGGTCTTGTCGTATTTCCAGCCGTTGGATACGTGGCTCTGGCATCGGAAGCCATACGTCAGATAACTGGCTTAACTGCCTGCACACTGGAGCAAGTCATGCTCATGGAGGCCCTCGTTCGAGATGAAAATGACATTGAAATCATGACGACACTGCGAAAATTGACAATGAATGCAACTATGGACTCAGACTGGTATGAATTCACGGTTTGTTCTTACAATGGTCAAGGATGGACAAAGCATTGCTCCGGGAAGGCGATGGGGGGAACAGATCAGCCCCTTCCAACGAACACAATTTCAGAGCCATTCACCCGACAGATTTCGTCGTACAGATGGTACCGCAGGTGCGAGAAAAAAGGCCTTGAATATGGATCCCTGTTTGAAGGACTGCAGGATATCACCGCCAGTCCACTAACGAATGCAGCCCGTGGGCGAGTGGAGGATGACCGCGAATCCCACGACAGCTACTACGCAATACATCCAACAATTGTGGATCAGTGCCTTCAAGTAATGCTAGTTGCCAGTGACAAGGGTGTCTCGCACTATCCTGACAAGGCGGGCATGCCGTTGTATATCGACCGGGTTTACTTGGCCCCAGGAAGCAGCTCAATGCTCGTTGAGGCGACGACAACCGACCCAGCAAAAGAGAGTCTAAGCGGAGACTTTAAGGTAGTATCTGAATCAACGGGTGACATCGTTCTGGAAATGAAGGGACTGCGCTTATTGCCCATCCCAGAAGCCGGCCAGGAAACGAAAGGACCGAAGCTTGCAACTCATATTCAATGGAAGCCGGACATTAGGTTCCTGCCTGCGACCCAACAAGTACCATCGCCAGTTGCTTTGGATCAACAGAAGACACAAAACCTGGCCATAGCGGGCTTCCTTCTAGTATTTGAGCTGATCGAGGCCTTGGCTCCTCAGACTTTGCTGCCCTCGTACTTGGAGAAGTACAGAAAACTCAGTATGGACACTGGCAAGAAAATACTCCAGGGAGAATATGACCATATTCCTGGTATTATGCAGCTGAAAAATATGGACAGGGAGCAGCGAAAGGCTCTATTCAAATCCTTACAAGGCCAATATCCCGATGCTAGGGTTGAACGATGTTATAACGATGCCTGGGTGTATGCCCGTGAGCGTCCGGACCAGCTGATAGGCGAAGGCATATTCCAAGACACCTCGCTATTAGTTACCATGAAGGGCATTGTTGAGTGGGGACTCGAACTCTACGACTGGAACAGATTCCTTGGGCCTCTTTCTCACGCAAATCCAGGTCTGCGTGTCTTAGAAGTTGGTGCTGGGTCTGGTTCAGCAACAGCGATTATGCTGGAAGCTTTAACCACTAGTCATGGTGATCGTCTCTTCAGTAGATTCACGGTAACGGACAGCGTACCTGGACTGGTCAATCACCTGGAAGAGCGTTTTGGAGATATACCGAGAATGGAGTATAAAACTCTGGATATTTCCAAGAGTGCAACATATCAGGGCTTCACAGAAGATAGTTACGATCTTGTGATTGTGTGCAATGTCCTATACGAAACACCTGTTCTTAGTCAGTCTTTGGCACATATCCGCTCTTTACTTGCGCCTGGGGGGCGGTTGCTCTTATACGAGCCCTGCTCAGAAATCCCACACGTTGATGTTGTCATGGGTAGTCTTCCAAGTTGGTGGTTGGGCATGGGTGACAATCGCGGGGACAAGCCTCACGTTTCTGTGGAGCGTTGGGAACAAGAGTTATGCCAGGCGGGCTTCTCTGGGCTTGACAATGTTCAATACAATGCACCGGCACCACTTTACTGGCAGGTACTGATGCTATCAACAAACCCAGTGGTGGATTCCCCGCATGGACCCATCAACCTGCTTTGCACAGCAGAGACTAGACACCACTCATGGATACAAAGTCTGGCTCTCTGCTTGTCCTCCGATGGATATGACGTGCGTTGGTGCAACCTTGGAGAAGAGTTCCCCACCGAAGACGTTATCGCATTACTCGATTTTGAAAGTCCATTTCTACATGACATATCCCAACACACTTACAGTACTATTCAAAGCTGGATGTCCACGGTGAAGCGTCTCCTCTGGGTGACCCATTCGATGCAGATTGAATGCAAGGATCCTCGATTTTGCCTCATACTTGGCCTCGTCCGCACATTGCGGAGTGAGCTGAATGTTGACATCGGCACTTGTGAGATAGACTCATTTGACGATGCTGCGCTCCATGTGGTAACTCAAGCGTACAAGCATCTTGGTATGCCAATTGCGGGAAGGACAATTCGCGATTTCGAATTCATAATGCACCGGGGCGTAGGCCACACCGGTCGTGCAGCCCTCACCAAGGTTATAGACCACCTCAATGTCGCAGATCAACCAGGTTCTTATCTATTAGATATTCAAACTATCGGAGACTTGAGCTCGCTTGGATGGAGACCCATTCCTACGGAAGAGGTCGGTCCACACGATGTGGAAGTCAGGGCCAGCTACTTGGCGCTCAACTTCAAAGACCTCATGATGTCTCTGGGTGTCGTGGAACGAACCAAGACAATGGATTTTTGCTTCGAGGGAAGTGGCTTTGTAACTCGCGTGGGATCGGAGGTGACAACACTCCGAGTCGGCGATCCAGTCGTCGTTTTTGACCCGCAACCGACGAAAACACTGGCAGTCTTCCCAGCTGATCGGGTAGTCCCCGCTCCCAAGCATCTCACGCTGGCAGAAGCTGCCGCCACTCCAAGTGCTTATTTGACGGCTATATACACACTGATAGAAATAGGAAAGCTGCAGAAGGGTCAGACTGTCTTGATTCATTCTGCGTGTGGTGCAGTCGGATTGGCCGCAGTGCATGTCTGTCAGAACATCGGCGCCAAGGTATGTCAGATCATTTAACCACTGTATGAAATACTGTGATAACGAGAGGAACAGGTCTTTGCCTCGGTTGGTAGCGACGAAAAGGTTGAATATCTGATGAAGTCATTCGGAATTCCACGCTCGCGCATCTTCGATTCACATAGTGTATCATTTCTCTCAGGTATCATGAGGGAGACCAATGGCAGGGGCGTCGATCTGGTTCTCAACTCACTAGCTGGGGAGCTTCTCCGAGCGTCCTGGAAATGTGTTGCTCAATTCGGCAAATTGCTCGAAATTGGAAAAAGAGACATATTGGGCCATGGCATGCTTGACCTAAATGGATTTCAAGGGTGTCGTTCATACTGTGGCTTCGACTTGTATAGTGTGGCCCATCACGATGCTGAAACACTAAGGTGGTATGTTGTACCTACTCATTTGGTTGAAGCATTCCAGGAACTAAAATGTCCTACTAGGGCTCTTGAAAAAGCTATTAGTGACCTAGAGGAAACAACGTACCGGCCTCTGCATACTGTATTTCAAGTGGACCAGGTTGAAGATGCTATGCGGCAGATGCAAAAGGGCCAGCATATCGGAAAATTCATTATTGAGATTCCCGACAATGAGAGCAAGTATCCCTTACTTCCCGCACAGGCTAGGTTTAGCTTCTCGCCGACGTCCTCGTACCTGCTTGTTGGTGGCTTGAGAGGCATTGGCCGGGCTGTTGTCCGGTGGATGGTGGAACATGGAGCTCGTGACTTCGTGTTCCTTTCCCGATCTGCTGGATCCCTTGAAGAAGACCATATATTTGCTCAAGAACTTGAGACTCAAGGATGCCACGTTGTGTTGGTCGCTGGAAGTGTCGCTGATGCAGATACCGTTCAGCGCGCTATTCAAAACAATGGACGTCCAGTTTCCGGTGTTATACAAATGTCAGCTGTTCTGAAGGTAATCAGATCTGTCATGCAGTTGACGGATTGCAAATTGCTAACACGATATGCAGGACCAACTATTCGACAAGATGTCATACGAAGACTGGACCACAAGTCTGGCAACCAAGGTCCAAGGGACTTGGAACCTTCACAATGCTCTCCAGGGCCGATCACTAGAATTTTTCATTGTCTTCAGCTCCGCAGTCAGCATGATTGGAAACCCAGGACAGGCCAATTATGCGGCAGCAAACTCGTTCTTGGATGGATTTGTACTGTATCGTCGAGGACTAGGCTTACCCGCATCGTTGGTCAGCCTTGGGCCCGTGGATGAAATGGGTCTTATGTCACAACAGCCGGAGCTTCTGTCTAAAGCTCGTCAAGCTTCTCACCACATGATGGGGGAAGGCGATGTGCTGAAGGCATTCCAGCTGGCTCTTCTTTCAGCAAAAGATGGTTTGTCCACGACGCGTCCAGCAATAGTGGTCTCCGGACTTTCTCCGGCCGTTATGACCAGCAATCCATGGCTCCAACAAGATGCACGATTTTCTACTCTTCCAACAGGAACGGACGTGTCGACCACCGGGGATATCGACGACGAGCAATTGCAGCGGCAACTCTTGTCGCTTCGAGATGACCCCACACCCCTGATTGACGGCTCATGTGAGGCTTTGATTATCGAGAAACTGGGGGAGCAGATTGCTACGCATAACGGGCTGACCGAGGAGATGGATGCAGACCAATACGGTCGTCTTGAGGTAGATTCCCTGATGGGCCTGCAGATTAAACATTGGCTGCGCCGCAAGGTTGAGGTGGAGGTCTCGCTCGGAGACATCATCAAGGCGAAAACGGTTGGAAACATCACCAAATTAGTTACAGAGACGCTTCGTACGAGATATGGGGTGAAGGAGTGAAGGAGGAAGATGGCGCCGCGGCTTTGTGGTGAGGGTCAGGGAACCCGGTGAGAAGATGAAGTATGCGTGTTCGGAATGGGATGGGGTTTTTGGTTTACAGCGTCAAGATGAGTTTAGAGGAAAAAAGAAAAAAGAAAACCGACTAATCTTGCGAGGCTATAGTGCAAATACCAGTGCAACTACTTAGCCCATGAACTGGTCTGCACACTGGAAGATCTTGTGGCCCAGAGAGAAAGTGGATGCTAAGCGCCTTTCTCCTATGCTTCCTGTGGAGCTCTACAACGCGCACATACGATCATCACTTTCATGATTGGCATATGGCCTACACCTTCTAGCCTTGGATTGTGTGCTGGATCAGAGAAGAAATGGGGGAAAGGGAAGCGAACTGAGGACAAAGAAGGAGAGGAGAAAGGAGAGAGGGGGGGGGGGGGGGGGTTATACTCTTTCCAATTACCCGATGAGGAAAGACCCAGCTACGACGAGCGCGGAGCGACTGCGACTAAACCATAGTGAAATTTCCATCCGTTAAGTGATTATGTTAATAGCACCGTTAGCATCAACATATATCAAGAGTAAAGATACCTGAACCTCAGAATCTATCTTTTCTGAGATTCGTCCACATTTACAGTACATCCGTTCATTCATCAGACGAAACATCGGAGGATGATTCTTCCTCATCTTTGGCAACCATTAGTTCCATCCGTTCAAAGATTCTTATGACACTCTTCTTCTTCGCCTTGACAGCCAAGTCCCGTGCCGTTCGACCACGATCATCTGGTAAATCTCCGGCTGCTCCATGACCCAATAGGAAGTAAACATCCTCCGCTAGCCCGGCCTCTGCTGCCATATGAAGGGCAGTCTGGCCGAACATGTCTCTCGCATGAACATCCGCCCCCCGATTGACTAATAATCTCATAACGTTATTCTCGGACCCTACGGCCTTATGTAGCGGCGTCCTTTGATAGTCATCGCGCATGCTGACGTCGGCTCCATTTTGCAGCATATACTCAACCATCTTTCGCCGACCCCGTTGCACTGCCTTGTGCAGCGGAGTTTCACCCGAGAAGTTAGTAATATTGATGTCGGGGGATTTCTCTAGAAATAGTTCAAAGAGTCCCCTTCGGCCACTGGCTGCCGCAAAGTGCAATGGTGTGTCCCCGTTACCATCCTGTGCTTCAGCATCGGCGCCAGCGTCCAGGAGCATGTCCATGATGATATCGTGCTGATGTAGTACTGCGCGATGCAGGGCCGTCATGCCATCCTTCGCGGTGGCTTCTAACATAATTCCATGCTCTAATGCGAGTTCGGCCAGCTCGACGTCGCCGGCTGCCGCTGCAAGATCCAGGATTGTCTTCCCGGACCCGTCTTGTGAGTTGATGTCCGCGCCTCTATCGAGCAGAAGCTCAAGCATTCGTCTGCCCCTCTTAGTTCGGTCAAAGAGCACCAGCGATATCAGTAGCGACAGACCTGGTTCTCCAGCCGGAGCATTGATATTTGCCCCCTTCTTTATCAGATACTTGACCACATCGAAGTGGCCCCGACGGCCAGCCTGGTACAAGGGCGTGCCACATTGCTCGTACTTCTCTCCTGAGGAAGGCTGCATCTCCATATCTGCTCCGTACCGAACTAGCAGCCGGACGATATTCAATTGCCCAGACATTGCAGCCCACCACAGTGCAGAACGGCCACCATCATCGACTGCATTGAGGTCCACCCTTCGAGACGCAATCAATAATCGCACTACCTCCTCGGATCCTTTGTCAACCGCCCATAGCAACGGTGGCCTCCCGTCCCCGTCCTTCACATCAGGGTCAGCGTTAGCCCTGAGCAGCATCTGCACCATGATCTCGTCCCCCCCTTCCACAGCGCATGACAACGGCGCTCTTCCTTCTGGATTCTTGACGTCGGGATCTGCTTTCGCCTTCAGCAGCATCTGCACAATGATTTCGTTACCCACTTCTACAGCGTATGACAACGGTGCTTTTCCTTCTGCATCCTTCACATTGGGGTCTGCTTCTGCCTTCAGCAGCAACTGCACCATGGTTTCATTTCCTGCTTCGACAGCGCACAATAGTGGCGCATTCCCTTCCGAGTCTTTAAGATTAGGATCCGCTTTCGCTTCCAGAAGCAACTGCACGATGACTTCATTATCAGCCTGCACCGCCGACAATAGTGGCGGACACCCATTCGAAGCCACAGCATTGGGATCAGCCCCGGACTTCAAAAGCATTTCCACAATATCAGGATTGCCTTTCTCTACCGCAGTCGATAATGGGATCAGGCCGCCCTCATCTGTCACATTTGGATCTGCCCCCGCTTTTAGCAGTATATTCAGGATCGATACACTCTCTTTTTCGACCGCATATGCCAACGGTGTCTTCCCTTGAGAGTCCGCAGCATGGCAATCCACTCCGACACCAAGCAACCGGGCAACAACGCTCTCATGGCCGCCCTCCGCAGCTGCACAAATTGCCGACTGTCCACGCTTAGCGTCTTTGATGTTTGGGTCCACAGCACCGGTTCCAAGGAGCAATTGGAGGACCTTGTCGTGGCCCTCGGCGGCGGCCCAGAAGAATGGCGTCCGACCTAGTTCATCCTTGCAGTCCAGAGTCACGCCAGGGGTGCCTAACAGAAGCGTGACAATGGTATCATACCCTTTGCTAGCGGCAAGGAACAAGGCAACCTCTAGTTTGTCTTTGGGGCCAGGTGGGGACTCGGTTTCGGCCATGATAGCGCACAATCGAAGAGTCAAGTTGAGTCAAAGGAAAGGAGATTAAGTCGGTTGGTTATTGATGACGGCAGGAACCTCTATGTTTCAAGGTTTTCTAATATTCTTCATTACAGATGTGACTCAGCGACAGATAAGCCTTTTTCCCTGCCCACAGCACTGTGCACTGATTGACGAAAGAATTACACGAAAAGTAGTGCGAAGAGGCAGACAGACAGACAATCAGGCAGAACAATGTGCCTTACCGCCGTTTTTAATAGTCTAGCACTATCGAGGGGTAGAAGAGGCGAACGAAACCCACTCACTCCAATCGTTCGCTCACTTGAACATGTATGTACCCACTCAGGTACCGACCAAGTGCACAGGGTAAGTGCAAAGAAGTCAGATATGGAAACCAAGGCGCAACGCATAATAGATACTAAAAAAGCCCGCGGGCACAACCCAACTATTATCAGCAGAGAAATACACTCTCCTTTACTTTCTTCCAGATTCTTTCCCTCTTTTCCACCAAAAAGCAACCTGTGCGTAGCACAACCACATATGCCACGTGTATACCATCGACTGGGTCTCCGATTCAAAATTGGCCACCACCTAACAGCGACCTTCCCTGCTCCTGCACACACAACCGGGGTTGTGGAACTGCATTTGCCATTCATACTATTATCATTATGGCTGGCTGGCTGGCTAGGATCGGAGGTTGAAGGGAGGGAGGGGGTTGGGATGTGGGTATGGTACTTTTTAAGTTCCTTCCCGCACTCCAGCCGCTTGATTTGCTGGGTCCGAAGTTGGGCTGGGTTGGGTTGCCGGTTACTCCGCGTGGCGTTGCATGGGAAGAAACTAGACTAGTACACTCACTCGGGAGGGACTCTCGTGTTTGTTGTGCCACGGTGCGATTAAATAAAATGTATGTATGATGAAAAGGTCTGTCTGGTCTGTTATATGTCTTGGTCTCGTAGTTTCATGTAAGATGGCTTTCGGCTCTTTTGGCTGGTGGATAATTGGTACTGTGTAATATAGGAGTACAGGAGTACTGGTGGGGAGTCGCCCATGTTGGACGTTGGAGGGCGCTTGCTTGCATGCATGGATTGGTTTGGGTAGGTCGAACTCTCCTCGTGCCACTATTATTTCCTGAATTGAGCTAATGTCTCATACTAGTTAGGTATCTTCCGAAGGAAGTACCTGATGGAAACAGTATTCCAGGGACAAAGAGGCGAGGGAAACTTTTACGGCGTGTTGAATGTGCGCTTTCATAGGCGCAATAAATAATATCTACAAGAGCAAATGTGAAGACGCTCAGTCATGGTATCGAGCAATTCGTTTGATCATACAGACTTGAGCAAGCCAAAAGTAAAGAGCAAACAAAACGGGATTGAAGGGACCATAAGTATATACGATCATATGCATACAACGCAACGCCCATGCTATGCAACTTTCATTAAACCAATCCGCAAACGCCGCGCCCGCGCTGTGGCCAAGATCATATATAGTAGAAATGCTGTCAGAGAAACCTGCATTTCTGGCTGCAGCCAAGATGATTAAGGCGAGCAATGAAATGTTGAGAGGAGGTTTCTATCAAGGCCTTCAGGCTTGTCAATGAGCACCGGTATAGACACCCTCAAAGTCCAAGCCGTCCAGCATTCCGTTGACTCGATCAATCTCTCGCGTGAGATCTTCAATATTCATAGCAAGACTGCTAACCTCATCAAATTTGCGGCGTCTGTTTGCATCCGCAATCATTTCTGATACGAAGAACTTCTGCTCTTCCAGTACAATAAGCCGCTCCCGAAGTGACTTCTCTTCAGCTTCTAGTGCGGAAACGGCACTGCTGGTATCACTAGCTAGACTGGCATTGCTGCCGCTAGCGGCAATGTTGCCGTACTTGATCGACGCAAGAGCGGATCCCTGCCGTCGAGGGCCACCAAGTGAACCGTTGCTAGGGCTAGGGCTAGCGGGGGACTTGGTGGAGTTAGAAAGTCCCCCGTTGGGAGATGCGTGCTTGAGGACTCTGGGTAAGGATTTGAGAGGGAGCATGTGAAGGTGGAGGAAATTGCTGGCTTGTTGGTATATAGCTTTCTGGAGTCGCTGCTGGGTGGGGGAGTCTGTCTGCATATCGCGAACTCGTCGAGCAGCAACGTCATATTGGGCGAACGAGTCTGTTAATCGCTTACGGACTTTGGAAGCTTCTGCGATCTGTGCAGACGATGGAGGTCGCCTGGGATCCCTGTGACAGTAATTGGATGTTAGTAGTCGCTAAGTTTAGTTGTGGGCGATTAAGTGTAGAGTACGTACTGCAAGGCCCCTAGTATTTTCTGAAATTTAGGGAGCAAGATCCGAATGCCTCTCTCAAATTGAGTAAGATTCTCATATGCCCGCACAGCTGGCGGCTTCCTCATGATATCGGCTTCGAAGTCTCGACGGTCAAACAAGGTTGACCGGCAGTCCTTACAGAGTCTGATATCGACATTGATCATGCCTGCGCGCAGCGACTTCTCTGCTGGTGTTTTTGCGACTATGTTCTGTTAATACCCGAATAATGAAAGTAAGTTCGCGGGCAATGACATACGAGGTGAGATGCTCAAAGGGACCTCTGTGGAACATGCAGTTGCTGGATCACCACACACGACTCGCCCGCAAGTCCTGCAGTGGTGTCTTCGGAAAGTGTAGCTAGTAAAGTCTTGCTGGCAAAACGGACACCGGGAAACACTCGAGTCATCCTGCCAACTCACTATGGTTTGCTCAAGGGCTTTTCGTTGATCGCCCTGCCATGAGATTGACCACAGCTTATTCGTGCTCGACTGAATCTGCTCCGCAGGCAGGCTTGCAAGCAGTTGCGTTAGCCGTGTCAAGCGTTTCTCCAAGCGAGAAACTTCCAGCAAGTCCTTGTCAACTGTCTGCTTCCTCATCGCTCTGAACTCACTCATGCGGTCTCTCACCAGCCCTGGAAGAAAGTTAACTTCAAGTCCTTTGCCTCTTTTCTAAATGGAAAAGGGGCCTCACCATTATGATCGTTATACCCCTCCCTCGACTTATAGCAAGTTTCACAGACTCTGCACCATAGTCCCCTGACCGGTTCATGTTGAGCCGACCTGGATAGCTTCATCTGATACATAGTATGATCCTCACAGAACAGCTTTCCGCATTTGCGACAATTGACACAACCATTTGTAGCATTGAGCCGCTTTCCACACGACGGTTCCAAGCATATATCGTATAGGGTGCGGCCTTGCCAGTGATCCCTCGTTATAACGTCGTCCGGGTCGAGTGTTCTCGGGGGTTCAGGCGGATGCGCCGGGACAGGTCCAGGGGGCCTACTTGGGCCTGCAAAAGGCTGTAAATTTTCATTGGATTCGAACACGTCCAAGCCCTTGAGCTTTTGGTTTAAAACTGCGAGTGGTTGAAACCGTTTGGCTTTATCCATCTGCGTCTTGAACCAGTCTTTGACTTCATCTTGCCGATCGTCTTCCAGGTTCTGGTGGACGTCATCGAGGTGTCTGGAGATCGTGTTAATCGCATGTATAAACGGAAACAAATATCGCGAGCGTCAAGCGAGGTACCTATTCAATTGCAACAGTGTCACCTGTTGCTTCTGTCAGCATGTCTTGTGGTGACTGAAACGGTTTCCCGATAAGAGGGACGTGTGTAGGACAGGTCATACCATCTCCTCACTGCAGATCGGACAGGCTAACTGAGCTCCGGCAGCTGCCGGAGCAGCAGGAATGGAGGCAGAACCATTTTCGAGGGAAATGCGCGACGTAAGATCCTGAGCTTCGGAGGAAACCTGGGATGCGGAGGCTTGTGAATTCAGGGAAACGCTGCTGGCGGACGGTGATAAGGTGAGGTGTCTTGGATTGCTGGGCTGCGGAGACGGGGTTAATGCCGATGGAGAACGAGCGTTCGCGGGGCCAAGAACACGACCTCCACCCAGCGTCCTCCGGGGCATGATGACTGGATTTTAAGAGAGCATGAGAATCGAAATCCCACAAGGGGTCACAGACCGTAGGATCAGGGGACTGGCGGATGAAAGGGGAGTCTGTGACTTCAGCCTTGCCCGGGGGTGGAGCTTAAGAGGGGGGAAAGACAAGAAGGGAAGGGAGCCGAGAGTGCCAGACATGTACCAGCCCAGCGTCAGGAGTTAATCCGCAGCTTATCGCCCGCCTGCAGATATCACACCTGAGGCATCAACACCGGCCATGCTTATCCCCACGGTTCCAATTCGCGCAACGTCTGGAACACTCAAAAACCGCGGCTGATTGCTTTTACCGTCAACCTGCATACACGAGAATTGTCTTTGACATTAACACGCTCTATCTCTTAAAAGATAACCTAAACTTACAGCTAGCACTCTATGAACATCCTTCAACATTAGCAAGGTCTCACAAGCCTTGCTTTCAAACCAACAGCACCTATATATCTAGACAAGAACTGCAACTACTCTAACCAGCCATAGCTCTTTACAGCCATAGTCTATATCTCTTGCCTTTAATGGGCCTACTGCTGCCCAGTCTCCTTCTGCTTACGCTCCGCCTCCCGCTTCAGTTGGTCAGGCCGGCGCACAGCGATATCCTTCGGCCGGAAATCGCTGAACAGCGTTTTGAGCACATTCTCAATGAGCCAGCATCCCGCGTAATCGATAATCATCAGAACAGTCAGTGTCAGCTTAAATTCGGTGCTGAACGGAACCAGGCGTAGCTTCTCGTTCAATTCAGGCACGAATTCAGTTGCACAAGAAAAGGCGACACCCGACGCCGCAACCAGACCCCAGTACATAGCCTTGTTCTCGCGAATGGACTCTCTGAAGGGGCGGCCTCGGTAGTTGATCGAGAATGTCGAAATCTGCTGGATAAGTTGCAAAAGATAGATGGCGCTGTTGAGGAGCGACGGCTCAAACTCTCCCTCCAAATCAACGTCGGATTGTCTCCTGCGAACGAGTTAGTCATAAGCATTGAAAGACTTATACCAAAGCAGATGGAACTTACGGCTCGATGCTGTATACGTAGTTCGACAGGTAGATCAAGGTGGCAATGTGAATGGCGAATTGGCCGAGCACGGAGCCGATGATGTACACATTGAAGATATTTGGCTGAGGGCGCTCCTTCGACAGACCTTCAACAGACTGCAGTAAATAGTTAGTGTCGGGTATCTCTAATGGAAGGCTTCAATACCTACTTTCGCACGTGAAATTGACAGGAAACAGACACTCATCAGCATACCGCTGATAGTCACCTGACCGTCACCAAATTTGATACCATCCAAATAGATAACACTCAAACTGTAGGCACTGATCAAACAGTTCAAGGCAAGAATCTTGTACATCTGAATTGTTGCGACCAGTGTGCAGCGTCCCTGACGAAGAATGTTGGGGATAGCAACGACATTTGCCAATTTGCTGGTAAAGGGTGCAGCGACGGAGGCGTCACCGAGCTTGAGGGTCGGGGGTTCGTTCTCGTCCAGCTCCTGCTCCATCATGGAAGTAGTAAGCTTATCGGCAAACCCGGCAGCTGCCACGGAGGCTTGCTGCTGACGCTGCTGATTAGGAGTCAAACTGGAATTAGATTGCTGCAGGGCACGTGCACCAGGAGACGTGATGGTGGGAATCGCCTCTGCTTGGCCTGGCGCGGACTGGACGGTGGTACCCTTACGCTGCGCTTCGCGTTCCATGGCCTTTTGATAGTGGGGGTTGCTAGGGCCTGGAGGGTAAAGGTGTGCAATCTGCACAGGCACAGGCGGGGCCGGCTGGTTGAAGCGTTGCATCATGGCTACCTGCTTCTCGTAGATTTCCTTCATTTTCGTTGTCCGATAGTGCTCAGCAATCTTTGTGAGATCCTCAGGGGAGCCATTCAAGAGTGCGACACCGACATGGGCTTGCTTCAAGGCACCGACATCGTTCGTTCCATCACCGCACATCAAAGTTGTATAACCAGCATCCTTGAGACCAAGAAGAATGTCTTCCTTCTGCTTGGGGGAAACGCGAGCATAGACCCATGTGTGACGAAGGAGGTCTGGAAGTGCCTTCTGGTCCTTGAACTTGGCCAAAGCGTAGCCGGTGACACAAAGATCGTTGGTTTCCAAGATACGGCGATCGAGATCCTGGGTGGGATCAACATCAATATTAAGCTTGTCGTCGATGCTGCGCCAGACCAGCCTGGTCCCTGACGTGTCGTGCTCGGGAGCGTCGAGGATCAATACATCACGGTCCACGATTTCAACTTGGCGAGCAACGTGCACGGCAGTCAGAGGATTGTCACCAGTGATCATGACGACACGGTGGCTGCTTTCGTTAAGCATACGAACGGCTTTGATAGCGTCGTCCTTCAGGGGACACTGCAAGACGAGGAAACCGGCGAAGATCAGGTCAGATTCCACCTCTTCCCTGGTGTAGTTGTTGATACGAGCGCGAGTAAATTCAGCCTCATGAGAGAGATATTTGTAAGCGAGAGCAAGGACACGAGCACCGTTACGAGTGAAATACTTGAAGGTCTCTTCGTAGTTCGGCGGGGTGTCGATCAACATAGACCTAATGGTTTCGGGGGCACCCTTGACACCAACAAAGGTTGATTTGACCTTCTTGTGCGTGCTGCGGTCATCGGAGACAACCGTGGCGATGGTACTCTGACGCTTCAGTGCGGAAGAGAATTGGAATCGTCTTATGACCTGGACGGACTCGGGAACCCGAGTAGCCGTGGCTGAGACCTTGCCCGTCAGGGTGTCATTCTTGCCTAGTGTCCAGCCAAGCCATTTCAGCGTGGCTTTTTCCATAGGGTCGTCAACAACCTCGCCCTCATCAAGCTTCACTAGTGCGTGAGCGCTGGCGAGAACCAGAGTCGTATCGAGTCCGACATCGCCACTCTTGGCGAGTTCAGTGTGGGCACCATCTTTCTCAACCTTTGCGCCTGCCTGACCGAGAGTCAGACCGGCAACACCGTCGACAACAAGATCCTCTCCGGTCAAAGTACCGGTTTTATCGAAGCAGGCAACATCGACCCGGCCGGCGAAAGGGATTCGGAAAGGCTCAGTGCAGAAGATAGCAAACTTGCTCAAAGCGGCCAGACTAGTGTTGACAGCAAGGCTGAGCTCCATAGGAAGTTCAGGGGGAACGACGCTAGTGATGATGAGGACACAATCCAGGAGCAATTTCGACCTCTTGCGATCCTTTGCCACACCCTCCTGCCAAACATACCATGAGGCAGCAATGGCGAATATGAGCAGGAATAAGATAAAAAGCAACGCTTCCACATTGTTGGCAGACACCCGCTCAGTTGAGTAGATCATGGTACGCACGAGACTGCCCTGACTTGTTTCGAAACCGGTTTTCACAACAACACCAAGCGCACCAGAATCGGGCGTGGGAAGAATACCGGAACCATCGTGAGATTTGGCAATGTCGTCTGATGTGGTGTTCGCATGAGTAATCTGCAAAACCTTGGTTCCTCCGTGTACAAATGCGTTCTTGTCCAATCCATCCGGTTCGATCAGGTCGTCGCCAGGTCTCAGTTGGACGGACTCTTTCAGAAGTGGTGTACTCTCACCCGAGAGCATGGCCTCGTTAACAATGACGCTTCCTTCGATCAAAAGGATATCACACGCCACACCACTGTCTTCCTTGGTTCGGTTAACCGACATCAAGTCACCGGGCAAGAGCTTGTCACTGGTAGTCTTCTGCCATTGTTTCTCGCGGAAGACCCAGACTTCATACGGCTTGATACTCATTCCCCGAAACTCGTTGAGCGTCCGCTGGCGCTGCCATACCACCGTGCTCTCAAACATGACGAGCATGAAGAGGGTGAACAGAGAATAGTACCAGTATTCGTCCAACATCCACAGTCCAACGCAGAAAATCTGGAAAACGAAGAAAGGCGCAACTGCGTGCTCCTTCCAAAGTTCCACAAAGCCCGGCACGGGAATATCAAACGTGTTATCGCCATAGTGGTGCTGAATACGTTCGACCTCTTCCTTGGTGGTCAAGCCTTGAGTCTTCTGAAAGGTCTTGAGGGCAGGCTTAGGCTCAGCGTCGAGGACGTAGGACAAGGGAGCGAAGCATCGGCGTTCAGGATAGTAAAGGAAGCGGCGCTTCTGAAACAAGAACGAGACCGTCTTCTTTCCACCCCTAGTGTCGAAGAGCAAGGGACAAACCTCAGCCGAACCAGCATTAGCTGCTGGAATCACCTTGATAAGCCGAGCGGAGTCAATCGATTTAGCCTTAGTAGTAGTGAACAATGTTTGGATATCGATGTTCCATTTTGTCATCAGCCACAAAAGCGACTGGACCGTGATAATGGATCCAACATACACAAAGGTCCATTCTTGACCTTGAATGTATGTATCGTAGCGTTCAGGAGAGAGATAGAAGGCCAAAAATGCAGGCCAGATGATCAGGAATGGCCACGCATAGGTGTGTAACTGAGTGGGAAGGGGATTATGGAGGGAGGAATATTTGATCTGGGGATCTTCGACGAGTCCTGCCCTGTGCATCATCAACTTGTCAGTAAGCGGCCGGTCAATGCACGCGATACAGCGAAGGTCTCTCAACTCACATGGTGACACTCGAGTGGCCACGACGCGGGCCAGACGACGCGAACTTGAGAGACCAAGAAAGCTTCAATAGACCATAGGAAATGAAGAGCCCAAAATCTTGAAGCCACCAGTATATCTCCGGACTGCAGGTCGAAGAGGAAAGCGCGAAGAAGCCACCTCGACAGTATAATTTTGGGATTCGCCGCCGAGGATTGAACGTACGGAAGGCCCCGTTGCTCGCGATTGGTCGCCGCCACGTGCCGGGACGGAGCTTGGATTTTCCCGACTTTCGCTGGTTCCGATAAGCAGGCAATCCTGATAGCAAATAACTATGATTACGGAGTCTCACTCCGTATGCTGATAAGAGCGATCGATCCATTCAGAAGGTGAAGGCTTAACTCTTTGTTCACTTTTTAAGATAAGTTTACGCTACTTGACTTCGCCGTCTTGGTTTAGCGAGTTGGCATTGAGGTGCTACGTAGAAAGTCACCGAAGCTTCAGCCTCGGACTTTAGGCCCTGCTAATACTCGTGATAGATTCAAAGACGCCAAGATCTGCACGGGTTCCTCGTAGGCGCTCTACACTGCAAATGAAGATCTCTTGACGTTTGGTCCTCAACCCAGTAAGCCGCGCTTTAAGCTGCTGTATTCATAACCCGGTTTCGTATCATGGCATGTGATAGACTACTTTCGTCGACATCGTGATGCGAAGCATTCAAGATGGTTTGTGCGGGAGCGGTGGATGGATCACGTCGCATGGTCTTTGTTAATTAGCTGTCTGATGATCCGAATACCCTGTCCGATATGGGCAATGAATATACTATCTTTCATATCATGATTATAAGATGAATAGCATAGAAGATCAACTTCTAGGCCTCATCCGTCGTGACAACAAATGATTTATGTACATTGACCCCGTCCCATGCGCCTGGCTTCGGATTGAGGTTTTCCTGACTGCTGTTCGGGCTTCCCTGGGCTGTCTGCACGGTCGTAACAATAGCCCTAGTGTCGTCAGGGTTCAGATCCGGGCGCCAGAATTTGGTCGAGTTTGTGGTATGTTCGCTTCGCGAGGGATGTTTACCGGCGCCGTTCATACTCGACAGCGGCATACTCCCGGTATTCCTCTTGCTGCGTGTGGGAGAGTAGCTAGTTCCGCCCAACCAGCGGAAGAGAGGGCGAAGGGTGACGAGGCAGCCGGCTGTAATTCCGAGGCCCGCTTCGACATTAGACCATATAGATATCTGAGTCGTTGCGTCTTTGCTCCCATTAGCGATACGGATTCTGGTAAGAGTGGCTGACTGTCAGACTTACAGAGGAACTCAGTGTCTTTGTAAGTGGGAAGGAAAGGGATACGGACGATGACACCTGCGCTGGCACTATTGCGAGTGTTAGCATGCGATCGTAAATGGGTAGCATTGTCCAGTTCGTCTTACATGCAACCTAAGCTCAGGATACCCGCCAACGCTGCCTTAGTTTGTCGACTCATCTGTAGTTTCCACACCAAGAAGATAGGTAGCAGGCCAAGCGTGAAATCGCAGATCATCGCAGTGACACTGTATACGTACGCAATGTCGAGGAGTTTATCGATAGACATGCAGTGTCCAGGCTTGGTGCGCTGCCAGAAGTGTGCCACCGGTTTGCACTCGAAGGTCAACATAAACCAGAAAACAAGGCCCACGATGATCGACACGCCTACTACACACCACAGTAGAATTGTGTGTACCTTGGAAACAGTAAGACGGAGGAGGGCCAACGCAATGGAGATCCTGGCGACAACAACTGTCACGACGTAGCTCGTTTGACCTAGCCACCACCACTTCTCCGTGTAAGCAAGATCATCCGAAGTGATAGCCAGTGTACTTACAAAAAGGGCGGTTTCAAGATAGCCATCTTCCAGTTGCTCGAGTTTCTGGCCCATGCCGTACAATGAGCCAGTAATTCCACATAACGCAAACAGAATTTCCAAGCCCTTTGTAGTGGATTGGAGTTAACATTGACAGATTCGCTTGATAAAAGCGGCGATAGGACATACCATAGCGAAAACCATCAGCGCATCATCCCACCCAAATGCCCGCACCAGCCGCAGCCGAACGAAGCATCGTAGGCATACGGCAATGAAAGATATCCCCAAGAAAACCACAGTAACTATAAAGATTGACTCGCTGCGGCCCTTGAACTCGATCATGGTGGAGCACACAGCGGCGCGAGTGCTACAATCAACGAAGGTCGCAAGCTAGAATCGGGTGACATTGTCTCCCCAAGTGTGGGAGGAAGGAAGTGTGAGGCAACCTAGGCCGGGGTAACTGTCATTTAAGTGGATATATAACCTAAGTGGCAATAGTTTTAGGGGTAGCCTAGAAGGGGGAAAAGGTTCGACGCTAAAAGACTGGTCCACGCATAAGATTCTTAACAAAGTACCGTCTACTGAGTACAACCGCCCAATGACGAGAAAGCTGATGGTGTCCGAACTGCCGATGGAGCCCGGGTCCAGGTCTTAATGCTGCCATGTGGAGAGGACTGTATTCCCTGCTTGCCATTGAGGATCACTCCAGATGTACGGCATATGTTCTGGTGCTACGTTGGTTAGATTCTTATGTAAGAGCGAAGAGGGACAGAGGTATCGGCTGTCGGGGAAGTAGCCGCCTGTGATCTGGTACCGAGGTCTATAGTGGCGGACGCTGAATACTGGACAGGGCTGATTGTCTGGCTCTTTTGCTCATCATGTTCCGCAGAAGTCTTTCTGGATATCTTTGTATGGAGTCCTTAACGCTGGATCCTATAGGATAGGAATCAAGATCCATCGGATCGATCCATGGGCGGCTTGAGGCAGCGGTTTCTTGTGCCTTTGCCAGTAACGGCAAATGTACTTGGACCATAGCGGAGCTCGTAGGGACAGAGCGGGTGCTTGGTCCCCTGGGTGGATATTCGGAGACAGTCAGTTACTACTCCGATTGAAAATGAACTTATGGTGAAAGGAATAGCCGGCTGCATGCCGTGCCCACTGCACAAGATAGCAGCAGGTGGACTGCCTGGCATGTTTTGGCCCTTTGGGATTTAACCCACCTGGGCTCCACACGGCCGCAGGAACGTTTGCCTCAAGGGGCCTGGGCGCTATGAATACCAAGACAAGATTACATGATAACATTTAGCAATTGCAATGGGTTTTGCACAGAAACGATAGGCGTTGAACAACAATTCTTCATTATGGTAACTCTGCCAATTGGACTTCATTGAGCCTGCGAAGACAAAGGGAAGCCGGGACCCTGACTCTGCAGAAGAATTAGATTACCTCAACACCCCTGCTGGGAGAGGGTTCCCTGTCACTCATCAGGTGAATGGTCTCCTCAGGACATCCCTGTCATCCTGCTTTGACTATTAATCATAGCGTGTGAGTTGGGCGTTGATCACCACAACCAAGTCCATAATGTCACCCTACCAAATTCGAAGCGATGTAGAAATATCTCCCATGGCTGCACTTTACATTAACGGATAAAGGATCTCCATTCCACTCCCGATGAGCAAGATGCTAATCAAGATAGAATCAAGATAGGGGCGTATCTGACGCAACAAAGGCGCGATTCGAAGAATCAGGGCTTTGTCCTAATTTCGAAGGAGTAATGATTGACCGGGTTCTCATTGTTCTCATGGTGATCAGCGCAGTCCGTTTGCTTTTCAACTTGCCTTCCTGGGAACAGAATGAGTTTGTTCTGGGCGCTAGAAATTCTAGATCCGTCCTCCCCGAAGATCAAGTCTACGGGAAAAAGCAAATGTTGGTTGCGGTAGGCTACTTAGTACTTACAAATTCAGCACAAAGCATGTTGATTTTCTCCCTCTTCCTTACCCAGGATGTCCGTAGCAGCAGGGAACTATAGATTTGCCGCACCCATATCAAGCATTGTGTTGACAGTGCACGTCTTTAACAAGCATGCCCTGTAGAGCGTAGCATTGCCAGGATGGATACTCCCGCTGGACACGGCACGGAAGTCGAAGTGTTGAGAAAACGACCCGTGCGTGCCGAGATTCCCCCTCTTTTGTCCTTTCATCGTTCGGCAACCCAGCCCCAGTATCCCCACACCTATCCAGGCATGAGATGTTGCCGATCCAATAGTAACAAGGAAGAATGTCACTTTTCTGCTAGGCCGAATCATATACAGCAATATGTTTAGCTTCACTCAAGCCTCTTTATTCCCTTTGGACCAATGTCTAATTACTATCATTGGCCCAAACCAACATACACCTCTCCATCAATTCTCTAGCTGGCATGATCTTTCGTGTGGAATACTCGACGGATTAGAACATCAAATTTCATTTCGCTTAGGACCTTAGCTCAGGAGTTCACGCTAACATTTCTAGCCCCAAAGGCTACTGTCCACTCAAGGCTTCAGATTTCAGACGCCTTGCCAAACCCAGCTAGAGGCTCCCGATCGTGCTGTAGTTCGCCAACTGTTTTTGTGGTGCCGACCTGACCAGCTGAACCCGCACAGTTCCATTGCCCAGTCTGCCTAAGAAAATCTGCCCCTACCATCATGTGTACTATATCTATTTCGGGAATGCTTCGCGTAGATCTTGACAAAGTGTCGGTGGTGATACCCTTTTCAGCGTTTGCTGTCATCCTACCTTAGCACCTGATTATGGAGTTACACTGTGAATATTTTTATTCCAGGAACATGGTTCGGGTCCGTCCATGGTTCAGAGGCACCGTGGCAGCAAGAATAATCGCAATTAACCATGGGTTGAGCTGATCTGACATGCGAGAAATAATATCACACACGTCGATCAAAATAATTATCCAGCTTTTGAAGCTATTTTTGGTCGATCTTGTTAATTCTCAACAATCTATTAGGACCTACATACATCAGGCCGGCACTACCGAGCTCGTGGATACCCGAGAGTTCGTTCCTTGCTCAAAGATCTCTCGATCATCGTGTTCCTTGCACTGGTGCCGGGAATCTATCCCGTTACGTGCAACCCCGATGCCTGAGCGTTGGCACCAGCCATCCATTATCACTTACAGACGTTATCTCAGTCCGACATCCAATGCCTGAAACGCTGGCTGTCAGCATGTTGTTTCATCTCATTGAGGGGTAGCATCCCACCAACCCGTTAACCGTCACATATGGCTTTGGTGTCAATCTATTTATAAATTCAGGGGAGTGGAGCCTGTTTGTTATCAATGGTTGTAGATTTGGCTGTTTGATAGGGAGTAAATGCGACACTCTTCGACTGCAAGGATAACCCCCTCTGTGAACAACTAATTTGTAGATACTATAGAGACGGACATATTAGGAATATCTCAATATGTCTTCAATGATGAGCTTAGTTCCCCGGAGAAATAAAGGCGCCAAGCACTCTCTATCGACAGGGCAATGCAAAGAAACAGGGTTCATGTGCTCCTCCGAACAGGACCGTATCCACTAGACAAAACGCTATTCCACAGTAGTTTGGTCCATTTATGGAAACAACGAGCACAAAATGCTGATGAGAGGCTGGCACTAATCATCCCATATACCTTCCTCATGTGCTACAAGCTTTCTGAGCAGGCCAAGTTATCGTGCGTCCTATACTGAGCAAATATAAATCATGGTATGCCATTGCTCCCGCATGGTTTCCTGTTCTAGTAACGATATCGGCAGTCTTGGGATCTTGTGTTATCCCGACATGCCTCCACGAGCAACCGTCACGTCAAAGTCGTGCCTCCTAAAACCCCTAACTACATTTTTTATACGTACTCATGTGGAGAATCATTTCCCCCGAAGCCCATCATATCTTGTTAATTGGAAGCCAATGACTGCAAGGGAGAGAGCAATGTAGCTCTTCCATCTGGGAAGTCCACTGGGGAGGCTAATTGTCAGCAAGTCATCAGTGGCGTCCAACACTATTATCACAAGCTATGAATCCTAGGCCAGCTTTATGTGTACATAAATCATGTGGTAAGTCTGGCCAAGTGTTTGCAAGCACACTGGCAGCTTAAGAATAGAGCAACGCCTGCTTGTACCAGTACCGCTACCATTGATGTGTTGCAAACTAAATTGTTATCTCGAGTAGCATCAAGGAGGCCAAATGGAATATAAACAGCCGAATATAGGCTTCTAAGCCTGGAAACCTGTTTCAATGCATTGATGCAAAATGAGCAACAAAACAAACAACAGGAAGTAAAGATCGGGCCACGGAATAGGGGAAGCAGCCTCTTGGTTACAATTTTTCCACTAAACAGCGATGTGAGCAGAAGGGCATCATTTCTGAGAAACTCGAGAGCATATCAAATGCATCATGAAACAAGTGGCTGGGGAAAGTTGATGGTTATGATTCTTGTGGGCTGAACAGGGCATGAATATTCATGGCCGACTGTCCTGCGGTCAAGCCGGAATTGTGGCATGTCCATGGAATATGGGTTCATAAAGAAAATATCGCCAGATATTCAAGTCAATTTCCCAGTAATTATGCAGAAAAAGAAATGACATCTTGAGCATGCCACGAGGAAGAGTAGTGCCGATAATTAATTCGCTTTTGGCTGGGTCGCTATGCTCTGAAAACAAGGCTCAAAGGAAGTAGAAGGCGAAACTATGAGACTGTTCAAATTATCGTCCAATCGCAATATGAGGTCCTCTCCGATGAAAGCAATGATATGCACATCTGATAGCGTAAAGTACCCATATTTATCTAGGACCAGGTGACGTTGCATTGATTTGTAGCCTCGAGGAAGTAGAAGATTTTTTAGACGCTGGCGGCAGCATATAAGCTCTTAAATTATTGATATAGTGAGGCGCGTATATTAATATGGCCTATAAGACGACATGATAGAATTGCTAATTATTAAAGGATACAAGAAGGGTCATTTCATTACGAAAGCCTAGCTACAAAGTTTAAGGCTCTTTCGAGAGCACAAGTGATGCTCGCCACTACAGCCTCTTTCGTGCAATATTAATTGCCATTAGTTACATCTGAGACGACCGAATCGGCAAATCAGAGGACGATCTTATCAACACTAATTTAATGAGTAGTTTTCCTACCAATGGGCTCAGTAGTCGGCACCATAACCCAGTTGGCGAGCATAAATGACAGCTTCTCATTATGTGTCTACATTGTATCTTACGCTATGGAAGGAATGATAACAGCCTGGACGAAGGGTGTTTCTCCAAGGACTTTCGGAAGACTTCACTACATTGCCCCGGGGGAGGTGGCAGCTTATGCCTCAAGAGAATGATACCCTGAAGGAAAGACAAAAATGGAATACAGAGTATAATATCAAGTATTAATTCGCTCACGGATGTAACCAGCCACTAGTGGACAATCCAGTGATACTTTGTGGAGGCCTGACAGGGATCCCTGCTGATGAGTTTTCCCAAGAATTGGTTCTCTATGTAATGGTGTAAACTTGATATTGTCTGGTGGTTTTACTACGATAGATCAACTTTTTAGCCAATTCTATTTGATCATATTTTTCAAAGCCTGTCTTCTATCCTCAATATGTTGCTTTCGAATGGCTTCATCGTGATGCGGAGGGGAAAGTGGAGATTAGAATCTCACCATTATAGGCTATGTAGAGCTAAGCAGGGGATCCTCGTTACCTCTGTCCAGCGGGCGCTTTAGCTTGAGCTAAGCCCACGTAATTTAGTCTGTGAAAAAAAAAAAAAAAAAAAAAAAAAAAAAAAAAAAACACCTACTTCCAAGCGAGCTGTGATCAAAGTAAGAGGCAAAAGATGTGCTCATTGTGTGCTCGTAGTGCACATAAGCTTCAAACCGATGCTCACTCGCCCATTGGTATTTGCTAGCATTTCTCTTTCCTTGCCAACATGCACATCCATTATGATTGAATGTCATTGACTTCTATATATATGTCCACCGTCTTTCTGACCCCATCAACCGGTGGCTGATCCTCTGTTAGCCCTCTAGTGCTTTCCGTGCTCTCTGTTTCATCCCTGTTTCTGCGAGTTGCATCATCTTGTATGGTACACAACCCGCTTTGCGTCGTATCATATCTAGAGAACAACTCGGTAGCTCGAAAGCCTGGAAAGAAAGCAGAGCGTCTTTTTGCCTGGGAGCTGGAACCACCCTGATTCCCAGATTCGGTTCTGGATCCTGTGGCTCCTTGAGTGGTGCTAAGTTCGATCTCTGACAGATGGACGCCATTTAACCCTGATCTTAAATTGCTCAAGATGCGATAGACCGAAGGCATGCAAGCTGCTATGATGCTGAGATACATCGTAAGCCTGCGATATTCAACATTAGCTGCGACAGAATAGAGTACGATAGAATCCTGCTCTCACTCATTGCAAAGGTCTACGTCAACAATTGTCCCTGCAAAATATTGTTAATGCATTAGTTGCCTATGCCTTTATAGCTTTGAGCGCCCGGAGACTCTTACATGTCGGATCAGATGATTGCAAATATATCGGGAGATACACAAGTTCAGTGATACTGACTGCCACCACGCTCCAGGATCGTTAGTGTGCATTCAGCCAAAGATATTTGAGTGAACAAAGATCTCTTACACAAGTCTTGAGGAAAATGAAGCAATTATTTGAAGACGCTTCTGCAATGTCATTTGCACGCTCCAAATCATAATCAGTGGAATTACCACCAGTGCCAAGTCTGTGACTATGTTGATAAGAATTATTGGATAGTTGACGGCGCCCTGCTGATGATTAGGTAGGGATACTTTATATGACCACTGACCTTACCTTCCCGACGCAATGGCTTGGTAGATACTCCCAGTGCGGTCGGCACTGAAGAGCCGTAGCAAAAAGTGCAAACACAGTCCATAGACCGACAGCTATCATGGTAATCAGGTTGGCTCGTCTGATGCGCTGACCGGGTGTCAGCCTGTGAATCAGTCGACAGGTGGACACTTTTGAGAGTGAAAGAACTGGAATCAGGAGTAATTGAGCAGCATAGGTGAGCTATATAAGCAGCAGCCAAATAAGTAAGATCCGTGATTTATACGAGTCATTAGGAGAGAGATGACTAACCTTGTTGTACTTGGAGAAGTCAGCAGTGGAAAGAGAAGATGAATGCTTTCCAAGCCCATGGTCTACTGCAAACTGGGTAAGGAGACTTTGAATAAAGGCAACAATCTGGCAGTTAATCCTATTAGTCGTGCTCTCAGAGGGGCAAACAGGTTCTGTACTAAGGCGATCCAAAGAGGTGCATCTGTGCTTAAGAGCACAGTCTTCGAGTACAAGGCAGTTCCAAGTTTGACGGCAACGATGATTAAAGTCACGAAGAAAAAGACAAAGGCCACAATTGTGATTGCTGGGCCTCTGTCATATGGTGTTATTGTTTCCAAGGGTGGTAAAAGCTCAGATGATGATGATAATGATGGCATGTTGTGATAACATGCCCAGAAAAGGCACTCTCAACATCGATGGTTGCAGATGAACAGACAAATTGTGAGCCAGCAGGAGCTTGTGCTACTTCCATATATAAATGCTCCATGTTACATTAGCGCTGAGGCTGACAGGGATATGATTCATGTCCAACTGGTAAGAGTTTTCCATGACTGCAAGGTCTTGTTGGTTTCACAAGCCTAGTATATTAATTGCTATCTAATAAAGCAACGACAAGGGCAGCTCTGGGGCACCGGTCTAGATCACTCCACACTATGCGTTCTCAGACCATAGATACATCAAGCCGATATCCGGATGCGTGTGAACGCGCAATTAGTGTCGGGTAGCGTAGGGATGAGACACACAAAAGGATGGAATCCCTGTTTAGTTCATATACAAGTCTGGCACTAAGTTGGGACGGTGGCTACCACCTACATACAGAACAAAGCCACGGGCCGGTTACATTTAAGCGTTAATATATCGCCAATGCTTAGTTACATTGCATAGAGCAGTTAGCTTCGCCCACTGGTTGTCCTATATGCAAAGCTATCCCGCTTGATTCTGTCTTCCTTTTTTTTCTTTTTGTCTTCGACATTCTGTTCTTTTGCTTTTCTTACTGGCTTAAGGGTCTTGGAGAATATACCTGCTTTGTTTTGTATTTTGACTTTGGCAATCGCAAGCTATGGAATACCATGATAACCAAACCGGCCCGCCTAGCCCCGCAAAAGGGCCTCATGCTATGAGCATAGAAGATCCCCCACCCCCATCTTCCTATCAGTATCGAGGGAAGCCACGACTTGAGGTAAGCGGATAGTATCTGTATCAATAATGTCCTAATGCTCTCACTGAGCACTAACGTTTTTCAGAGATATCTAGGTTTCCTACCTATGCTAGCATTTGCCGCAACCCTACAAGCATCCTGGGAATCCTTAGGATCCAGTCTTCAAGCAGGGCTGTTGAATGGCGGCCCGGTAGCAATTGTTTATGGCATGCTACTGTCATTTGCCGGCTCTCTGTGCTTAACTTTATCTATGGCAGAAATGGCATCGATGTACGAGTGGATTCCTACGATGCGAATATCATGTGTCACAGTTCGTGTCCCTAATCGCTAAACACAGAAACCCTGTTGCCGGTGCTCAATATCACTGGACATATGAGCTCGCGCCATTTGCTCCTCGATTTTAAGCTTCATTCAAGGTGGGCGCCTTTTGGTCTAATCAAAATCTCGATTTGTGTGGCTGATTTGTGATTCTATTCCAACAGGCTGGATCACTGTAAGCCTCTAGTAATTCGATTTCGGCATTTGCATTGTACACACTCTCATCAGGTACAAACTTATAACTAGGTCATAGCATGGTGGGCCAATGTCGCAGTTGGGCCATACTTAGTTGGCACTGAGATCCAGGGACTACTGGTGCAGAACTACCCTTCCTACAACCCGGAAGGATGGCACGGAACTCTTCTAGTGTTTGCAGTCCTCTTCCTGCCCTTGCTGGTCAATATCTTCGCGCGCCGCCTCCTAGCACCAGTCGAAGTGTTATCAGGTGTTATTCACATCCTATCATACCCGGCCATCATGGTCGTCATGATCGTTTTAGGGCAACGGCACACAAATGATTTTGTATGGACTGAATTCGTCACTGACCAGAGTGGATGGCATGACAAAGGGGTGATCTATTCAATTGGATTGCTAACAGCGGCATTCACCCTAAGTAGTAAGTCTCCCTTGCCTATCCAGCATCTCACCAAAATGCTAATCTTCGAAACCCTCCAAACAGGTTTCGACGGTGTCATTCACATGTCAGAAGAAGTCAACGACGCACCTAGGGCCGTTCCCCGATCAATGGTCTGGGGCTTATGCGTGAACGCCGTCCTTGCATTCGGCTTCGCCATAGCCCTACTATACACTATGGGCGACTTCCAGAAAGCCCTCGACTCACCTACAGGATACCCCATCATTGAAATATTCTATGCCCAGACCGGATCAAAAGCAGCATCCAGCGCAATGATGCTACCGATCCTCCTCTCTGGCTGCTATTCCTCCTTCAACGTCCTAGCGTCAGTCAGTCGACTCACATGGGCGTTTGCGCGCGACGAGGGTTTCCCCTTCTCATCGTTTTTCGCGCATGTATCACCTCGGTACAAGATCCCCCTGCGATCTCTTTTCCTAGTGACAACAATTACCGTTTTGATTGCCCTGATCAACATTGGTTCCTCGGCTGCGTTCAATGCCGTCTTGTCTCTGGACACTCTCGCCCTTTACATTTCCTATCTGGTCCCTGTCCTTTTCATGCTGATCAAGCGGGTTCGCTTCTCGAGTGAGATCCGTTATGGTCCGTTTAACTTGGGAAGGTACGGCATTCCGATTAATGCTTTCGCCATGGCGTACGGTACTTATATTACGATCTTCCTTCCCTGGCCTGAGACTCAGCCCGTCACGGCGAGCGGCATGAATTATGGTGCTCCGGTGTTTGGTGTCGCTCTGTTATTTGCGGTGATTGACTGGTTTGTTCGAGGACATAAGAAGTGGAATGGGCCCACAGTTATGGCGTCGCCAAAGTAGCGCTAACGGGCTATTGATTAAGGGATGGCAGTATACTAGTGGGATTTATAGTGTGGGCGGGGATAAGTTGAAACGTCCCCCGACAGATACCATTCCGACTACTACTGGGGTTCGGTTTCAGCTTTCAAAAGTGAACACTTGTTGTCTATGCTTGCATGCTAATAGTATAGTCACGATGCCATGTCCAAGGATGACACAAAAAAAGACAATTACCAGTTCCAGCGTCCATCACAAAGAGTAGATAGAACGAACGACCGGGTCTCAGCAACCAGTTCCGCGCGATTCAAAAATCTAGTTATCATGCAAGGAGTCTCAGACTCTTTAGAAAATATATACATCTTTAAAAAGCGCCCAGTAAATATGCCAGATATTCCTCACATTATAAGCAAATGTTCCCGATATCTACCACTTCGCCTCCTTGCGGCCCTGGAACTCCTTCAGGATGGCGACGTTCTTCTCAAGAGCCACCACCTCGGCGTCCAAGGACGCGTTGACCTTGGCCTGGTCCTCACCAAGCTTGGCGTAGAAGTCCTTGCGGTAGGGGGTAGCCGACATAGCAGCAGAGAAGATGGGCTTGATAACGAAGGAGTGGTGGGGCTTGAGGGTGTTGCCGTAGGCTTCACGGAAGGAATCGGAGAGCTCGGTGCTGCCGTTGTTCAGGTTGTGGCGGAGGGCCTGGGCGGTGAAGTCAAGACCTCTGTAGCACAGCAAAGGTTGTATATTAGCATGTGTAACTCAAGTGGCTCGTATACCACCACTCAATAGCCGCTGAAGCACATTGAGTTGGGCAGGTGTGGGTAGGTAGACATACCTGACAAGCCAGAGCAGACCTTCAGAGGCGACGTGCTTCTTAGTCTTCAGCTCGTTAACGACGAGAGCCTGGAGAGTCTCGGACTCGGCGGGGGCAGCCAGCTGCCTCTCCCTGACTTTCTGTGATAAAGGGTAAGCTTCCGATAGCATCTGACTGCGGGGTACTATGTATGTTCAAACCTTGATGTTGTTTGTCAAATCACTCTTCACAGGGGTGAAAGCCTTGGAGCCGAGAACATCTAGGGTAAATATTATCAGCACTGTCTCCTTCATTATCAACAATCATGGCCAATGGCATACCGAACAGAGTGGTGAGGGACTCAGCAGCTTCAAGGAACTCGGTGGTCGAGATGCCGTTGTCGTTGGCAGCATCGATCTTGACGTCCGCGAAGGACCGCTTCTGTTGCTCGAACCAGGTGGCAGACATGATGACTAGCGAGGAAAGTAGAATCTAAGAAAGACAGAGAACAAATATGTGAAGAGGATGTGAGCGAGTTAAATAAATACAATCAGGGGTCCAGGGGAAGGAAAAGGCAACGTGGAGGGGAAGGCGGCAGTTTAACAACAACGACGGGCGGCCTGTCACACTCTCCCACACCGCCGGAAGAGGGACACGCAAGCGGTGAGGCCAATCAGCGGGTCCATTGCCCCTGATCAATCTATCCTTAGGTAAGACACGGCACAAACAGTACAAACTCCCTCTTCGCCGTCACGGGATGGGCAGCGACGTCATCGTGTCTGTTGTGCCTTTGGCCTCGTTTGTATACCCTTGCCTATATGACTTAGTTACCTAGAAAGTTCATCCTCAAAAATCAGCACGTCAGCGACAACATGGCCACCGGTATATATTTTGCATCTCAACCTGACTAGTGTTAAGGTTTAGCTCTGAGATCGTATACTACGTGACGGTTGCGAGGGATGCCGCAAGGTCAACGGATAAGCTGTTATTACGATGGTCAATTTACTGCCCTGATATCGTGGACCCGTATTAAACAGGCTACATGATGATCTCCTTGCACAAACGGTCGAATACCACATAAATCATGTCACCATTAAGGGGGAAGTACTACTTAAGAGACAAAAATAATGCTGCCGAGAAGTGAAAGCCCAGTCGTAGAGACGTGCTACATACCAGGATGAAAACTCATTAAAACCGCGCTGCATGTCGATAAGCGCTACCCATGAATGAATCCATTCAACGCCAAACTTGAAGCAAACGTTGCATCACTCAAATGCATAACTATTTCAAGGTCAGCTGGAGCAAGGCGACTACCAGTCCTTTGCCAGCACACTGTCCGAAGCGTTGGAACCGTCCATCTCAATGATCCCACTGGACTGGACGCTCTGCACATCAGTCGCAGAGGGAGGTCTATCAACTTCAACCGGCTCGTCATCCAGCTTCTCTGTGCGGCCATCTTCCGATTTGTCAACCTCCTCCCAGTCATCGTCAGATCTGATAGAGAAATCCTCCATGTAACTTCTACCGCTACGTTCGGTCTGGTCCGCGTTAACCTTTTGCTTCTTAGTCTCCGGTTCTCCGTTCAAGGCAGGATCAACGGTCGGTGGGTCGGGAAGCTTGGCTGCGAGCATCTCCGCCGATTTCGAAGACTCACCGTCAGATTCGAGTTGAGATTCGCGGTCGCTGTTGGCGCTAGGGGCACCCTGATCTTCTGGAGGGAAGAACAAGCTGATATTTTTAGTCAAACCAACGGCACCAGTATAGTCAGAGGTAGATTGTTACTCACGGAGTAAACTTCTCGTAGGCTATCTCATCCTTGCGCTCAAAGTTGCAGAAAATGATCCGTTCAAGTTTCCCGATGTTGCTCGGACTCTCCATGAACTTCCGTGTCTCGTCCAGAACAGCGCGGGCAGCCAATTCACTTGGATAGCCGTACACGCCTGTGCTGATTGCTGAAAAGGCAATGCTTTTCATGTTGTTCTCCACGGCAACCTCCAGACTGCGACGATAGCAGCTGCGCAGCAAAGTCTCCGGGCGCTCCCTCCCTCTCTGCAATTCAAGATCATAGATTGGCCCAACGGTATGAATGACTCGTCTGCATGGAAGCTCGTACGCAGAGGTTATTTTGGCATCACCGGTGTCACAGCCGTCGAGGGTGCGGCATTCCTCCAGCAAACCAGGTCCGGCGGCGCGGTGAATGACACCATCTACCCCACCTCCTCCAAGTAGAGACTTGTTGGCTGCATTCACAATGCAGTCGACTCCATCCAATTTGGTGATGTCGTTGCGGATCAGAGAGATGGTGTCGTTCAAGGCCTTGGAGGGCTGCGCGAGCGGGGAGGAGACTGGGACCAAGCGCTTCAGTTTGTATAGAAGGGAAACGGTCGGTATTTCAGCGAGAGGTACGAGTGAAGGAGCCATTTTTAGGCAGATAGCTGGCTAGATGAATCAAACCCAGCAGTGTGAGTAAGTTGAGCAGATGATGACAGGTTGATTGACTAAACCGAACGCTCGCCACAGGATGTCCTCTGAGTTAATTAGATTTGCTGGTCGTATCGTGGATTTCAATTCACGAGAAATCTCGTAGCTGGCATTAATCTGTGATGTGACAAAGATGATAACGATGGTGATGGTGATAGACTAGGACTTTATGTCTTAGTAGTTGTTGTCAAGGAGGGGAGCTCAACTGCACGTGATGGCGCTGCGATACCGTTATCTTATCGGGGGTGTTCTGAAAACGGTAATGCCCGCATGTGATCAATAGATAACTAATTCCCAGTATAACATTGAGTGAAGTCCTACAACTGATCATGAGAGCATGTCCTTGACCAGAAATCTTTTGAATTCTGGTCTTTGCCAATGGAGGCGCACACTAAAGTAGTATGCTCAGTGACCCAACATTACCACCAAAGAGGTCACAGCAGTGTGTCGTTAGCTACCGATGGGAAAATGCTTACTTCTATCCTAAAGAGCAAAAGCTAAGAACCCCTGGTAGTGTTTTATTCCAATCTTTTGGCATTTGAAAATATCACTCAATGGTATATCTATGAGCATAAGCGAACTTGTTTCAACCGCCTTCTAGCTGCCTTCCACAAGTCTTCCGTTCATACCTGACATTCACGCTGCAAGCAACAAGTGCTATTTTGAAAATCGCGTAAAGGTCAGAATGTACCTAGTACTATCCTGTACCAACAGACACATCAAAGTAATAATCAAATATATCTGCGATGGCACGATCTCAATCAATTGACATCCTCATATTCTAATCGAGGCCAATAATTGCCCAAGGGCCAGCAGCAAGGAGCCTCTTGTGCAACATAAGAATTGCCTGACAATGACCATGATAAGGAAAGGCGGAGGGTATCTTACCTCAATACATGACATGATAACAATGTCAACATATCAGAATGATAGATAATAATGTACATCGGTATGATCGGAGCTGTCATGATGTCAACCAACCTGACACTATCGCACTACTTACCCCATACATAAGGATGTTAATTCATGACTCGGTCCGAGCACCCTTGCGCCACCACACCTGAGCTTCTTACCCCAATATCTTACCTATCTTAACCAATGTGACTTGTAGAGTATACAGCGCACACAGCATATATGCAATCATCTATGTGCAATAACTCCCAGATAGAAGCCACAATCTTACAATTTCATGCTCTGATTGGACCAGCCATGAGCGAGGCGAGCTAATGCAAGGGCGCGCGCCGACTGGCGGCACGCGACGATGTTCCATCGATCAGAGATCAAGGTCAACCAAAAGATGACATGAGCGCCAGTAGTAGTTATTGCCCACTTTGGTCAAATCTCATATTGTTCACCTCATAAAACTAAGCCAAGTAGATACCTGGTCACAATACAGCTGCTGGTATGACCACCGGATAGTCCCAGCGCCTCGATTCTTTATCCCGGCCACTGCATTTCATGCATATCATTTTTGCATGAAAAACTCTTAATCTGGTTATCGTTTGGATGAAACAGATCGGGACTGCCATCCGATCTTCTACAGCAGTCCACATCCTAGGTACATACCGCCGGTGTCGGTCGAGCTGCATCAACCCTGCTTGTTGCTCTTTATCCTCTGTTTTATAAGCATAAGCGAGACTTGGCTAGCCGGGAACCCTGTGCATAGTACGCTGTTTAGAAGTCATGTACATTATGTATTCAGTTGCCTTCCCCGTTGCCTTTTTTAATTTTTACTTTTTATTTTATTTTA